ACGGGGAGGTTATTGTAAGCAGCAAGGGAGGAGGGAGTAAGGGAGGAGGAGGGAGTGGGGAGCAGCAAGGGAGGAGGAGGGAGTGGGGAGCAGCAAGGGAGGAGGAGGGAGTGGGGAGCAGCAAGGGAGGAGGAGGGAGTGGGGAGCAGCAAGGGAGGAGGAGGGAGTGGGGAGCAGCAAGGGAGGAGGAGGGAGCAAGGGAGGAGGGAGCAAGGGAGGGGGGAGGGAGTGGTGAGCAGCAAGGGAGGGGAGTAAGGGTGGGGGGAGGGAGTGGTGAGTAATGGTGAGGGGATGGAATGGTGAGTAATGGAGGGGGGAGGGGATGGTGGTGCTGGGTCCTCATCCTCGTTCGCGCGTGGTCATTGGCGCGCATCGTTGACGCGTTATTGTGTCGCGTTGTGTCGGCGTCCTCGCGTTGCGTCGTGTCACCCGTCGCGTCGTGTCGCCGTCGTCGTGTCGTCATCCTCGCGTGTTGTGTCATCGTCGTCGTGTCGTCGTCGCGTTGTCGTCATCGTCGTGTCGTCGTCCGTCCTGTCGCCGTTGCGCATTGTTGTTGCCTTTCATTCTCCTTGGGCGTTGTCGTCACCTCGTTGTTGTCTCGTCAGCGGGTGTTGTTGACACGTCATTGTGTCATCGTTGTCGTCGTGTTGTCGTGTTGTCCGCGTCGCATGTCGTTCACACGTCATTGTGTCGTTGTCGTCGTGTCATCATTGTCGTCGTGTTGTTGTGTTGTCGTGCCATCCACGTCGCGTGTCGTGTCGTCATGGGTCGGTGGGCTGTCATTGCTGGGGATGGATGTGGTTGAGGACAAGCGACATGGGATTGTTGATGATGGCCAAATGATGCGTCGGCATTTGCCGATGACCGTTTTAGGAAAGCGGTCAAACAGTAGGTATGTGTAGTACAAAGTACTTACTTATATCAAAGGCTCCTTGGTGCAGCTGGTTTAGCATTGGGTTCCATATGCTTCAGATCCTAAGGTTGAGTGTTCAATTCCCCAATGCTGCATTTTTTTTATGTTATATATTAATAATAATAACAACAGTCTGTTGGAATTCTGTTGGACTTCTGTTGGATTTGTCCACTGGAATTCTGTTGGCACTTGCTCGTCATTTCCAGTGGACTGGGTGCTAGTTTGCTGTTAGTCCATCAGAAGTCTGTTGGAAAAGTCCGACCAAAAATGCTCGGAAAAGCTTCGGACATTCACCGGAAAATTTGCTGCATTTCAAAGCAGAAAAATATCTGTTCTGCATACCCTCAGTCCAACGGAGTCCGGCCGGAGTCTGCTCGGAAAAGCAGTGGCAGCGTAAAGACCTCCTCACACACAACGTTCTTGGACATTTCAGCTTTGACAAAACCTATGGATCACTGAGGAACACTTACTATTGGCCAAACATGTGCCATGATTTGGAACAAGGTTATATACCATCGTGCCCTGACTGTCAACAGAACAAATCTTCATTGGCCCACTCCCTGAAGATGATGGCAAAAACTGGAGGTCTTTATTGTCCTCCACTGATTCCTGCTGGAATCCGGCGGAATCCAGGCAATTCCTGGAATTCCGGAGGAATCAAATTTGGCAGAGGGCCCTGCCAAATTGATCAAACCATTCCGGCGGAATTTTGATGGAATTCAAATTCCGCCAGAATGGTTCCAGGAATCACCCGGAAGGAATGATCCCGGAATGAGACGGAACGGAATTCCTGATGCCCAAATCAAGTGTCGGCATTTGCCGACGCTTGATTTGGGCGTCATCAACAAACAACTCCCACTCTCTCAACCACCATCATCCACGACGCCAACCCACCTCGCGACACCGCCACATCACCAACGGCCACCACGACGCACACAACGACGACGTCCGTCGTCGTTTCACCATGACCCCAACACAACACCACGGCCACGACACGGAAATGACGCCCCAACGCCACGTCACCAGCCTCAGTAAACGAGCGCGCCAACACGTTGCCACGTCGCTATCAGCGACGTGGTAACCAGACGATGAACGACGCAAGTCGTCGTTCGTCATCATAGGTGAGCACCCCCCATCCCAAGCTCGTCCCACCCAGCCTGCTAACACCAGGCACACGACGAGGGACAACCACGTCAACGCACGACCACGACCACCACGCCCACAGACGACGACACACCTCACCACGTCAACAGAGGGCCACGCCAACAAACAACACGCCCACGACGACACCACCACCATGTCAACGGGCGATGACCGCGTCAACAGACGCCCACGTCAACGGACGACGACGACGTCAACAGACGACGAGCACGTTAGTGGACGACGAGCGACCACCGCCACATCAACGGACCACCGCCACGTTAACAGACGACGACGACGAAGCCAACGGACGACGACAACGCCAATGGACAACGACGCCAACGGCCGACGACGACAACGCCGCCAACAGACGACAACGCCAACGGACGACGTCGACGATGCCAATGGACGGCCACGTCAACGACGACGAGCGTGTCCCGCTCCACCACATACACACGGCGACGAGTGTTGTCCCTCCCCCTTTTCTTTCCCTCCCCCCTTCCTCCTTTCCTTTTCTCTTCCCCTGTCCCTCCCCATTTCCATGTACCCCTTTCCTTTCTCCTCCCTCTTTCTCTGTCTGTCCCTCCTCATTTCCCTGTCCCTACTCCCTTCCTTTTCCCTATCACCCTTCCCCCTTCCCTTCCCTGTCCCTACACCCTTCCCCCTTCCTTTTCCCTGTCCCTACACCCTTCCCCCTTCCTTTTCCCTGTCCCTACACCCTTCCCCCTACCTTTTCCCTCCCCCTTCCCTGCCCATCCCTTCCTTCCTCCACCCCCATTTATTTCTGCCCCCCTCCTCCCCCCCTTCCTTTAACTTAGAATACAGTAAAATAATCTTTGTGTACCACTTCAATATATTAGAATTTGAATCTATATAACTGTTCTAAGAAGAAACTTGTGAGGTTATTATAGGACAAGATATAATAATAAATTGGCTGACTACATTAGACTTACAATAAATATGATAGGCATGAAGTCACATAGACTTGGGTTTGGATGAACAACATGCAGAATCTAATGTCTCTGAATCTGATTGAAATAAATAAATCCATGTAGTAGTAAGTAACTAGTCGGATGCCTTATGCCCTTGTTTAGTAAAAGATTTAGTGCTACAATTCTATTTGTCTGACCTAAAGAAGGAGATTCAGGGTCCAAAATTAATTAACCAGAAGTCCTAGTGTTCAATTTCTGTTGATTCCAGTTGGATTCCTGTCGATTCCGGCCGGAATTCCAGGAATTCCAGGATTCCGGCCGGAATCTAGGGATTCCACGGATTCCGGTAGGAATCAGTGGAGGAATGGAAAGTATTGGAAAATACTGCTAAATGATAGATACTAAAATCAATGATTTTCTGATTCTTGTCTGTACCAATTTTGGCGAAGTCTGTCTGGATTTTATCTAGCCAAAACCAAATTTCAAAATTTTGTCCAGACTTCATATCTAGCCTATTCAGGGCCTAATTTTTAGGTGCTGTGCAAGGTTCAAACCACAGACCAGATGACTGGCTGCATAAATCATGCTACATTTATCTGTTGCACTAAGTAACCATATGTGTCCGGTTGGTATCTAGCTTCTCATTCTCCTTGAGAACCTGTCCGGATTTCTTATCTAGCATTTTGCTGATTTTTTCGAAAACCTGTCTGGTTTGTCTCTAGCCTAGCACCCCCATTTCTAATTTTTTTGTCCAGATTGGTATCTACCATTTAGCAGCATTTTCAGGGGTCTTCATATGAATGGTGTACAGAACATCAGGCACTGCCTTCAGGGTTCATCCCAAAAGGGAAATATCATCTGGTTTGACAAAAAAAAGTGAAGAAAACCAAGACAAGAATGATTTTACCTATCAGGGTCCATGTAATGGGATGTTGGGATGTGTACACCATTCATATGTTCTTCCTATTTTTCCACTATTTTCTGGCTATTTTTGGATATATTACCATATTTGGAAATGTGCCCTGGACCCTGAAAACAACCCTGATGTCATCACCAACAGTGAGCACCACCCTGCCATCTTTTTCTGATTTTATGGCTATTTTATAGCTATTCTTGGCTATATTACCATATTTAGAAATGTGCCCTGGACCCTGAAAACAACCCCCAACATTGTCACCAACAGTGAGCACCACCCCTATTTTCTTCTGAAATTTCCCCTATTTTATTGCTATTTTTCATTTGGAAAAGTGCCCATTTCCTTATTTGGAAGTGCACACTCGACCCTGAAAACAGTGCCCAACAGAAATATCCCAGGGATCAGATTGAAATATCCATTGAAATATCCTAGGTATTCATACGAAAATCACAATGAAATATCCCAGGGATGAGAATGAAATATCTATTGAAATATCCTAGGGATGAGAATGAAATATCGAATCAAATGTCCTAGGTATTCATATGAAAATCTCAATGAAATATCCTAGGGTTCAGAATGAAATATCCAATCAAATATCCCAGGGATGAACATGAAATATCCATTGAGATATCCTAGGGATCAGAATGAAATATCTATTGAAATATCCCAGGGATAAAGATGAAATATCCATTGAAATCCCCTAGGTATTCATATGAAAATTGCATTGAAATATCCCAGGGATAGGTATGAAATATCCATTGAAAGCACCTTATGAAATAGCCAGACAATTGAATGAAATGCTCTGCCTATGACTTATGAGAGAAAGACAGGCAATCTAATGAAAGAAATACATAGACACAACAATGAGACATTTCATTGAACCTCTAAGCATTATACACATTCGCCTGCAGGCAACTGTCTGGTTTTTATCATAAAAGTGGTAGCCACTAGTGGTTCTGGACCTCCTTTTGCTTAGTTTCTTTTTGTAATGTTGTTCTAGGTAAGGTAGTTTCATGATTAAATTGGTTTCATACTTCTTTACATTGTCCATACTGTATGGTACTAAGTTTACTACTGGTATTATACTTATGTATGAAAACGAGCGACACGGTCATTTTTCCATTGGTCAGAGAATAGCATGTTTTCAAAATTCCTCCATATTTCAATTTCCTCTGCATGGCTGTGCCAGATTGGCATGTATATGTTGCGAATTTGGTTGATGCCGACCAGGTGAGTGCGAAGATTGTGCAAACAAAGGCATATCTCCAGTAACTCTCCACATTGCTCAGCACTCCCAATCTCAAGAGGAACCCGAAGCTGCCCAAATGAGCCCTGCAATGCTCAATTTCCCCATTCCAGCAGTCTAACAATATGAAAGAAGCTCTCAATCGAAAGCCAATTCGCTCTGCAATCTCATTAGCTGTTCCTTTGAGCTTTTGACCTGCCTTTATAGGTGCATGAATTCTGCCTTTGATATTTTGGTTGCCATGAGGAAAGGCAGTATCGGCAACAAGGTAAAATCCCTCTGGAGTTCGCGTTCTCAGTTTCTCGAATATAGGCTGGGCAACACAAGCATCATGCCAACTCCCAGGAGCATTGGTATTTGCTGCAATGATGTCTCCTAGTACAATGTAAATGATAGGATGTAAAGCAACTTGAAGTAAGAATACCCACCTTTCGGAGAGAACACAAGCACTGAACTGACAAAATGTTCAGAAAGCTATCCATTGAAAGTTGCATTTTCGATATCTTTATCATCAGAGGTCTGGACAGTGAGATTTAATCCATCAATACTCACAAAGGCACCAGTTAGATGGGGATGTTGAGCTACAATCAGTCTATTGCACTCTTTGAATTGTTCCAAGTGGCTGAACCATTTGATTTTCACATCTTCCATATTGCGAAGAGTGGCGAGAAGGACAGGAAGTGAGAAATTGATGTAGCGTGAGACTGTGGATGGGATGAGAGCAAAGATTTGTTGTAGGCTGATCTTGTGCATAGTGGAGTTGAGGTAATGAAGGACCAATCCAAGTGCACCTGGTGCATCTAAAGAATGCGCACCAGGTCATGGGTCACCACCACGATCCGTATCACTTTGTGAAATGGGTGTTGAAAGCCAGGTGTACTCAAAGCCATTAAACAAAATGGCGTCAAAGGTTCATGCATCAAAGCCCATTGTGGTGATGTATGTACGGTCATTGCGGCTCACAAAGAGAACCTGCCACAGAGTTCCAACTTGAGGGTTGATGAGAAGTTGGGCCCAACCCAGATACAAATGGCTTGGATGGCGCTGTTCACTCCAAAGCTGCCGTGACAGTTCAATGCCACTAAGAATAGCCATAGCCACAGTGCCGGTGGCTTCAAGCAAATTGTTGTCTTCCTCATCATCCAGTTCCTCCCCCAATTGTTGCATCAGAAAGGCTTCCTCGAGATTCATACTGGGGAGAATGGAGATGGGTCTGTTATTAATCTAATCTCATCTATCTCGCAAGCTTACAGTTTAATCATCACAATAGATTATTATGATAAATTATTGTTCAATCTCCAACAATGATTTGAAATTGGATATATTAAATGAAAACCTTACGGAAAGTCATCCACTGACCATTTTCTTTTTCTTTTGACCTTTCTCTTTTTTAAACTAGGGGAGGGTGTAATCCTGGGATTACTACTTTGGGTTTGTTTGGCATTGGTGTCTATACTATTTATATGCCTCTATGCTTGTGTCTGGACTTCTTTACCTTACCACCATCTTCCCTCTCTGCTTTTCCCTGATCCCTATTTCTTGTACTGTTCTCGTAAACCTACAGAATCATATATGCAGTCAAATTCTGTTGGTTTTCCGTGAGTAGTGTTATCTATCCTCCTAATAGGGGATAGATTTCCACATGCATCTAATGAAGGAAGGTATTGAAGAACACTTATGTGATGATGTTGGGAGCAGATGGAAACACTTGAGACAGCAATGAATATGTAGGGCTACATATGTATAAACATATGCTCTCAAAACTGTGGAATACACTGAACTCTCTTTTGTCCTGGTTAGTGTTCAAAAGTCCAGTTAGGTCTGGTTATTGGGTGCCCAGGGGCTCTAGCCGAGACCGAGACTGGTTAGCCTTTGTCCCGAAACCTAAAATAACCTAACCGGACTGCAACTAACTGGTTACGGTCAGTTATTTGCAGTTACTAACTGGTTAGGACCGAAAAATAAAGAATCAGTTATAACAAGGCAAATATGCTCATATGTATCTTGATAGATATTATTTCTGCATATTCTAGCTTTAAAACGAGCCCAAGCACGCTAAAATCGGTGAAGAATTGACATATTTATGCAATTATCCTTGAAAGTCTACACATTTGAGTGATATTTTACAGATTTGACTGTAACTTAGTCAAATTTTAAGTGTTTTCAATGTTCTCAAGTGCGTTTTGAAGGTGTATAATAGGGCTGGTTATAACCGGTTATTCCATTTTCGAAATCAACTAACCCTAACCACGGTTAGGTTAGTGTTGCGGTAAGGTCCGGTTATTTTCCAGTTATTTTCTGGTTAACTAACCTAACTTTCAAACACTAGTCCTGGTATATTTACTTTCAATTTCTAAGTTTGGTGATGGAATTGTACATCCATCATATGCATAAAACAAACTTACAATAAAAAAAGGCATCAGATCCAAAAAATGAACAAATAAATATCATCTGAGTTCATATTTAGATTAACACTAAAATCTTGGCCCAGGAAGTTCAGCAAATTCTAAATATGAATTTAGATCATATTTATTCAATCATTTTTTGGATCTGATCTTTTTTTTTATTGTAAGTTTGTTTTATAATTGGATATACAATTCTATCACCAAACTTAGGAAATGAGAGCAAATATGTTAGGGGAACACTGGTTTTGGTCTATTCTCCAGTTTTTAGTGCCTATGTTTACACCTATGTGGCCCTTCATATCCGTCACTGCCTGAAGTGACAGGAGTTGTGACTTGGTTGTGACTCTATATCTACGATTCAACAGAGCGCTGCGTTTTATTCTGAGGAAAAGTCTCGGTTCCTTGGTGATGACTAGATTCTTTCAGCTTTGGTTTGAGCCGAACCACTCGTACGGTTGGGATAGATTATACGGTGACTTTGACGAATGATACTTTTTTTTTCTGGGTTTCTGGCATTGAAGCATTAAAATTGCATAGCAGTAGCCGGCGGGCCGGACCCCGGCCAGCCAAGGATCCGCCTCTACTATAGAAACCTTCTGCCTCAAATCTTCGCAATGAACCAATTTCGTAACCGATTCTGCGTCGAAATACAACGTCGTGATGGGTGCTCCTGCCACCTGGCGGTCTAAAATAAATTGGCGAAGCACATCGATATTGTCATCAAGTGCCCGAAGTGCGACGCTATTCAGCTGAGGCCAGCGAAGTACTACGGAGTGGGTCAGGCATTGTAACAAGAGCGGCCAGTAAAAATTGGGCAGAACGAGGGTCTTGATTCCAGGAAAACAGAATTCCGCTCGATCGAACGCTGATTCAATTACCTCTGTGAAGGTCGGACTAAGCGTCAGTGTGAGTGATTTCAGCTTCGGAAAGCGTGGAGATGTCTTGCGCATGACGTCTTCTTCCAACAGGATGAGATCAGCCTTGGTGTATGGGGCAATGGAGATCTCTTCCAGATCCGGAGCTGAGATTGAGAGCAGAAGCTCAGACACCGCAAGCATCATTCCGTAGATGTGAATGCGGCGTAGGGAGGGCATATCGTACACGCGCAATGGCGCGAGGCCGAAGACAAGATCATCATAAATGACCAGCGTGATCAGCGATGCAGAACAAGATTGTATCATCGCGCAAAAAGCCGCATAAGGGAGCGAGATCCTCACCGGCGCCAGATGAAGCTCAGTGACGTTGGTAAGCGGAAGGCGGAAGTAGTTCAACCCCGTACCCCGCAAACGCACATCCGTGAGCCTCGGAGTGTCTTTTAGAGTAAACACACTATGGTCAGCCTCGGCCTTTTCTCTCCCCTCTACCAAAAAGCGTCGAAGGTGGGGGTACGTGCTGTGCTGCATCGACTCCAACACCACCAATATAGCGGGGATGATTTGGGTAACCCCAGACACCTCAATGGTACGGCACCGAGGGTAGTGAGGACGAAGGATGATGGTGAGTGAATGAGCGGACTCAATGGAGGGATGCTGGTCCGAATCACAGAAGTCGAAGGAAAGCCGTAAGTCTATCAAAGACTCCTTGGATCTACCGATGTAGGTTTGTATGGTGGACAAGTCCCAAGGGGGTGAAATATCCACATTTGACCACAAGACAGGTGTTGCCAGCACGATTTGCCGCCAATATTGTGATACTTGCGCAGGTATGAACGGGAAGCAACGAAAGTAATCTTCCGAAGGAAGCAACATGGCTTGTGTCGTTTCGAAAATGCATCCTAACAGTTCCGGTGGTAGGGCATCGATTGGGGAAACTTGGTTTGAGTGGGATGATGAGGACTTCAAGTCCGATGTACTGTTTCGGGATATTGCATGCATCTGGTGATTTGACAACTTTGAGAAGGGGAGGGGACTGAAGAACGTTTGTGTGATGGCGTTGGGTGCAGATGAAATGATCGTTACTGACTCTATAAATATGTGGTCCGGCCCGCCGGCGATTGTGATAAAATATGCTCAATGGGCCCCAATGCAAGCTGTAAAGTCCATTGGAATGAGAAAAAAACAAGTATTATTCGTTTGAACTCACCATATAAACGATCCCGATCGTAGGCGTGTAACGCGTTGCTTTGTTGCCGTCCCCAAGGGTCCGATTCTACCACCAACATTTGGTCTTCCAACCATTTTAAGCGGGTCATCACCTTGATTGACACAACATCTACATATATTTTTTTCAACGGGTCGCCTGCAGCTCGTCGAGAGTCGATAAGCGAATATACCGCTGTTTCGTTTTTCTCCTGAATTTCTCGAATAGCAAGGCCGTCAAGATGAGGCCAGTGAGTGCCGTCAAGGCCGTTAGATTTGCGTCCGAGAGTTTCAACCAATAATTCAGGGTAGAACTTGGGAAGGATAAGAAGTTGAGTGGTGGGGAAGCATTCCGAGGCAACTGATATCGCTTTCATTGCATCGGGGTGGGGAGGCACGAGAGTGAGCGACCTCAACACAGGGAACCATGCTTTGTTGTTGCGCTTGCCCTCCGTGCACATCAACTTTAGGTCTGAAGCGACAACCGGAGCTATGGAAAGGGCTTCCAAATCAGGAGCCGACACAGAGAGCAAAAGCTGAGATACAGAAAGCATATTGCCGTATATGTGCAGATGGCGAAGGGATGGGACGTCGTGGATTTGTAGAGGAGTGGGCCAATCGGAAACCAAGTCATCATAGATGGCCAAAGTCGTCAGGGCGCTACAGGCTTTGAGCATCCGAGAAAAATCGCTAAATGGGATTGACCGCTTTTCCCTAGCTAAATGAAGCTCCGTAACGGTTCCAAGAGGAGGCTGGAAATACAGCAGCCCGATCCCTCCAAGACGCACATCGGCGAGCTTTGGGGCGCCTGAAATGAAAATCTGAGAGTGTGGGTGACTCATATCAGGTCCTGAATCTCTTTCACTGCCCTCCACTACAATTCCCTCCATGTTGGGGTATTGACCAAGGTGCATGGATGTGAGGATCTTCATTACCGCTGGTGCAATTTTATGCACAGTCCCTGAAATGTTGATTGTACGACAACGATGATACTGCAGGTTCACGATGGAAAGCAGATCGTCGACGTTGGATACATCAAGGTCGTCTTGAGAGGAGGGAATTGTGAGCGTTAGATCAATCAAGCATGATTTTGACCTTTCGAGGTAAAACACAAGGCCGGCTAAACGCGTCCAGGGGGGTGAAATGTCCACATTACACCACAACACGGCGCATCCAAGGGCGACATGACGCCAGAACCGTGAAACCTGTGAAATAATAAAGGGAAAGCGTCGAAATCGTGGGAGACCTCCAGACGGCAGCGACATAATTTGCGCCATCTCAAAAATGCATGCAAGGAGCTCGGGGGGAAGGGAATCAGTTAAAGCAACGTTAACAGTACCGCTGCAAATTCTATCTGGTTCCATAGTATCCCCCACGTCGTCCTGGAGGTTGACCATTGTTCGACGAAGGTGTCGAGTATGTGCGCTTGAAGGTGTTGGGAGAGTAGGTAATTCAAGTGCTGTAAAATTCCAAGGTAACCCTGCCCAAAGCCTTCTTTATCCTGGAGAAATTCCGGAGTCTAGCTAATGAATCGCACGCGCACGACCTGAGATGGGAAGCCATGACAGAAACTTGTGCGGTCTTTCCTCCGACATGAGTTCCTCATCATTCCGAGCGGAATTCCGAGTTTCCGATGAGAACGCATTGGCAGTGGAGTCTGGACAGTAGATCATCGACCAATGATTAATGAGCACGAAGCCCGCGTCGACAACGTTCAAAAGCGTGACAAGACGCGTGATGAATATTGTGACAAATAATCACGCGACAGACGCGTCGTCAACCAAGCGTCGGGTACAATTTGTTTCCTCCTCCGGACCCCCTTCCACTTCCTCTCAATATGGCCGACTCAACACCGAATAATATGACCGCGCCTTCTAGGTTTCCCGATCTCGGTATATTTTCTGAAAAGTTCGAAATTACAAGCGTCAAGACTGACCCAGTCCGCTGGAATAAGGACTGGGAAAAGGGGCTTCGCTCCTTGTCTGGTCATGATGTCTACGCCGGGTTCCGAGACAGGATTCAGGATTTTTTGGGAGAGAACGACTCTTCTGCTTTATGCGAAGAGATTACAAGACGGGCCCTGAAATACCAGCAGGTGACGCGAGAGATGTGGGATGTCATGATGACGGATTTTCGCACAGCGTGGGCATTGGTGGAGGAAAAAGAGCGCAAGAAGCATCTTATGCAGGGTTTGCAAGCAGCTTGCGAATTCGCCGTTCTTGGCGAGGACTCGCGTGCGCTGTGTCCAGAGATCAGTGTCAGTTCGATGTTGAAGGACCGTGGAAAAGGCTTTGTCGCCTTTATCAGCAATTTCCACGAGAACTTGAAGGAGGCAGATTCGGAAGCTCTCTACACTCTTCCGAGTCAGTGGTGGGCGGGGGCCGTGGATGCGTCAGATCTCACAGAAAATACGCACATATCTCAGCTTCTCACAGCCGAAAGGAATGAGTTTTTGGGTGAGTCTAAAACGCCCCCGATGCGTGAAACTTGTAAGCTAAGGGTGCTTCTATCAGCTTTGTTCGCCGTGCAAACAGGGCTATCCGTCATGGGTGACTTCGCCCACGGCAGCCCTGGAATGGACCCAGTCACCAAGATGATGACGGCTGAACCCGGTCTTGCAAGGGTATGGGGGGAAACAATGTCATCAGCCCCCTCCAAACCTGTCATTCGTTGCGAAAATTGTGGCAAAAGTCCCGATATGTTTGAAGGCGACAAAAAATTCATGCTGTGCAGTGCCTGTAAAGCGAAGCTCAATTTTACGGTGCACTACTGCTCCCAGTAAGTTTTGTTGTTCTTAATATTTGAACAATACTACAGCTACCACAGGGGAATGTCAGAAGGAAGACTGGCGAACCCACAAAAAAAACTGCGGGAAACAGAAAGTTTCGAAAAGGCTGAAGGGTACAATCAACGATCCATTCTGGCAGTATCCCAGTGTACCGGATCATCTTCGTTCCCTACCTATCAACGATTCCGGTTCTGTCTCGATTAGCGCTATGGGGTTTGCAACCCCAGACCCCTCCCATCCGCGGTCTCCGGCTCTGCAAAGGCAGATCTCGCTTCTCAGCGGCGATGTTGAAGCCGATTACTTCCTCTTCGATGAAGTTCAACGTCCCATCCGGGTGGAGGTCCCTTCCCCGTTTTTGAAGCTTACCTTCCGCACCATGCGTGGGGATGCTATGTCCGCTCGCTCACAAAAAGGGGTCGAAGTTATTGCTGAATATCTTCTCAACCGCATGGGGGATCATCCGGGATTGAGCCGAGAGCGGATCCTACAGCAATTTGGCGAAGAGTATGGCGAGGATGTGATTGAATTAGTCTTGGAATTTGAGAAGTTGGCGGAAAAGAATGGTTTACCACCTGGTACAACTTTTTTGGATAACATGGGCAAGAAACTGAGTGCCTCCTTGCCCGTGGTGAACAAACGCCCATGAATATCTCCACTTCCCGTCTGTCTTTCAGAGTGCAACAATTTCTCTCATACCCATCTTAGGATATGCGGCCGCGCTTTCCCCCCACATAATGTTTCACTGTCAATAGCATCTGGCCTCTCTATCTAATTGGAAAGCATCGTACACTACTCAAAAGTTTTTTGTTTCTGACTAGCGGCCCCATCACAAAAATTGGCTTGTTTAGTTAAAATCTAAAGACAACAACCGTTACACTGCTGAGCGTACGGTAAGGTTTTGGCTTAACTCACGTGAAATGACATTGACGATGACTACTATTAGAGTTGACCGAGCAAACCGAGGTGTCCGAGCAGCAGTAGTGCTGATCTCGGAGCGCCCGATTGACTGCACAGTCACCACCCCGAAGTTTGTGCCTCTCTAACTTTTCGGCAACATGTTACATGGGCAGGTTCCTGCGTGCCTCGAGGCCTTATCGGCGAAATGGCCGAACCGTCCACCTATCAAAATGACCATGGCCCTCGAACTTTCCTTATCCAGCCATAAATGTCAAAATGATAACAGAACGCTTTACGACAGGTAATTGAACAATCCGTTGGGCGAACAACTCATAGCACACTGGCAGCGAATTTTTGGTTTTCTTGTGTCCTGGGTAATTTATATAACGGCAGGTGCACTCTGTCATAATTAGTGGGTGCGATCCGAATCCAGAGGAGTTGGCGCTTTTTTGCGTTTGCGGTGCTGTGGACCTCAATATAACTGTCTATCGACGGCTTGGCATGCAAAGGGTTTAATAACCCTGCCCCTTCATGACATCCTACCTACTCAAGGCACTGCGTTATAACCCACGCACCAAAGCAATCTCTATGGAGAAGCAACCCATGCTGGAAACCGCAGATTCTGAAAACTGGAAGTCGACCCCCCGGCGACGACAGTAAGTGATCTTGTTTATTGTGGTTCTCCTGCCGTTGAATCTTTATTCCAGAAAGCCCAAGTTCCTGAGTTTACGATTTTATGCACCGACAGGTGTCTTTATCGTCCAGACAGCTCTCCTTATCTTTGGATGGACCTTTTTCGGGATCACACGTAGCAGACCCGTTCCCCTCCCCGCATATCTCGCCGTCGCTGCGAAGGGAAATGTGCAACCTATAATCATGGTCGCAACGCTCTTCGCATCATTCTTATCTGCGATCTCTGGCTTGTGAGTACGCGTTGATTTTTTCACCCCCGCGCTTTCTCATCGCCAGAGTTAGTTTTTACACGCTATCAATTCGATATGCGCTGGCAAGATTCGTCTCCCGGCCGAACGACTCTGTCTCTTTGTATACGATGACCTCTGGAATCAAGCTGGCCGCAACATCGCCGATATTCAACGTGCGTCGCATAGAGTGGACTCTTGGAGCTGTCATCTGTACACTGGCTGTTAATGCTCAAACGGCTGGGTGAGTGTAGCCTCCGTCGAAAGGATTTTTACTCACTGTCAACGTCTTACGACGGGATGGCTACTAGATGGGCGACATTATTAACGCCGAAGCCAATCACCCTGGAAGCTGCTATGGAAGGTTTTGAGCTCGATCTCGCCAGCCCGGATTTTCAGAATCTAATGGTTGATAATCAAAACGTTGTTACGCCTGGTATACTTTCACAATGTCGTCTCCTCTTTCTTTTTGATATAGATGACCAACTTTACAGACCTTTTGACGAACGTCATGCCTCTTGTCGAAGCGAGCGGTTCCACTGCCATCAGCACCCGTTTCTCCTTACCAAGCATCCTCAACTTCAATCAGATCTCTTATATCAATTCAACTAGTACATATATCTTCTTCACGTCCTACATGTGCTTACATCACTAACAGATGGCATTATGCCCGCCAGTTATTCTCAACTACAAAGTCAGGCGCTGACTACGTGGGGCTCAATCGTGCCTGCAAACGTCATCATCGAGAAATTGACCAACCGGCCCACGGGATTTCCAATGAGCTTCTCAATGACCCAGCAGGGTTTTACATCTGATATCAGCTGTAAACAACAAGAGCTCGATGCCTCTTCCTCACCGTCGATGCAAATCCTTTCCGCGAGCCAACCGGTTTTCAACAGCACCATTACCCTGGCACAAATGCGAGTTCTTTGCGTCAATGCGACTTCGCCTTCCTTTACTCGTCAGCACTCAGGTTTTTCAATAGATATTGTTCCTTTGGCTGATTTCCATTCATTCAGGACCAGCTATAACGTCTTCAAATCTCGACGCAGTTTTTGGTATCTCTTGTCCCGTTACTGAAAATGGGAAACAACGCTGGGGTACTCCGTCTACTCTTTCCCGTCTAGTTCCTAACCATGATTTATCTTGCCAGACTTCATTATTACGGGCTCGGGAAAATACAAACTCATAAATACCACCATCTGTTCAATTTCGCCCAGGCTCACCAAGATAATCGTTGACTACAACGATGCCACCAAATTCTTCAACTCCTCTTTCCCGAGTTTCATCAATGGGTCACGACCATGGGGTGCTACTGATGCTCCTTGGGTTGGCGAATTTACTCTTTCCATGCTCCTCCGAAGTCTGGTGATTGGCCAGAGTTTAACTGGGAATTCAGTCGGTGACACGGTGGCCTCGTTCCTAGCGGCTTTGCCACCTTCTCCGGATCTTTTGAATAATGTCCTGGTGAGTTTTTGTTAGCATCTTTTCAAGAAGATCGTTAAATGCTTCTTTTAGAGCGAGTATGTCAGGGGTGTCTTGGAGTTTAGTGTCACGGTGAGCCAATAATGTCAAAATACTCTTGCGGTTTCCTCAATAACGATATTCTTCATAGCTCCTTCGAACAGTCTATTCGCAAAGCGACAATCGCCTATTCCCAGGAAATTCCAGTGTTATCCCGCAAAACATGAGAATCGCGGTCAATGGCACCTTCAAAACGGAGACGATAGGCTGGAGTCAAGATACGAAAACAGCGCCCGCCGTCCTCCTTGCGCCCACACTCGTCAGCCTCTTAACCATCACCATTATTGTTGTTACACTCTTGCGTACTTCGAAAAGCAAGGAGCCGCAGGCGACCCATTTCTTCGATCCGGGGAACCTGTTACACGTTATTTCGGCATCGTCTGCTGGTGGCATGAATGAACCTTTCCCACCATTCTCGGAGAATCCAAAACTGTACAGCGAAGGTGTTCAGATACGGCTCACCTCCGTAGATGGCACTCCAGATGGCAGGTTTGGTTTCGTCCATGTCAAATGAGGGTTGTCGGGCCTGGACGTTTCTTGGCTTCTTCATAAACGAATCTTGAACTGCGAGATCCAAGGTTTAGACTTCCTCTTCTGGTTATGCGACTATGTGTTCCCTTCGACTGGCCACGATTTAATACCCCTTCATACCCGTCAGAGTCAACGATAGGTTCTGAATATATAAATGAGAATTGACCCGCATAGTACGCCCTTTACCGGCTTTCAACGCGGGAGGTAACGATTATGTCCAATACTAGTGCTTGTCCAGTGCTAGTCACTAAGTTAAAATGTTGCAGAAGGCTGTATGTTGTGAGCTTGCGACTTGTACAGCCAAGAGGTGTCAGATCCACGATCGGCGTACATAGGAAATAAGCCGACCCTATGCATTCCCACGTCAACAACCAATTGGAACGCTCATTGAGATCAGTGCGGCTCCACCGGCATGGTAGCCCAGAAAACCTCAATAAGTGCGGCGAGGAAGAAAAAACTACTCTACATTACATTCCTTCGTCATAGATATATGTAAATGATAGAAGGGTCATTAATATTCCTTGGTCAGTTCCCTGGTCCAAGGGTGAATTATAATTTGAATTTTAATTATCAATGAATGGTACCGGTGTTGCAAGAAGCGGATTAGACAATGGCTGGTGATGGCGGCGAGGTCGTCGGAATTTGTTGTGATTGAGGACTCAGTGCTCAGCATCAGTGAACGTTCAACGCTACCGCTGAGATTGAAACTTGATGCCCGGTGAAAATCAACTCCGATCAGGCCGAGTCACAGTGACTATGGTCGATTTGCGTGGCATGTGTGAGCATCAATCGAGTTAGATATATTTCAGGCGATTTGCAAGGCTGACCCACACTAAAAACCGCACTGTGTACATGGCTTACATCGTGTAATATCGAATTGGATCGAACTCAAATCTATTTGTATAGAATTCTGTCGATAAAACGACACCTTACAGTGTTTTGCATGTGAGATTAGAATTCAAATCTCACGAAAACTTGTTTGTTCTTGTGGTCTGTGACTGATGGGGAGTCAAGGTGACCTCGAAGTCACTTCGATTCGACGGCAACACTAGAATCAACATTCAATCATCGACATAAATGCGGGTTCCAACCAAGTTCCAAGGGAGGGGACTCCTCCACTTGAAGAAATAAGGATCTAGTCGGAAGACTAGATCCTTTATCGGCTACCCGTGACCTTCACTAAGAGCGCTCTGGCAGAGGAAGTTCAACGTTCAACGCTGTGACACCGAGGAAGGCAACATCACACATTACAACTAATACAAGAACAAACAACTTTTCGTGAGATTTGGATTCCAATCTCACATGCAAAACACTAGACTCGCCAGCCAGTCGTTCTGAGGTGTTTGTCATTTGTTGTGGCTTTGTTGTGGGGTCAAACATCAGGCGGACTGCGAAAAATAAGAACACCTCAGAACGAGGAGACCCCAGCGGGGTTCTAAGCTGCCATGTCACCAGATTCTGGTGACGGGGTCCCAAAGTTGGTGGGCGGTCACAATACGCTGGTGACCGCTAGGACGCTCACCTAAACGCGTGGGGTATTCGTCTCTCTACCTCTGTACCACCACCCTTTCCACCTTTTCCGTTATTTATTCGCGTTCCGTACTACTCTATGCACATTGATCCCACGCGACATGAGCGCTGAGCCTCCGGAATGACGATAACGAAACCCTGCAGGCTTTGACGCCAGGCACGAACGCCCACCGCATCAACAGCGTCAAATGCCGGCGTTCCCCTGCTAAGTGCTTCCATCAACACCGCCTTCATCTGCCGATGTCCCAATCAACCCCCAGCTTCTCCACGCTGCTCGAGAACCCGATGGCAGTCTGTCTGGAAAGAAGCGTACTATGCCCACCTGTAAGTCCTCTGCTTGTTGCCCTCCACTTCTTCTCACATCCTTCAGCAAGACGGAGCCCTTGCAGGCAGCATGCTCTCACCTCAATATTCATTTTGCAACGCGTGCCAACCTCGGGTTCCTTCAGAACGCGCTCATCCGCCATTGGTGTGTTTTTTCCGTCCATTTTTTTATACCAATTCTTTCTAATACACGCGTTGACAGGTTTCCCGTTCAAGGAGCCATCAAATCCTCGCTCCCTAACAAGAATGCCCCTAAGTAGATGCCCCTTCCATTGTCATACCCCCGCGACCTCACCAAGCGGATCAGTATTTGAGTCCATCAAGTAGCCGGACTGAGCAAGAAGCCCCTGAAGCTGACTTTGACGTCGACGACGAAGCGTTAGCGAAGGAGTACGATGTAGAGGGAGTGGCTGAAGCTGTGTTCGGGGCCCTCGACACTGGTGGCCTCGAAGACGGGGATGAAGATGAAGAGTTGGAGGACATGGAGGATCTCAATGATGACAGCGGTACGAATTTCCTCTGATTGTTTTTCCTATCAGAATTAAGCCATGTCATCTAGCAATCTATCAACGGTTTCAGACGACTGTACACGTGTCAGCTGCTCAAAGAACGGAAGCCAACCAAAGGAAGGGAGGGAGAAAGACCCAAAAATCTATTGTGAAGTCATGGCATGTAAGTTTCACAGCTACCGTTTTTGTTTTACATCCTCATCTCCACTTTGCCAGAAGGAAGCTCTTGAGTCAGGCAAGCTCCGAGACAACATCGTCGATGAGCATGCCCTACTCTTATTTATCGATTTTAGCGCTGGGCAATGCAAAAACACCGTCAAGGCAAGTACATTCCAAATACTCGTATTGGAGCAGTAAGTACCCTTGTGTTACAGTAGAGCATTTAATCACCGCTTTCTTACAGTCTCAGATCAAGAAGGGTTTTTTGGTGCTTTGCGCATCCGAGAGGTACAAAACGCTTGGGATCCCACGCTGGCCCTCAGGCGCCCTGCCACCACTGGCACCGTTCACGTCTATGACACCGTAAAGACTCGCATCGATGAGGCGCTACAAAATGCACGCGAGTATGTGATCCTTTCCTGCTCGGAAACCCGATGGCAAACTGCTTGCGGAGAAAGCAAGGAGAAAGTGTACAAAAGTCAGTACAGTAATCATCATTGCGAAATTCGCTGACGGAGCGCGTTTGCTAGCCATTTTGGCTGTTTGCCGAGGGCAACGAGATCAGCACAACACAAGCTACTCTTCGTTGCTGGCGCCAGAAAAACTTTGGGGCTGGCCTATGGCATGTTGTAGAATCTGCACGTCTTGGTCAGTCTGGTCTTATACTACGGTGACAATGTTTAGATCATCTCCTTCCAATAGAGACCTAAACGCCTCTCCCGAAACAATGACCTCCTTCCACACAGAAAAATATGTCCACTTTCTCAACAAAGTAACGCCAGAAACGTCGGAAGAGCTAACTTACCACAGAACCAGATGTACGTAGCCCTTCATCTCGATCTTTACACACCCCTCCAACCCACAAACCCAGTTCTCGTAGGAGAAGACATCCCCGCATTCGACAGCCACTGCTCAATGCATAACTTCCGATGCACAACTTCCGACAAAGCGGACATTGCCATAGACTGGGCTGGCAGCCTCCACCGCGCCAAAAACGCGAAGTCTTTGGGTTCTGCTACATCAACGACATCGTCCTCGGCATCCTCGAGCTCCTACATACCTGCCCCCACATCCTCTACATCGACTGCCATCACGGAGATGGCTTCGAAGAGGCATTTTATGCGAATGGACCTGTATCTTTCATAAATTTGGAGAGTATTTTCCTGGGACAGGGATGCAGGAGGGTAAAGGACGGGGAGCCGACGGGGGTATGCGGTTAATGTCCTGCTTCGGGATTGGATTACGGACGAGTCGTTTAGGAGTGTTTTTGAACCCATACGCTACACATATGGTCTTGTTTTATTTATTATTTCTTGATACTAAGGAGTGCTCCAGGTCATCACGAAAATCCTAGAAATGTTCCAACCCTCCGCATTATGTCGTTTCCATTCAGACATTTTTTCAAAGCTGATGTTCTCCTGTGCAATGACTGGGAGCGCATTTGGGACACATCTCTGCGGGAGTTTCGCGTCTTGCATTTCCCGGACGCCTTGGTCATTAAGAAGCTCTTGCTCGGCGTGGGAGGGGCGTTGGAATATATTCATCGTCATCGGGTTTGGTCCATCTCCATTGCTGGTGATTATATATAAAAAATGGGCAGCCTGGTGAGGCGGCAATGCGAAGTCGGCAAAAAAAAGACGCACTGTTTTTGAACCCTTCAAGTTAAGTATACCAGCTCGAGCCGCACCAGACTGCACTTTGTTCAAGAACTTGAAGAGAACGAGGTGTGCATGTCTGAAATTTTTATTAGCACATATGGCGGAGAGAAGTAGGAGAGAATAGTGGACACAGTACACTGGAGCCGATTGGTAGCGTGGTCATCCGAGGCAAATCCGAGGTAAGTAAGTACTGGTGATACTCAATGGTAACAATGAAAAAAAAAATTATGGGGGTTACGGGGTTGGTTTAATGCACAAATCGGAGCTACGGATTGCCAGTTGGCAATGTCAGTCTGTTTTGGACAAAGTGAAAGAAATCAAGAATACCGAAGACATGGCTGTGCACAGTTTTGTCAACAAAGAGGAAATTTCATGAGGGGATTTTGACCCACCAGCTTCAAAGTATGGAAACCAGGACAGCCGCAGAAAAAGGACGGTTAAACGGCATGGTGCAAATTCGTACACAACAATGACGGATACTATTCAGCCCAGGGAGTCTCCAATTGTTGCCGGTCAAATGGCCTCCCTGGATGCCAATCGAGCTGCCCCAGTCTGAGTGACAGTGAGTGTTCCTTAACTCTGGACACGCTCGACTTTGAGGAGGCGGGGGGTGAGCTGCCTATGAACACAATCATTGATTTCACAAGCAAGGACTCGAGCAACTTGAAAACAGGACCAGCCGCTACCACGTCTTCTCCCTCACCATGCAAATTGTGCAATGGCCACTTAGTGCGGCAACCATGATTCCGACAGTAATTCAGACATAATGGGGGCAGCAATTTTTACTATTATGTTCAAACACGTCTCTGAAAGCATGTATGGGGTTTTGATACGGCTATTTATGGAATGGCTACATATACAGTTTAGTAAATTACTAACCCTTCTCAATTTTTAGCTCACAATGCCTTCCAAACGCTCCCAATACCAAAAATCCGACCTTCCAAACATCAAGAAGCAAGTGTGTGGTCACTAGGGTGGAGGAACGAGCAGGAAGCGAGGGGTCACATTGTAAAGCGGAGGCGTTGAAGCTAGGGACGGGCAAGGAAGTGGAGAGTACAGCTTGGATGCGAAAGAAAAGAGGCGTGAGGGTAGTAGTAAGGCAAACAGGGACCGACGTGGAAGCGATGTGAGCTTGAGTTTGAAAGGAAACGGGAGGACCGAGCGGGGATGGCGAGCCAGGTGGCCCGCGCCCACGCCAAACCGATGTGACGACGACGGGCAGCCACCAGCCAAAGCGTGGTGACGAGGTGGAGCGAGGCCGGAGGAGGAAACGCAGAGAGCGCTTGTGACGAGGGCCAGAGAGAGTGGCTGACATAAGGTGCTGAGCGGTGACGCCGAGCTGGGACGGCGTCACGTCGTCACGAGGAATGCGCCTCAGAACGACTGGGACAAATGAACACGGTTTGGCAGGGACCCCTGCGTGTGACGCTGACTTAGAGAAATTTCCGCGAAACATTCACCCACCTCAAAACACCCATCCAAAACATCACAAAAAAAAGTTTTTCTGGCTACACCTTTAGATAGATTATTTAATTCAAATAATGTGATTACAGTAGAGTTGAAAAAGTAGATTTTTTTCGACACCTTGCGAGGACTGAGGACTGCGGCTATGACGACATTTGTCTGACAAGTTCGATAGGGATCACCACGGAGCTGCGGAGCATGTACATTTTCTTGCCGGTGACCAGCTGTCCATCACCCGATTACACGCCCTCGAACCAAACTGGCCACGAAGGACTGTTTCATGCGCATATTGCAGATCTTCTAGGCACTCTCTCGACATATTTCGGAAAAGCTGACAACAGTCCACGCAATCCCAATTTCGATTCAATGTCATGCGAGAATACCTGTGTGGACTCTACTGAAACCAACAAAACACCAAATACCAGGATCTGGCCACCAACTGAGTTGCCAGGTCCTGCAACTCTTGAAAACCCAACTAATCTGTGGCCAGGTCCTGCAACTCTCAAACCCCCAACCAAACTGAGTCCACCCCTCGAAAGTCCAGCAGCGACGGCAGTTGAAGATATTGGCAAATGCATGGTGGTGGATGAGAGTGTTGCAAAAGAGCCAGAGGGAGATTTTAAACGAGATCGTGAGGATGGAAAGTTATAGAAAGATCCCCTTGGTCATGATCAAGACTCAGAGCAAGGGGTGAGTAGCGGTCGAGTCGCGCTGTCGTTGTACAGAGTGTGAACCATGAAATTTCACTAAGTTCCGTGTCACAAAAGCGTGACCCTGCCAAAGAGTGTTCGTTTCTCCCAGCCGTTTCTGAACGTAGCTTGCGGAGTTTGAAGAAACGGCTGGTCACGAGCCTAGCAAAACACTGTACATCGCTTCAATTCTAGGCAATCAGATCTACCTCGGAATAACCCGAGTCATTTTTGACTGGGCTTGATGATCTGCCGTCGCCCTGCCGCTGTCCGCTTTTGGTAGTACCCCCTACCCCCCACCCCGTGAGAACGATGTACGCCGATCGTGGATCTGACACCTCTTGTGTACAGCCGTTTCGGAAAAGCTTGACTACGCGTGATTTGATGTGACGAAAAATCAACTAAATCCAAAAATTCAGAAAATGCAAAAATGCCGCGAAAGAGCCGTAAGATGTCGTGAACGAGTGTAATAGATTGTTTACGACAATGCTGAGATGTATGTATGAGCAGTAGTCTATCTAACATCGCTGTAACTGCACCGAGCGTCGTCACTGAGGACTGGATCATATACAGCTGGCTGTATAGGATGATAACCTCTCACGAAGAAGAGGGGAAGAGGGGAAGGTGACCAGCATAAGGCTCTAGATATCGAAGAAGAAATTCATTTGGAAAGAATGACCGAGGGAGGGAGGCAAGGTGAGAGGGAGGATGGTAGAGTTGTGACAGCTGCCAACGCCGCATGTTCTAACTCGAGAAATCTGCTCTCTTGCATCGGGTAGAGCTTCTCCGAATCACGCTAACCATGGAGCCCTCGGTGTGTTTGTGCTGCAGATGTTGTGGGAATCCATGAGAGCGCTACACACGAGGGAGTGCGTCACCGTGTGCGTGGTGCATCACGACTCCAGGAGCGATGGGCCAGAAGGGGGGGATGATGAATGATTAATGAGGCATAGAAATCTTTCCGAGTGCATACCAACTGGAAAGAGTGTGTTGGAGAAGACCTTGAATAATGTTTCCGGGGTAAGGACGGTTGGTAGATGGCTGAGGAACGCGCACCAAATCTGCCACTGCCCTCTGCCACTCAAGGCGTGCGTTCACTGCTACATTTGGTTCATATCCTGTGTTCTCCTCTCCTCCAAGTATGCTCTGGCGCTTCTCGGGCGTTCGCGATGTCGAACCGTCGGTGTTGTTTGCGATTTGTCGTCCGCGTCACGGGCAGCATCAAATGCACCTTCATAGCGTTTCAGTTTCAAATTGCACTGAAAAGGCTCGATTCGTTTGATACACCCTATAGGATGCATTTGGAGTCGACATCGACCATCAGACGGATGCTAGACTGACAAAAAAGCGACAAAAAGCCCTAGACTCGTTTTTTTGAATTTTTTGAATTATTATATTTTCCATTGCATCAAATCACACGTGGACAAGGTTTTCCGAAACGGCTGTAGTGTGTTTGAGCAGCAGGAAGTCGGGCAGTCTTGGCGAGCCCCAAGCCGCAAACGTAACCAAGTGACACGTACGACGATACATACATATCGACGTTCCTTCCTTCTTCCACCATCTCATCCACCGAAATCCTCCCGACGACATGCATACTTTCAAGTCCAACTCTGGACAACAATTATTGAGTGATGCGATCAACGTTCATGGGACAATCCCATTTAGTCGATGAGAGCGCCCCTTGGGCCCTTGGTTCCCACTGCTGCCGCTCCTCAGGCTGGACCCGACAAGTTTATGCAGGTCAGACTCTGTCCTCTATACCACTTCCCCGCTCACTCTTTCAATAGACGTTCGTGTCTGGATCTTGTTGAATGCTGTCGTGCACTATAAAAGATTCCCGATTTTTTGCCATCTCCCTCTCCATTTTGGTTTCAGGAACGGGGGCTATGGACGAATTTAGCCATCTGTCACTACCACCGCAAAAAATGGCTTGGCATTCCCAGAACAACACCTTCCTTTCAGCCGCCATCTTGTCAAACTGCGTCTAGGTCATCACCGCTACTGGGCTCCTCCTTAAGCATTCCTTCAACCCTACACTCGACAAGCCGCGCAGGAGCGCGCTTCTCAACTGGCTTAATACCCCAACATTATTTATCATGAGCGGCCGTCCTTTTAATCACCCATCACCTTCGACAACAAGCCTGCTTCCGAAAGCTTCTCCCACCCCAGCAGCAGGCTCCTCACGCCCTTCCCCCAGCGTGCGGTCGTCTGCTAGCCATCCGGTGAGTCTTGATGGATCAATCAGTGCCAACAGCTTCTAACCATAACCCTCAGTCTTCGATATCAGAAAAGGTATTTTGCACGCCATCACCTTGCTATATTTGAAGCCATATTTGTCTCTAGTATTCGTTATCCCATTCACCGCACGAATGGGGTCTGCCCTTACTCATGTCTACGCCCGAACCCGACGATGTCATTCATAACCCTGACCCGCGACGAGACAGACGAAATGACCAAGGGGGTTCAGTTTTCACTGTACGTGGACTAGGAAACCTTGGATGTCTTTCTATCCTTGCCACCGGTTGCTTGGCACTATTGTGAGTACACTATCATGATTTCCAATCCTACGTAACTCATGTGCAATGCAGCGCCGGTTTGTATCATTCCGTCTCAACAATTGGATACCATTGACATGTTCACGGCAGGCTATCCAATCTTAACGCATTTCATCGATCACAAGCAAACGAATCAAGGGGGATTCAACTTGGGAGGAATCAATGCAACCGGCCAAGTACCCGCCCTTCCGGGAAACCATGGTCTCATCGACCGAGATACGCCGCAAAGCGCCTACACGACCAAATCTTATCATACTGGTGATGAGATGGTTTTAGTTTTTTCCGACGAGTTCAACGTGGATGGCCGCACATTCTACCCTGGAGATGACCCCTTTTGGGAAGCTGTGGATCTGCATTACTGGGGGACTGTGAGTCGGATGGTCTTGTATGCCAGCATGTGGCTAACACATCTTAGAATGATTTAGAGTGGTATGACCCCGGACAAGGTCTTTTTGCTACCCTTTCGGCACCTGTCAGCATCTCACCGTATTCGTAGCGACGACCAAGGGAGGTTATTTGCAGGTCAGGTTAGAACAAGTGGGAAACCCAGCGGACAACCATAATTTGGGTTTCAAGTCGGGCATGGTAAATTGATCAACAAATACTGACAATTATCGCTTGACAACATTTCCATCAGATCCAGACGTGGTATGTCAAAATGTAACCTATCCGACAAGAAAGCATCCTCACAGTCCTCAGGAACAAGTTCTGCTTTACTGGGGGTCTCATTTTGGGTACGTAACTTTATAATCTTCAAGAATCTGACTTCACTCACAGTTATCTGGTAGCGTCTGTGATGCTTCCTGGTTCCAGCACAATTAGGTAGCGTACTTCATTTAACCCGACCCTTATACCAGTTTTACATTACGGGCACAGTGGATTTTGGCCCGCCATGTAAGTGTCACTTCCGGAGTTAGTGTAACAGTTGCTCACGCTCTTTTCGCAGTTGGACAATGGGGAATTTAGGTTAATCTCCCCTACTCTCTTGTGAACCTTCCTAACATCGTTGTTAGGACGCGCTGGCTTTGGTGGGACTGTAGAAGGCTTGGTATGCGCCGCCCAATATCCGAACGTGTCGATCGACTTACGCCAATCATAGTGGCCGTATAGTTATGATTCTTGCGATGTCGGCACACTTCCCAATCAAACCTACCCGGGCACAGCAACGCCTTTGGCGGCCGTCCAACACGGTGATCCCGGTAATCAGAATATGCTGGTACGGTTATAACGTTCCAACTTTCTCCAGAGCTGACGATATCCCGAATAGTCCTACCAACCTGGCCAACGGTTATGTGGGTGATAAAGCTGATTTCAATTATCTTTATTCACGAGGTAGAACAGCTGCATGCACTTGCCCGGGCGAGTCTCATCCTGGGCCTATGCGAGCGGATGGCAGTTATGTTGGCCGCTCAGCTCCCGAAATCGATATTTTCGAAGCTATCGTTGATAATGGCGTTGGCCAGGTAAGGTTTCTCCTGTAAGGCGTTCTATTCTTTGCATATATATCATTTGTCAGGTCTCCTTGTCGTCGCAATGGGCCCCTTTCAATGTAAGTTGAATCAAGTCTGGGACACTTCCTTGACTTACAAATCCATCAAAGGCCAGGTATCTCTTCACGAACTCGACAGGCGTCGTCACTTTCGACGACCCTAATAGAACGACGTTGAACGCTTATCTAGGGGGTACTTACCACCCTTTCCATGTTTCAATGGCTTGTTGTTGAGGCGTCCCTTTTCTAGGTGCCTTCCAACAAACCACCAGCGGGTTGTCGGTGACAAACCCGAATTGTTATGAGCTCAGTGGAGGATGTTATACCGTCTACGGTTTTGAGTATAAACCTGGGTAAAGATTTGTTGTTCGCCTTGATCTTTCTTTTCTGACGCTGGCACATTTTCTTACAGCTTTAATGATGCCTATATTACCTAGATTAACGATAATCAACGGGCTTGGACCATTTTAGTAGCTGCCATGGGTCCAGACGCAGCTACAGAGATCAGTGCACGGCCAGTCCCAACAGAACCAATGGTGATGGTCTCCCTTCTCCCTCCAAAAACATGCGTTTACCGACCTTCGACAGTACATAATTGCCAACCTGGGATTCTCGCAGAATTTCGGGGATATTAATCTCGATACGTTGACGTTCCCGGCAACCATGAGCGTTGATTGGATTAGGGTATATCAACCCAAGAATTCTATCAATATTGGATGCGATCCTGCCAACCACCCAACTGCGGCCTATATTGACACGTTTGTCCCCCTTTCGTCTAACCCAAATCTGTAGCCTCACCTTCTTTCATGTAGATATTATGGGGCATATACGAACCCCAACATTACCACCTGGGCACAGTTCAAGCAATCGTGGCCGAAGAACCGCTTGATGCCGGCCGGCTGCAACTAGAAATGCGCGTCTCCAACTCACCTCCCATTCCTTTTGTTTGTTGTCATCACTAGTGTTGTTTGTTGTCTTTTTGCACCTTTTGGGCCTGGTTGTACCTTGGATATGTACGTCTGTCTCAACAGAGTTTCGATTCAAATGCTTCAACATCTCGCTGAAAATGAGGAACCGACGGTAACGTTAGATGCTAACCGAATGCTAACCCAATTTCAAAGATTACTGTTACATTATAAGGTTTGCTACGCGTCTTGACTCACTTTTAAGTATATTCAAGTACTTAGTAGCAGGTATGTACTTTTAGTAGCCTGTGTGACTGTAGTAGCTAATAAATTTGGTGGCGATGAACGCGATCACATGCTCCATGGTGAGTGGCCATCGACCATCACCACGAGGCCAATATTCATTGTTCACCACTTGTGGCCTGCAGTGGCCCCTTCGTCAAGGCCACAGATATCTGCTATATAGCTGAAGCTCTGAAAGGTATGTGGCATATATTTTTTGTCGCGCAATGACAAAACGAACGAAGGCATCCAGGAAGACGCTACGCGCGCAAACCGTGACTGCTCAGGCGTCGGCGATCGACGACGCCCAGCTAACCTCTTCCGATCACGCGTCCCATCCTGTTCCTCCTCGCACACCTCCTCGCAACTCTCGACCAGGCTCTGTCCAATCAGAATCTGTTGAGGACACTCCCATGAGTCATAGCTCCCATGGAGCTGATCGTGGGTTTGCCACCGTTGAGGCAGCAGTGGATTTCCTTCACGAGGAGCTTTCAGAAAATTATAGGCTCCAGTCCGGTCCTGACTTCGGAGTCACCCTCCCTAACGGGGTGGATGATGAGCGACTGGACGATTTCTTGGCAAAATCCCGATTCTATACTAAGCAGAAGCGTTGGAAGGGCATTCCAAAGAAGCCAAGTTGCGAGAAGAAGCTGTACCAACCTTTCTTAGAATTGATCTGTGGCATTCTCTCGTACTTTCAGTTTACCACACGGCAGGCTCACGACACGCACGCGAGGAAGCTCACTCATGTCGAAGGGGTCAGCAATACGGCATTGAAGTCGTCCCCCGACATATTTATCTCCGGAACTGGTGACGCTTTTTGTCCAGTTAGCAAGCTGAGGAATTCATCAAAACTGTCATCGAAACCAAGCTATCGAGCATGCGCCAGCCCCCTTGAAATCAAGACCGACAAGAACTATACGTTCGATAGCAACCTCATCCAAATCGCCGTTTACGCCCGGTGAGTTCACTCCGCTGTTCGTTTTCAACACCGTTTGTGACCTGTGCAGACAATGTTTTATTCAACAGGAGAATCGATTTTTCGTTTATTCTGCAATCTTAACAGAAACATTCATTCAACTTTTCCAATTCGATCGCGCCGGTGTTATGTTCTCGGGAAAAATCAACATCCATATTCATCCTCGCTCATTTGTTCACATCATCCTCACCTTGGCATCCCAAGATCCTGTAGCCCTCGGCTTCGATAAAAGCATACATTGGCGTAACAGCAAACGGTACCTGTCCATGGACGTGGAGAATGAGTTGGTCGAATTCGAAATCAAAAAGCTGAAGGCGTCCTTCCTTCGTCGCGCGATCCGTGGTCGAGGAACGTGCTGCTGGAATGTTGTCAATCCCAAAACGAAAGAGGAGTATTTGGCAAAGGATTGCTGGCGCTCGGCCAATCGAACTCCTGAGTGGGAACTTCTGGAAAAGGCCAAGGGACTCGACGGTGTGGGGCAGATGATTGGTTATTGGGAACCAGGGTTCAGCGTTGGCCGTTTAAGGGGTATTGGTCGCGATACCCCAGGGTTTCGAGACCGGGATTTTTGCAGAGTGTTGCTGGAGAGATACGGCAAACCCATCCATCAGTTTGACGACCGAAAAAAGCTTCTTTACGCCCTCCGGGATGCTATTTCGGGTAAGCCACACCCTCGTCATCACACCTTTTCTTTCTGATCATTTATCAAGGACATCAAAACCTTTGGAACGCTGAAATTCTTCATCGAGACGTGAGCATCAATAATATTCTTATGGGAAAGAAAGATGCGCCAGTTGGTAACCGGGGCGTGATTATCGACCTTGATATGGCAATTCTGCTCAACCGAGAAGGAAGCCTTGCAGGAGTTGACTTTCGAACGGTGAGTTAACCTCACATCACTCGTTTTTGCATCCTAATTTCGACATAGGGCACTCGCGCATTTCAATCCATGATGGTACTCCGAAGTCAAACAAACAAGCCTGGCGTTATATTCCCTGCCCACGACTACCTCGATGATCTAGAATCTTTCTTTTACGTCTTCTGCTATATTTGCTTCGCTTACGAAGCACCAGGGAAGAAGAAGAGCCCACAGCCGACTTTGTTGACAGAATGGGAAGACTTTAACTCGAACACAGCAAGACATTCAAAACTCAGTTTCCTCACTGAGTCTTCTGATCACGATCTTTCGCCATGGTTTGGAGAAGGAGTTTTCCAGACCCTCTTACAACAGATGGGGCAATTTGTCTACGACCACTACATGACGAAGGACAGAAGGCTTAAACAACCTCGCCGATGCCTCAATGATCTCACAGAGGCGGCGCATGAACAGTACGCTATCTTTTTAGGCTACGTCGACGAAGCGATAGAGAAATTGGAAGCCATGCAACCGGAAGTCGCACCTGACGGCACAATCCTCGCCAGTGGTGTTCCTCCCATAACTCCGCCGCGGTCATCCCCCAGTAGTAGCAAACGACCCTCGAACGATGTCCTGGAAGGAAGTCCCTCATCCAAAAAGCCCAAAAGGAACCCCCATGCGCCAAGGTTTCCCTCTACCCTATCGATGGAAACTGGTACAATTGATGATTCGCTACACAAGTTAGCGTAGGGGTTAAAGTTATCAATTTTATTTACAAGCCTAGTGTTTTACATGAACTTTGAAGGTATCATTCAGGACGGAGAAAGCGCTGGTGTTGACTGTTGTCGTTGGCTGGAACCATGTTGTAAGCATAGTGTCGCTTGCAATTACAGTTATAATTTGAACGTGCGTGCGATCGATCCGACTAGATTTGGATGATGTAAAGTGAGATGCATCCAACTTACCTTTTATCCTCCTGTCAAATCACAAGAAAAACTCCGTCGTTCAAGTTAAAGCCACAGCAAGATGATAGGCCAAATAGTCCTACTCAATTATGAGTTATGTGAGGCAAGTTATTTTACGAAGCCATATGAGCTCAATATGATCTTTGATGTCCCTTGATGCCAACATGTCTGAGTTTTAAAACCCTCCTGTTTGCTTGCAGAGCGTCGCTTTCTACTGCGCCTGGAGCCATCGTGTGCTATGGGGAAAAATTGGCTGAAAACTTGAGATATACAGAATCTCGACTCTGAGGCTGATCATGATAAGTCTGAAGGTGCTGAGTATCTCACATGCTACAGCCTGTCGACTCTGCTGCAACTCTGCTGTTCCTTTGAAACTCAGACATGTTGGCATCAAGGGTCATCAAGAATTATATTGAGCTCATATGGTCTTCGTAAAATAACTTAGCTCGCATAACTCGAAATTGAGTAGGACTATTCATTGTATCCTCTTGCAATGCGTTCATGATATGGCGATGCGTATGATCAACGCGATCACATGCTCGTTCAATTGAAATACTTCTTGTGATCAATGATCATGTATTTGTGGCCACCACCGGCACGAGGCCCTATGTAATACTCATTGTCTCCTCTTGTGGCCGGAAGTGGCCCATATCTCAAGGCAAAGCTATAGCTGCAGTTTTACGAGGTATGTGGCAAATAATTTTTTTTACGCGATGGCAAAACAGAAAATCGCATCTTAGGGGCTCTATGCGGCCAAATTGTGACCGCTCAGGCGTCGGCGGCAGTCGACAACGACAAGCCGGCCTCTCCTGCAGCTGATCACGCCTCCCACTGGCATCCCATTCCTCCTTGCACACCCCCTCTCAACTCTCAACCTGGTTTTGTTGAAACAGGTATTACAACTATTGCAAAATCACCCATCACTCAAAGTTCGGATGGAACTTATTGCGGTTACGGCACTGGTGAAGATCAAGCAAATGTTCTCCGAGAGGAGCTGGAACGACATAAGTCCGAGGGTGAAGATAAATTTGGACGAACCACTTTTCAGCCAGTGGACACCGCGACTCAGGAACAGCTAGAGGAGTTCTTTGAGGATACCAACTACTTTACGTTGAATCCCAAGAAACGGTGGAACGGCATTCCGGAGGTGCCACTGTCCGAAAAAACAGTCTACAATCCTTACGTGAACATTATCATTGGAATTCTGTCGTATTTCGAAGTTGCCGCACGCCAGATGGTCCCACCTGCGGCGACGCTTGGCCCTGTCGAAGGGGCGGAAGGTATGACACTGAATCTGTCCCCCGAGGCACTTATCCTGGGAACTGGCTTTGCCGAAGGAACCACACCCCATGACACGCTTGTCACAAAGCTCGACGATAACAAAGGGGCCGGCAATACTACATTGGACACGTCTGACGTACTCATTTCGGAATCTAGTGCCGTGGAAGACACCACACCCCAGCCGGTTCATGACACACATGCAACGAAACTTGGTCACATCGAAGGGGTTGACAATACGACTGTGAAAACATCTCCGGACATACTTTTTTTGGGATCTGGTGACGGTTTTTGGCCAGACAACAAACTGGTTCAAGCATCGAAACTGTCATCAAAATCTTCATTAAAATCAACTTATAGAAGCTGCGCCAGCCCCCTCGAAATCAAAACCGAGAATAATTGTGCGTTTTGGGATAACCTCGTTCAAATTGCTGTATACGCTCGGTGAGCGTAGTTCGCTATCTCTTCCCAATACCGTTTGTGACACTTTCTTTGTAGACAATGCTTTATTCAGCAGGAGAATCGGTTTTTCGTTTATTCTGCCATCCTGACCGAAACCTTCATCCAACTCTTCCAATTTGATCGCGCCGGTGTAATGTACTCAAAAAGAATCAACATCCATCAACATCCTCGCTATTTTATTCGCATTATCCTCGCCCTCGCATCCCCAGACCCCGAAGCCCTTGGGTTGGATACAAGCATACAGTGGTATGACGGCAAGCGATACCTGACTATGCCGACACGCGCAGAGAATGAGCTTGTACGTTATGAGATTGAAAATCATAAGGCATGCTTCCTTCGTCGCGCCATCCGTGGTCGAGGAACCCGCTGCTGGAATGTCATCGATCCCAAAACAGGTGACAAATACCTGGCTAAGGATTGCTGGCGGTCCGTTGACCGTACTCCCGAGTGGGAGCTTCTGGAAATGGCCAAAGGACTAGAAGGCGTGGGGCAGATGATCGGTTACTGGGAGCCGGAGATGACCATCAGCTCTTTGAGGGGTATCGATCGCAATACTCCCAATTTCCGAGACCGAACTTTCTGCCGAGTCTTGCTAGAGAGATATGGCAAGCCTATCCACCAATTTGACAACAAAAAGCAGCTTCTCTCTGCTTTCCGGGATGCTATCGCTGGTAAGTCGCTCCTTTGGCACTGTTCTTCGCGTTTCTGATTATTCCTTTAGGGCATCGGAACCTATGGAACAAAGGCATGCTCCATCGGGATATAAGCATTAATAACATTCTCATAGGTAAGGAAAATGCGCCAGTTGGTAGTCGAGGCGTGGTCATCGACCTTGATATGGCGATCCTACTCAATCGGGAAGGTAGCCTTGCCGGCGTCGACTTCAGGACGGTGAGCTGGGTCCACATCATTCAAATTTTGCAGTCTGACCTAGACATAGGGTACCCGTATATTCCAAACCATTATGGTATTCCAAAGTCAAATGAAACAAAAGCCGGGCACTATATTCCCCGCCCACGACTATCTCGATGACCTGGAGTCTTGCTTTTACGTTCCATGTTGGATCTGGTTTGCCTACGACGGACCAGGGTTACTGGTACACCCACAACCAAGGTTTCTGTGTTTCTGGGGGGAATTAAACCCGGCGATGGCAAGCAATTCCAAATTCGTGTTTTTTTCACAAATTTGTGCTTCCTGAGATGTCATCATGGTTTGGGAAAACTTTCGGCACTCTCCTTGAAAATTTCCGGAAGTTTCTTGTCACCGAGATATCAAGGAAGGAGCGCATGATGCATGAAAAAACACCGCGCTTGAGCTTGGAAGAACTGAAAGCTGATGCCACCAAACACTATGCCATCGTCTTAGGCTTTTTTGACGACGCAATCAAAGAAGTGGAAGCGCTACCTAATGCCAGCCCACTTTTCGCCAATGGTTTGCCCCCTGCCACAGCAAACCCCGCAACTCCACCACAAGCATTTGCCAGTCCTGTTAAACGACGTTCAGACGATGTCCCAGAGGGTAGCCCCTCATTCAAAAGATCCAGAACGAATCCTCATGCGCCAAGGGTCCTCTCCACCCTGTCGACGGAAACAAGTTCGATGGATGATTTTATTGTGTGTTAAATGTTCCAGCTTTTGGGACTGGTGGGTTTTTCTTCAAAGTTCGCATACATATTTCTCAGGACTCAATGCGTCTCGGTCATGTATGGGTTTAAATGCTTGAATACCAGCAATTATTGTATCCTGTTACCAATTACATTCTACAAAGTCGATAAATCATAATGTGGTGGCGATGTGTATCATCAACGCGATCACATGCCCATTTGTATCTGTGATCACCACTCGAAGGTTCAAGGAGGGTCATCTCATTGTTCTCCTCTTGTGGCTGGAAGTGGCCTATTTCTCAAGGCAGAGCTATATAGCTGCAGTTTTACGAGGTATGTGGCACATATTCTTTTTTACACGATGGCAAAAACAGAAAATCGCATCCAGGGCTCTACGCGGCGAAATCATCGTGACCGCTCAGGGGTCGGCGGCAGGCGACAACGACAAGCCGGCCTCTTCTGATTATGCCTACCATCCCATTCCTCCTTGCGCACCCCCTCGCAAGTCTCCACCTGGCTCTATTGAAACAGGTATCACAACTACCGAAGAAACGCCCATGACCCAAGTTTCGCATGGACCTGATCGCGGTTATGGCACTATCGAGGAACAAGCAACTTACCTCCGAGAGGAGCTTGAACGACACAAACTCGAGGCCGGAGACAAATTTGGAAGAACCACTTTTTTGGACACCGCGACCAAGGAACAGCTGGAGAAGTTCTTTGCGGATACCAATCACTTTACGTGGAATCCGAAGAACCGGTGGAACGGCATTCCAGAGGTGCCAACGTCCGAAAAAAAACTCTACCACCCTTATGTGGCCATTATCAGCGGCATTCTGTCCTATTTTGAAATTTCTGCACGCCAGATGATCGCACCTGCGGCGACGCTGGGCCCTGTCCAAGGGGCGCAAGCTGCGACATTGAATATGTCACGCGATGCACTTATTCCAGGATCTGGCCTTGCTGAAGGAACTGCACCCCATGACATGTTTGCCACAAAGCTCAGCGATAACATATGGGTCGACAATATTACATTGGACACGTTCGACGTACTCATCTCAGGATCTGGTTTGGTAGAAGACACCACACCCCACGACACACATGCGACGAAACTCAGTCATATCGACAGTACGACACTGAGCACATCTCCCGACATACTTATTTCAGGATCTGGTGTCGGTTTTTGGCCGAACAGCAAACTGGTTCAATCATTGAACCTGTCATCGAAAGCTTCAAAAAAATCAACTTATAGAGGATGTGCTAGCCCCCTCGAAATTAAAACCGAGAAGACTTATTCGTTCTGGGATAACCTCATTCAAATTGCTGTATACGCCCGGTGAGCGTAGTTCGCTATCTCTTCCCAATACCGTTTTTGACCTTTTCTTTGTAGACAATGCTTTATTCAACAGGAGAGTCGGTTTTTCGTTTATTCTGCCATCCTGACCGAAACTTTCATCCAACTCTTCCAATTTGATCGCGCTGGTGTGATGTACTCACAACATTCACCGCCATCCTCGCCATTTTATTCTCGTTATCCTCGCCCTCGCATCCCCAGACCCCGCAGCCCTTGGCTTGGATACAAGCATACAGTGGTGTGGCGGCAAGCGATACCTGACTATGCCAACGCGCGGAGAATGAGCTTGTACGTTATGAGATTGAAAATCTCAAGGCATGCTTCCTTCGTCGTGCGATCCGTGGTCGAGGAACGTGCTGCTGGAATCTCATCGATCCCAAAACTGGTGATAAATACCTGGCTAAGGATTGCTGGCGGTCCGTTGACCGTACTCCCGAGTGGGAGCTTCTGGAAATGGCCAAAGGACTAGAAGGCGTGGGGCAGATGATAGACCATTGGGAGCCGAAGATGAGCATCAGCTCTTTGAGGGGTATTGATTGCAATACTCCCAATTTCCGAGATCGAAGTTTCTCCAGAGTCTTGCTAGAGAGATATGGCAAACGTATCCACCAATTTGACAACAAAAAGCAGCTTCTCTCTGCTTTCCGGGATGCTATCGCTGGTAATTCGATCCTTTGGCGCTGTTCTTCGCGTTTTTGATCATTCCTTCAGGGCATCGGAACCTATGGAACAAAGGCATTCTCCATCGAGATATAAGCATTAATAACATTCTCATAGGTAAGGAAAATGCGCCAGTTGGTAGTCGAGGCGTGGTCATCGACCTTGATATGGCGATTCTACTCAATCGAGAAGGCAGTCTTGCCGGCGTCGACTTCAGGACGGTGAGCTGGGTCCACATCATTCAAATTTTGCAGTCTGACCTAGACATAGGGTACCCGTATATTCCAATCCGTTATGGTACTCCGAAGTCAAATGAAACAAAAGCCGGGCATTATATTCCCCACCCACGACTATCTCGATGATCTGGAGTCTTGCTTTTATGTTCTGTGCTGGATCTGCTTTGCCTACGACGGACTACGGTTACTGATAGACCCACAACCAAGTTTTCTGTGCCTCTGGGAGAAACTAAACCCGGAGATAGCAAGCAATTCCAAATTCACGTTCTTGCACGAGTTTGCGCTTCCTGAGATGTCTTCATGGTTTGGGGAAACATTTGAGACACTCCTCCAAAGTTTCCAGACGTTTCTTGTCGCCAAGATAAATAGGAAGACACGCATGATGCATCAAAAAGTACCGCGCTTGAGCTTGGAAGAACTGAAAGCTGATGCCACCAAACACTACGCCATCGTCTTGGGCTTTTTTGATGACGCAATCAAAGAAGTGGAAGCGCTGCCCGATGCCAGTCCACCTTTTGCTACTCGTTTGCCCCCCGCCACAGCAAGCCCCGCAACTCCACCACGAGCATCTGCCAGTCTTGGTAAGCGACGTTCAGACGATGTCCCAGAGGGTAGCCCCTCAATCAAGAAACCCAGAACGAATCCTCATGCGCCAAGGTTCCCCTCTAACCTGTTGACGGAAACAAGTTCGATGGATGATTTTTATGGGGATTGAAATTTCAGGCTTTTGGGACTGGTGGGCTTTTCGCGAACATATTTCAATGTGTTCTGGTCATGTAAATGCTTGAGTACCAACAAGTAGAAGCCATGCATATTAGTTATTCGGAAGAGGATCCTCTATCATACAGTCAACATTTTGCGCAATAAACTCAACAAGCTTGGATCCAAGGATCCAGCTGGGTATATATTATTACAGATCAACTGTATATCACTTGTAATACTCTGTACATCTGCACAAGGGACTACTTAAAGACAAAGTGATGATCTAGTGTGAACTCCTTCAGTACGCAACACGTCTGGGTGTGTTACACAGGAGAGGCGATATAGCTCAACATCGACTCGCAATGCAGGTGACGGTAGAGTAGGGAGGAGATCAGAAATAAACGGGCTTTCCTGTCGCGGATATCCCACACACACTGCCAACGTCGATTTTGAATGGTGTGAGAGTCATAACTCTACATGACGTACTGGAGTGAGAAACCTGCATCTTCAAAGGGGAGGCTGAAGCATCATCCGAAGTAGGAGCAAGAAAGCTGAGACAGGCAGCTTCGAAAGATGCTCTGCTAGAATGAGCTCCAAAACATCCCACTTGTCGTCAGATGGCCTGGGGGATCTGGGAAGAATCGTCACCCGATGCCAAAAGGTCCTTCAAAGCGAAAGTACAAAGATTGTTGAGACGGGCTGGAATAGGTAATATGATATACAGCAGCAACAAAGAGAAAAGAGGGATAACCTCCCCTGGAGGCCAGTTGACCAAGCCGTGAGTCCGATGTCTGGTCCAGAGGACCAGTCAAGGCAAGCACATGGGATACCTAAAGCATCCCCAATTAGGCCATTTTTTTAGGTCACGACTTGCTTGTTGCTGGTCTAGGTTGCGACGAACCAGAAGCAATAACATCGTGATAGGCTGGAGGTGCAGTACCTCCAAACTCACTCCCCTCGGATGCAACGCCACTGCCTGACGTCGAGCTGCCAGCTGGAAAGCTGGAAACTGCAGAAAGCGAACCTGATTCCAGACGCCTGTGAAAAGGCATCCTAGAGGAATCGCCGCTGAGCATCGTGGGGCCACTAGAGGACCTGGTATTGGTACGAAGAGATGGCTTGATCGTTGATACAAAATCTGACGACGATTGTGAACGTGGAAAACTACGTTCTGAGGGAGACGAAGGGACGACAAAGGGGTGGATGGCTTGGCTTGGAAGAGCAGCGTTTGGTAGGTGGGATGCTTCTGCTGGAGGAACAACGACGGTTTTGTCTGAAAATGCTTCCCGTCTTTGGCGCTGCCGTCGCAGGAATATAACAGCAAGTGCGACAAGGAGCAATGCGATGCCCCCTAGAACGCCTCCGACAATTGCTCCTACTGGCGCCTTAATGCCCGAAGATCCCGAATCAATACCGGTTGAGTTTGACAAGCCCAAAGGCATGTACGTGATGTAATCGAAAATGAACGTTTGATTGACACATTTGCTGATCGTTAGCATGACAGTGTGATTCCCCTGTGGAAGGGAGCCAGTGGTGAAGAGGGCGTTGTTCGGTACTTGCCCCTGACTGCTTTTGTATCCTGAGTTGCTCGACTGAACAGAGTAGTCTTTCCCAGTGGGAACCCCATCCACAGTGTATATAGCTGAGAGCACCCCAAGGGTGGATGTCGTCTGGACGCCCCAAATTGTGGCAGAAGTTCCTATTGTTGCTTCAGTGAACATAGCGAGAGAGCCAAATGCCAAAACAGACCCGAAAAATGAAATGTCATGGAATCGCCTTCAGTTGTACTCCGAGTCGTAGAGTTGTTCATCGGAATCATCAACGGACGTGTTGTGTTATCGCCGTTGATCACATCCGGACTTTTTTTCCATTTCCCGCTGTAGCTTATTGCAGAATCATCGTCCTCGACAAGGACAAGCTGTTGGGGAAGCAGAACATCCTTACTGGTCTGAACGATGGCCACGTCCATCGCTGGATTATATATCTGACCCAACGAGATTCGGTGAGTACCGTTTGATAGAGTGGGTGACTGGTACCATTGCTGCCATGTCTGCGTCGTATTAGGGTTGACGTAGGTGTAGTTGGACGACGACCCGCCGTCAATCGAGACCGTGAATACGTTCAATCCAGCAGCGAGAGGCACCGTATTTCCGTAGAGACCAATTGACGTCCCTGCTTCCTCAGGTTAAAACAACACCCCAAATCAAAAAAAAGTAAAGAAACTCGCCATTAAACGTCAAATTCATCGTACCGTAGAGACCATTGCCCGCAACCACGAATGATGGATACTGCGTGCTTCCATTGAACCACCGTGACGCTTTGCTCGTCTTCCACGCTCCTCCCCCATAGGAAAAAACATCTGAAGTATCGTCCAACACTAAAGAAATTTGGGAGGCCATTCCAGCAGGATGGCGGTAGCAGAGGAAAAGCCAGAGTGCCTGTGAAAGGAATGATCAAGTGCGATGTCACCGGTTCAGCGTCAAAAGCCAGTGCCATCGTTTCGTGATGCAGCGGATCGGGTGAGAGAAGATACTTAGCCCTGATCCGGAGTGCAATCAAATGAAAGCCGGTCGCAATAGCCAAAAAAAGGCTTTCCACATGTTCACAGTTTGAACTTGATGGCTCTTGATGGGTATCTCGCACAGGGTATGTAAATTGTAAGGCGTCGTGCATTGAACTCGCCAACTTTTTTGGTAACGTACGAAGACAAAGCAAGTTGACTTCTATCCTCCCACTCATGATCGCCGTCGAACGACAATCAAAAGACCCCAGAATTATCATACACCCTCCCTATGATTCATATTCAGTGACGCAATAATCCGACAGCGAGCGAGCCAAAACGGGTTGATAACAGGAGGGGAGCGGAAGCTCCCAATTCATGGCGGATAAACTCCCAGTATGTTTTCGATGGCCCTTTCAAAAACGAGCCTACACGATGTCATTGTAAGCCGGCGGCGGAGGTCTCTCAGCCTCATTTCCCCTTCTTCCAATACCATCACCTGACGGCGAGTCAGTAGCAGAAGGGCTCGAAGAGCCCGCAGAAAGTGAACCTGAGTCCACACTCTTGTGGAGAGGTACGATGGAGGAGCCAGAGGCTTGCGCTGTGTGGCCGGGAGGAGTGGTGTTGGCGGGCGACTTGGTCACGGACAGGAGTTCTGATGATGATCCCGGAAACATCTGTCTCGATGATGATAAGGGGACAATGAACGGATGGATGGCTTGCCCGGGACGAGCAGCGTTTTGCGGTTGATATGAAACCTTCTCTGAAAGCGCCTGTTGCCTACGGCGCACCCGCCAGAACAAGGCAAAAAAGAGGAGCAGAACGACACCGCCAACAACACCGCCAACAATTGCTCCTACTGGCGTTTTTGGGGCTGTCTTGGGGGCTGAAGACGGTTCTGAAGCAGCGCTGGACGAGCTGGACGAGCCAAAAGGTGTGTATGTGATATAATCAAAAATGAATGTCTGGTTAACGCATTTGTTGATCGTAAGCGAGAGCGAGTGATTCCCTTCTGAAAGGGGGCCCGTACTGAAGAGGGCTATGTTCGGTAATTGGCCTTGTCCAGTTTTGTAATTTAGGTTACTTGATAGGACGGAGTAGTCCTTCCCAATGGATACCCCATCCAAATCATATATAGCCGAGAGGACTCCAACATAGGTTGTTGTTTGGATACCCCAAACCGTGGCGGACGTTCCTGTTGGATTTATCTAATTAAGTGGGACTGCGCAGATAACTGAGATGCCAAAACACACCCGAAAAATGGAAAGTCATAGAATCCCCCGCGGTAGTGCTTTGAGTTGTGGAATTGTTCATCGGGATCATCGATGGTAGAGTTGTATTACCGCCATTAATCACATCCCCATTATTTTTCCAGTTCCCACTGTAAACGATAGCTGGATCATCATCCTCGACTAAGAGAACCTGTTGGGGCAGCACGGTATCCTTGCTGGTCTTGACGATGGCTACGTCAAACGCTGGGCTATATATTCGAGCCAACGAAATTCGATGCGTTCCACTGGCTAACGTTGGAGATTGGTACCACCGCGTCCATGTTTGGACCGTTGGGTTAACATGGGTATAGTTGGAAGGTGTCTCGCCATCGATCGAAACCGAGAGTACATCTAATCCAGCAGCGAGAGGATTGGTGTTCCCATAAAAACCAATCGACGTCCCTGGTTTCCTACGTTAATGTCATGCTTCTCAAGTCTGAGAACGATAACATGCCTTGGAATGTCAAATTTACAATACCATACAGTCCATTCCCAGGGACAGAAAAAGAAGGGTACTGTGTGCTTCCATTGAACCACCGCTGACTTGCGATGCTCGTCTTCCAAGCGCCTCCTCCATAAGTGAAAACACCCAAGGTATCATCCAACACCAACGAAACTTCAGATGTCATTGGAAGGGATGATCACAGAACCCACAGGTACCAGCCTTGGGAAATAATCAAGGAGCCTGGCCAGGGATAGGACGAGGACGATGCAGTCTGCCCCGTTTGACGTGGAGTTGACGTGAACACCGGTGTAGTGAGATGCGAAGGCGATAGTGTACCATGATGCCATCAACCTTCAGGACTTAAGAAGTCCATGATATATGGCACACCGCGTGGGTCAAACGACAACTGGGTCCGGTCTCCGATTTCTGGTCAATTTCAGCTGACAGACTGGTCCTGCCCAAGCCCAACGAAGGCACTCAAGACAGACACTGTCTGAAAGCTTCGAGATTTGACTCTCGGGCGTCTGTAAGATATTTTACTATCGCAATCGATTCAACAATGACTAGTACAAAACTTACGAGCTCGACGCGCACTGAACCCTTGAAGTCTATGTGTAGCCTTCGAACGCAATACGTTCAAGTTTGAAATTGCCCCTTCATGAAAAGTTGGACGACGGCCTAAGTATTTGACGTTGTCGAAGAGCATGCTGAGGGGAAAGTTTCCATGGTGACGATGACATGTAAGTAGTATGTGAATGTGAATTGTTGGGTTTTCACTGTTTGGCTGATTTCATATCACTGCAAACTTGCTGCAAACCTATTATTGTTATTGTTCAATGCGATGTATTAATTAGTGTTTGCTGTACGATAGTTATTGCAATAATAGGCAGAAGAGATAGCTATACAAATGATGTGTTCTGACAAAAAATTTGGAGATCAACGAATGGACATCAGCTCCACCCGCAAAGAATTCAGCTCGCGAACACATAACACTCTACACAATGAACACATGACTCTTCTGTCCCAACGGGTATCAGAGGCAGAGCAGCGGGTCGGGCTGGAAAGGGGGAGCGGACTCGAGGATAGCGGAGAGGGAAGGGAACGAAGACGCCATGATAGCGGGGACAGGTGTCCGGTCTATAAGGATAAAGTATTGCGTGATAAGAACGTGGTGCGTTCGTTGAGGACATTAGAGGATGTTGACAGAGAGGTAGAGGGCTCTTTTATTTTCCTATTGAGGTTTTAATGGGCTGCTCGGCTGGGGTTGCGAGCCAATGTCTGTCCAGCCTGCGCAGCTTGGACGGATGTGAAGCGGGTTAACTCCTGAGGCGACACGTGGACCTTGCCGAGGCCGACCTTGCGAGCAGCACGCTTGATGAAAGAAACGCGATTCTCGTAGAGAGACTCGTGAATGGAACCCACGCGCGACTTGCTGCGACCGAGGGGAACACCAGCGACGGTGTCCCTGGCGAGAGCACGTTCGTGACGGGTACGAAGCCATTTGATAACGGTGGCCCGCATACCGAATTTGATCCAATCCAGAGGGATGAACCAGACGATGTTCTAGAAAAGACTGGATTAACAAAAAAAAACACGTTAAAAAGAGGACAAGACATACCCAGACCCAAACGATACCGATCCATCCACCAGAAATAGAATGAATGTCGGTGAAACCCCAGTCAGCGTAAGCCGCAATGATAGAGGAGATAAGTTGGGCGAGGCAGAAAGCGGCGAAGAGGGCAAAGGACGGGCGTTCCATGAAGAAGAAGCTGTGGGCACGAGTAGTGAAAATCAAAGCTTGGGAAATGATCGCAACTTGTAGGTATGTGATCATGTGAAGCTGAGGATCGTTTTTGTTGATGGGAGGAGGAGAGCTGAGGGCAACGCCGAACTTTCTCTGGAAGAAGTCGGTCTCGACAATTATGACGACCAATGCAACACTAACGAAGGGAAAGAATGGGTTAGATAATTGTTCAAAAACGAAACGAGAAGACACCACTCACGTAGATCCCGTCAGATAGATACCATAAGCGATGGCGTATGCGAAAATCTCTGCAAGATCCCAACTATCGGGAGTCATGGAAGGAAGGACACGATCGAGAGAGAGGGTCATGATGGTGCCGTCATTGAGAAGGGCGATGACTAGCACCATGAAGGGAGGGAAGTCAAACTTGTACGTGAATGCGAGGATAGCAAAGCAGACGACGATACGGATGGTGACGGCGCAGGCGTAGATGGAGTAGTTCCTCATTCGCTGGAAAATGATACGAGCTTGACGGATGGCGTGAACGATAGTAGAAAGACCAGGTTCAGTCAGGACAATATCAGCGGCACCACGAGCGGCGTCAGTCGCACCCTCGACAGCAATACCAACGTTGGCACGGGACAAAGCAGGAGCATCATTGGCGCCATCTCCAGTCATTGCACACAAGTGACCCATACCCTGGAGACGCTTGACAATTTCGTACTTGTGCTCAGGGAACACACCAGCAAATCCGTCGGCATCCATGATCATCTCGTCAAGATTCCTGAACTTGGAGTCTGGGGGGGGACCTTCCTTCAGAACCTTCGCGGGGTACATGTGATCACCGAGACCGAGACGACGACCAGTTTCTTTGGCAATGGCGAGTTGATCACCGGTGACCATCTTGACGCGGACACCGAGGGCTTGGGCATCATCGATGGTCTGCTTGGTATCATCACGGGGGGGATCGAAGATAGCGAGGAGACCGATGAGCTCAAACCCATTGCCTTCAGCCTCGAAATTATCGCTGTCCAACTCCTCATAGGCGACGGCAAGCGCACGAAGACCACGACTGGCGTATTCCTCGACATCATGCTCCAAGGTGTTCTCCAAATCTTCTGTCTTGTTGCGCGAGCAGAGCTCAATGATGATACCAGTCATGCCCTTGGTAACACGCTTGAGTTTCCCGGACGACTCATCACGATAGGTGATCTCGGTACGCTTATCGACGGGATTGAAAGGCTTGAAGTCAAGCAGCTTGATGCCGGCACGAGCGCGAGCAGTATCACCAAGAGCCTCGACGACAGACCTGTCGATGGCATCCTGGTTCTCAGTACGCGAGGCGTACGCTGCCATGAGGATTACTTCATCAGGGTTGAAGTGGGCGTAGGTTTTAATGGTGCTACGATCGATGGTGAGCTTGTTGGTGGTGAGGGTACCGGTTTTATCTGAACAAAGAATAGTGACACCAGCCAACTCCTCGATGGCAGTAATACGGGTAACGATAGCCTTGTACTTGGCGAGTTGCTGGGCACCGACGGCGAGAGTGACGGAGAGGACAGTAGGCATGGCAATGGGGATACCACCGATGAGGAGGACGAGGATGTTGTTCAATCCACGACGATATTGGAAACGGAAACCAGCATAGAGACAGAAAATCTCTGCGAGAACGAAGATACCGATGGTGATGAGGCAGAATGACCCAATTTGGGCAAGAATCTTCTGCAAATGACCGGTACTGTCATCGTCTTGACCAACGAGCGACGCAGCACGACCGAAGAAAGTGTTGGCGCCGGTTGAAATAACGACGCCCTCAGCTTCACCCTGTTTACACGTGGACCCACTAGTCACATGAGTGTGACGTCAGGAAGGCTAAAAATAATCAACTCACGAGAAACACTGGTCGCCTGTTTTCTTGGACTGAGGGAGGGACTCGCCGGTCAAAGCAGCCTGATCAATGGACACGTTGATTGCCTCTGTGAGTCGGCAGTCGGCAGGAACGATATCTCCAATCTTGAAGGAGATCATGTCACCGGGAACGAGGATGGACGACTCGATTTCTGACCACTGGCCTGCGCGCTTGACCTTGGCTTTGGGAGCGAGCGAGTCCATGAGAGCCTTGACGGCATTACCGGCGTTGTGCTCTTCGTAGAAACCAATAGCGGAGTTGATGAATAACAAAGTAATGATACCGACGAAATCTTCCCAATCCGGAGGAGTCCCTTGACCGTTGGATAGAATAATGGCAACGAGAGCGGCGGCTTCCATAACCCAGGACAGAGGATTCCACATAAAACCCAAAAACTTTAAAATCGCACCGTCAGCGAAAATTCAACGAAGGCGAGCAGGCAAAAATACCTGAAGAATAGGATTTTGCTCCTCCGACTCTAGCTTATTAGGACCGAATAATTCTAGACGGCGCAGAGCCTCCTCATGGCTGAGACCATCCTCGCTACACTGCAGGAGCTGGAAGACATCGTCGATGACAATGGTCTCTAGATCAACCTTGTCCTTGTCGTAAAGGTCTTCAGCCTTGAGCTGGATCTGGAACGAAGATTCAGCTTCGGATCGCAAAAAAAAAAAACCAAGGAATAATTACCGTAGCCATGTCCACCAAGGCATCTGCAGACGGCGGTCAGCCATCTGAGACATGGCGATGAAGAAAAAAAAAACGTACGTGTAGCCTTCTCCTGTTCGTGCCCAAAGTCCTTGTACTCTCTCTTCTTTTTCTCTGGCGCTTCGACGGGTGTGTTGTCTGAGCTGGGTGTTGCCGCCGCGGGCGAACCCTTTTCAGCGTTTTCGCTCATAACTGCGATATGATGCTATCACGAAGATAGGGCGGAGGGAGGAGAACGCAGGAGGCGAACGATCAGGCGGGTGGAAGTGAAGAGGAGGGAGAAAAAGGGTGGTTTGGCGGCAGACGATTTGCTGCCTTATATTACTCTCCCCCTAACTTTTTACCGCGCGATCATAAACACGGAAACAACTACAAATACCTTGCCGCAACCCGATCACAGCGCCTCAACAGCCTACGTTCTCAAATTTTCCTCTGCTTCTTCGTGGTGAAGCCTTGGCTGCTGAAGCGTCGTTCTACCTTCTTCGTCGTAGACCGATTTTCAGTCTCCTTCACTGCTTTGTGTCTCGCTCTAGTACTGCACTGTTTCACTTGATCGCTGCGATCACGTGATGTAAATGTTTCTCGGAATCGGCATCCGACCTCTTAAAATAGCCGCCGTTCCAAAGATGACATGCCGCCATGACATTCAATCTTCGACCTCCTGGCTAATATACTTGATATCTGTCTCCGATATCGTACATATATATCTTTAGACGGCTTCAAAGAAAGTGCATTCCGTCTTCGACGTCGTCAATCTCTCATTTTTGTACTTGAAGCTCTAGACAGACCTCTATGTGCTCAATGCTGTTCTTGGCACTGAGCAGCATACGAGCGTCCGAGTACGACGCACACTAAGTCGCCGCTATCAATTGTTATCGGCTGCGGACAACCTTCCGTCGTTCCACATGCTTTTCCTTTACTACAATTCTACACAACAAACCGCAGTTCTGGGCAATAAAATTAAGGTAGCAAACCCACACAATTCCTTAGAGCGTGAAATACGTCGAGCATCGTGAATTAATTTTCTGCAAGGATGGTGAATATTGGTGGGCAAGAACCTGGCTCTGCTAAAAGCGCTGATGTAAAATCTCCCGCGCGGCACGTCTCTATCCGATCCGGTATTCCAGCCTCTGTTATGTGTACACTAACAGTCAAGTTAATGATGCATTGATGGTCCTGGTTATCGCTCGACGCTGACGCGTAATACACCCTAAGCATTCTGAGATGTATTACCATGAGAACCACTCCACCAAATGCCTTTGTCAAGATCGAAGTCCCTCAGCTGCTGACCTTTTTCCGGCCTAGCCACACGGGTTTCTCCAAGAAAGAATTTTTCTGGACCACGAGCAATCACGGATAATATCATCGACAGCAGAAATATCAAAACCAAAAGTCCAGAGAAAGCAAAGACAACGATTGACGCGCTCCTTGGAATACTATCCGTCAAGACGTTGGTGTTCCTCCCAAGGTCAAATACTGTGATATTGAGTATTACGATGGCCGACCCAACAGCTAGAACAGAAAGTGCCATGAAAGCGCTATGTAGACACAATATCAGAAGGACTTCGTGATTTATGCAGGAAAGGACTGACCCGAGCACAATTCGCCAAAAGGTCTGACTGGCGAATGGGACTCTGGAACGACTCCATTGCGCCCAGGAGAGCCCAAGTTGAGTAAGCGCTGGTATTATGAAACCGACGCTAAACAGAGAAAACGAGAACACCATGAGTCCGACGTTTCCGCGGGCAGCACTACGCAAGAGAAAATACGTCAGTGAACGATTCAACAAATGACGGTAAAATTTTCTGATACCCGAATATTGTAGAGTAGACTATAGCTGCCCCAGCGAGAGAGATCGTAATCAGACCGGATGCCAGATTGGAGTACACGTCAGACATGGCCTAAATAACACGGAATGCGGCCAAGCTCAAACAAAATGAAAGGAGTGCATTTGGAAAACAAACCTTTGCCCAGTCACGTAATTCATAAAATCCCGTCATATCCAATGTTGTCTGGCAGTTCAGAAGGTTTTCGTAATCCGCAATGTTTTCTTTAACTTCTTCTATCTAGTATGGGGGTTAAAACGGAAGGAGAAAGAAGGCGGATGGTACGGCGTTACATGTGCGCTCAGAACTTTGCATTTTTCAATGTTGTCGCATAAAGCACTGATCAGAGCCATTTCGTCCTGAGTTTGTTGTTCCAGAGTGCGTTGTTTTACGCGTTCAGCCTTTTCCAGCTACACGGTCAAGTACAAGAGACCTCAATTAGCTTCCAAGCTGAACCACATGTTGACGCGACTCACAATACCCTCTATCTTCTTTAAATAGGCACGTTTTTCTTCCAACGTAGCCTTGAACGTCTTATTATACTCATCCTTTCTACTAATCAGCGATGGAGTTAATGCGGAGAAGAAACGACTCGCTTGGGAATGGACGTATTCATCCGATGTGGTCGGGAGAAAAATGCGTCGAAGGATATCGGTATTCCACTGCGAAACCATGGTGGATGGGGATGAGCTGAGCTAGCCCTTCAACTGCTGTTGACGAGACAACGTTGCAGACAGGTGGATTGATTTGAGATCAAACTGCGAGCGCTTATCTATGCGCCCACAGAAAAGAAAAGATAGGCGACCGTGTGTGCTGTAGCAGATGTGAAGATAGTACCAGAGACAAGGACAGTTCTCCGAGTTCAAGTTCCGCCTGTATCAGGCCACCTGTACTTACCTGCGCTGGATTGAGACCCGAATAGTCCATAAGGCTGAGGCGTGTTGCGGATTGATCATTGGATGCATGCCAATGGTTAATATTGTTCATTGGCGTTAAACGCGGGAAAATTATTAGAGTTGACAGACAATCGACCTGGCCCTGAATTGAACAGGAACGCTCATCTTTTCAAGCGAAAGGAAATGCATGTAGGCGCCTGGATGCCTACCAAGTACCCGCTGCACCACCAGGTCTGGTGGTATACAAAGCATTTCGGGTAAGTAATTGGTGAAGTCTTGCAATTGACCGATTGAAAGTGGAGTGAGGCAGGAGGCGGTAACTTGGAAGTGGTCGCAAAGAGTATACTGCGATATTGATGAAAAATACGAGTTATTGACAAATCTGGAGGGATGAAAAAAATGCTTACAACGAGATGCACTGTTCGTGACTCGTGAATCGAACAGAAAACATCTGATAACGCGTTGAATCGAAAGCGGACGCGTCTTCTACTGCCAGTGCTTGTTAGGCATATTTGAAAGTCGAATGATAATCGTGTAACTTGGGACGGAGCTCGTTTTAAAGGTTGGGGACGGGAACGTTCTATGCCAGTGATAGCCTTGAAACACGTAGTGGAGTTCCACTGGATGCGTGCTGTGAGTGTCATTGACTCTTAAGTCAGTCAAGTGAACGACAAGATAACGAAGTCAGAGCCTCACGCACTTTGACTATGGAAAACATCCCCCCACTTATACTTAAAACCTCTCGAGAGTGGTTACAAACCAGTGCAGGAGTAGTGAAGATAGCGATGGTGTCAACGAGGTCGTGGTGGTGGTTGAAATCAAGAGTTCTGTTTGGCGACAATTCACATCACACCCTCAAGAGAGTTATAGCGGAAAGATAAGTTCCTACATGAAACCCAGTAGTCGGGAGTATCTGTAAGCTTCGTATTCGTATACCCACCTCAGTACTCAATCAGTACTGCAGTGGGACTGGAGTCTGAGAGGGAAAACTTGCAGCCACGTGCTGGCTGGATATCAAAATAGAACAATCCACGCGTCGCGGTCAAAATACTTGGTCATTGCACGCAAATTCCGCAATGTCTTCAAGCTTCCCAGATCCCACTATAATCTCTCGAGCTCCAGGCGGGCCAAAAAGACTCGGCCACAAATGCAGCAATTTTGAATGTGCAGCTCGAGGAAGCGAAACGACGCTCAAAGTCTGCGCGAGGTGTAAAGCAGTAAAGTACGTAACCCCGAACCCGACGCTCCCAAAAACTCACCAACGACCTCTGTAGATATTGTTCTCGCCAATGCCAAACGAAAGACTGGAAAGTACGTCTTCAACCTACGGTACTCTTCCAACGTTCCACTTATCTTTGCAGAACCACAAACCAGCATGCACGAACAACGCAGAACACGCCGCCCAACTCGCTCAAGCCGACCAATCCGGCATCCTCGCACACTCCCTTCCTCAGGGTATAACACTAACCGATCTCGACCAGCGCCTCGAAAAATGGATCAAATTCCACAACTCAACCCTAATGGCCGCAACCATCCACGCCCTCGCCCTCCCACGGGACATCAAACGCTCTCGAACGCACATCGTACGCATGCAGGTGAGTTATCGGGAGGACAATAACGGTGCCCCCGGGAAATTCTTCCGCGTCGATAGGGCAGAGGCGATCGAGATGGATGAGGCGAGGAGGCTTGGGGGAGCGTGGCCGGAGAGTTTGGTGCAGGTTGCGAAGCTGCGCGAGGAGAGTGAGAAGAGGCGGATGGGGACGGTTTCTGCTATTGGAGTGGAGTGCTATCCGCTTGCGGTGCAGATTGTGCCGTTTGGGTCGTTGAGGGATTTGAGCCCGTTGGAGCTTGTGAAGGATTGGGAGCGGGTGTTGAAGAGGGATGTGCAGAATGCGAAGAAATTTACAAAGTTTGGGCCATGAGAATGTCCTTCTTACCTGCATCTGCCAATATCATACCCCTCACGAACACATCCATGAATCCAATCATCAAAGTCTATAGCCAGCCCACAAAAAAAAACATGACACAAAGAGGTAATTAGGCAAGAGAGGACGCAGGCAGCGGTGAGAGATTCAAAATTTAGGTGAAATTCAAACGAAGTGCACTATCCGAGCCAACCACCCTAACAGTTTCAACTGGAAAGATAGAAAAAAAAACCTCGCCCGATTAAATTAAGAGTCGAAAGCCACACACAGTCCATCCATTCCCCAACCCAACCCGCGTTCAAAGCGCACTGGTACGAAAGGGCAACAAGAACTTTGAGCAGCAGCAACTAAGAAGTCGAAAAGGAGCGTGGAAGGCCTGCAGAGAGAAAAAGTCTAATTAAATTACACTTGCGATTTGATTTGGTCGGTTTGGTTTGTCTTTTATGATGATTGAGGGCTAGAGACATCGAGGACTAGAGTGTGTGTGGTACGCAGGTGGAGGAGGGAGGGTTCGGAAGGAATGGTGGTATGATGCGATGGGAGAGCATTTTTCGATTTTTTTTTTCCCCATGGTTTATATGCGATTGGTATCAATTCTTCCGCGTTAGGGATTATGCTCATCGAAGGACGGAAAACTACACAGGGGCCGTCCCACCCGTCCTACTCGGGTTCCTCGCAAGCGTCTGGCCAACTCTCTGGGCTTGAATAGAGCTGAATCGGTGCAGCTCCTCAGGCTTCATCGAGATCTTTCCGCCAAAGCCCACTTTACGTGCCGCACGCTTGATGAACGACACACGATTCGAGTAGAGCGATTCGTGGATGGACGCAGCACGCGATTGGGTGCGGGTGAGTGGGATACCGGTGGCAGCCACTTCGTGGGCAATGCGCTCGCGACGCTTGCGGATAGCCTTGATAACGGTGGCTTTCATTCCAAATTTAACCCAATCCAGAGGGATGAACCAGATGATGTTCTATATAGATATACGATGTCAGAAGAAGGTTAGCGCGTGACTGGAAAAAGATACCCACCCAGATCCAAACAATGCCGATCCAACCACCAGAGATAGCCTTGATCTTAGTGAAGCCCATGTTACCATACGCAGCAATGATGGACGAGATGAGCTGGGCAAGGGCGAACGCGCCCAGGAGTGCTGTAGAGGGCCGCTCCATGAAGAAGAAGCCGTGCGAACGGGTGACAAAGATGAGGGCTTGTGAGATGATAGCAACTTGGAGGTAGACAATCATGTGCAGCTTGGGGTCGTTGTGCGAGATAGGAGGTGCAGTGTCGAGGGAGACGCCGAACTTGTCTTGGAAGAAGTTGGTCTCGATGATGATGCAGACGAGGGCAATGCTAGTGGTCGAAGTGTCAGCCGTGAAATGATAAGTTGGGTACGAAGAACTTACGTGGATGCAGTGAGGTAGATACCATAAGCAACCGCGTACGAGAAAATCTCAACCAAATCCCAACTATCCGGCGTCAGAGAAGGAAGCACACGATCAACCGAGAGAGTCATAATGGTCCCATCATTGAGGAGTGCAATGATCAGAACCATAAACGGCGGGAAGTTGAACTTGTACACAAACGACAGGATGGCGAAACACACCACAATACGGATGGTGACAGCGCACGCGTAGATCGAGTAGTTCCTCATACGTTGGAAGATAATACGGGATTGGCGGATGGCGTGGACGATGGTGGAAAGACCAGGTTCAGTGAGCACGATATCAGCAGCACCACGAGCAGCGTCCGTTGCACCTTCCACAGCGATACCGACATTGGCACGAGACAACGCAGGGGCGTCGTTGGCACCATCACCCGTCATCGCGCACAAATGCCCAAGCCCCTGTAACCGCTTGACAATCTCATACTTGTGCTCAGGGAACACACCAGCGAACCCATCAGCATCCATAATCATCTCATCGAGGTTGCTGAACTTGCTTCCGGGGGCAGGGCCATCCTTCAACACCTTCGCGGGGTACATGTGGTCTCCCAATCCAAGACGGCGACCGGTTTCTTTGGCGATGGCAAGTTGATCACCAGTGACCATCTTGACGCGAACGCCGAGAGCCAGTGCATCATCAATGGTTTGCTTGGTGTCATCACGGGGAGGATCAAAGATGGCGAGGAGACCAATAAGCTCAAACCCGTCACCCTCAGCCTCATGATCATCGCCGTCCAATTCCTCGTAAGCGACAGCCAGGGCACGGAGACCGCGGACAGCAAAGTCCTCTACATCCTTCTCCAACCTCTCCTCCAGCTCCTCGGTCTTGTTGCGCGTGCAAAGTTCGATAATGATACCCGTCATACCCTTTGTGACACGCTTAAGTTTGCCGGACGACTCTTCACGGTATGTGATCTCGGTACGCTTATCAACGGGGTTGAACGGCTTGAAGTCGAGCAGTTTGATTCCGGCACGAGCACGGGCTGTATCTCCGAGCGCTTGAACGACGGACATGTCGATGGCGTCCTGATTTTCCGTACGCGAGGCGTAAGCGGCAAGGAGTATAACGTCCTCCGCGGAGAAGGAGCCGTATGTCTGGATGGTGTTGCGGTCGATGGTGAGCTTGTTGGTGGTCAAAGTTCCGGTCTTGTCAGAGCACAGGATGGTAACACCAGCCAACTCTTCAATGGCAGTGATGCGTGTAACGATGGCCTTGTACTTGGCCAATTGCTGAGCACCAACGGCGAGGGTGACTGAGAGGACAGTGGGCATGGCAATGGGGATACCGCCAATGAGGAGAACGAGGATGTTGTCGAGACCAGCGCGATACCTGTACCTGAAGCCAGCGTACAAAACAAAGATTTCCGCAATGACGAAGATACCAATGGTGACAAGGCAGAAAGATCCGATTTGAGCCAAAATCTTCTGCAAGTGACCGGTGGTGTCATCATCCTGGCCAACGAGCGAGGCAGCACGACCAAAGAAGGTGTTGGGGCCAGTGGAAATGACCACTCCCTCAGCTTCACCCTGCTTGCACGTGGATCCCCTGAGCGCCAAAAAAAAATGACGTCAAACGCTGGACAATGTGCTCCGAAAACATCGAAGACTCACGAAAAGCACTGGTCGCCCGTTTTCTTGGACTGAGGCAGTGACTCACCCGTCAAAGCCGCCTGATCAATAGAAACATTGATGGCCTCCGTTAAACGACAATCGGCCGGGACGATATCACCGATTTTAAATGACACCATATCGCCAGGAACGAGAATGGACGACTCAATTTCCGACCATTGGCCGTCGCGTCTAACCTTGGCTTTAGGTGCCAAGGAGTCCATAAGAGCCTTGACGGCATTACCAGCGTTACGTTCTTCGTAAAAACCAATGGCGGAGTTGATGAACAGGAGGAGAACGATACCGACGAAATCAGGCCAGTCAGGGGGTTTGCCCTGACCGTTTGAAAGTACGATAGCGACGAGGGCGGCAGCTTCCATCACCCATGACAGGGGGTTCCACATAAAACTCAAGAACTGAGTAGAAGTATTCAGAAACGTGCGCCTAGATAGACTAAAAGACTAACCTGAAGGAATGGATTCTGTTCCTCGGATTCCAGTTTGTTGGGACCGAATAACTCGAGTCGTCGCTGAGCCTCCTCCTGGTTCAACCCCTCCGCAGTGCACTGCAAGAGCTTGAAGACATCATCGATAACGATAGTCTCCAAGTCAACTTTCTCCTTGTCGTACAAATCCTCTGCCTTTAGTTCAATCTGCAGGGACGCACGTTCGTATAAGCCAAGCAGGATTGGCACATCCAAGCAAACTGAAGACGTACCGTGGACATATCGACCTTGGCGTCTATACGCGCGTCAGAACCGCATAGAACAAGTTGAATAAAATCAACGACTCACGAGTTGCTTTCTCGTCGTCATGGCCAAAATCCTTATACTGCCTCTTTTTTTTCTCTGGCTCCTCGATGGGGGTGGAAGAAGAGGTAGCGTCGGTAGCATCACCCTGAGGATCGTTTGCGACGGCGCTCATGGTGGCGAAGTCGCTTCCAGGAAGAAGAAAACTGCGACCGGGAGGAATGAGGGGAAACGAGAGATAGAGATGTTTGACCTTATTATGTAGTTCCCAATCCATGAGAAATTTGCAGGGCCTCTGGGCGCCAAGGCACCATAAAACCACGCAGGTGAACCGACTCGGAGATTCCAATCTGCTATGATAGCAGAAATATATTCCAGATTTTATCTCTTTTCTGAGCCATATATGCGTTGCGTTTACCGCGGTGAGCAACTGCTTGTGGGTCCGTATGGGTGCCGCATTATCCGCACTGTGAAGAGGTGCGCACTACTTTCGGGAATACGTTTAAGCCTCTTCACCCAAAACGAACCACAGGGATATCCAGTTCGACCCTCGGACGAACCATATGACCCGATTTCCCACGTTTGTTCTAGCACCAAAAAGCTGCAAGGAGGCTGGCTTCCACGGTACCTGGGAGTAGTACCTTACCACCGGAATGTAAATCGAAAATTTCTGCAACATTTCTGTTGGTCGTGTGCAACGAATTCTGAGCGGAGAAAACATAAGTAACTTCTGGAACCCTTCAAAAATAGAACGCGACCTTGATGATCATTTTGAAGAACCTCCATCGTAGGCTCTCGGTGCAGCCTTCCGTCGCCATCGTATCGTCGGCCGCAGCCAGTATTCTCGGATATGGCGGTCGCAATTGACATCAGCTTTGAAATTTACCAGACAGCGGCGGTGGCGAATCTGCAAGCGAGGCGCCTCGCTCGTTTCGGGTTTCGACGACGTCCGAAGGGCCAAGCGCAGCCAAAGCGCCGTGAGGGAAAAACGCCAGTCGTGTCGAACCCGTTCCATCAAACAAAAATTCGAGGCGATCAAGCCCGTTGACTCTTGAGGGATATTCGCGTTGAGGAGGTGATCTATAAATAAAACAACCTTTCGTGGAAAATCGGGGTTATAATAGGGTCTAAGATCTGTTCTTGACAGGCCTCATGGCGGCATCATGCCGCGGCACGGTATCATCGTTATATCCACCCTCAAAAGCGAGTGTCTAGGTAGATAGATTTTTTACATTACAGCTTTTTGGCTCGTCACAAGTCAAAAAGTAAAAGTAGAGTGGCCTATGATCTTGCTCATTCAAGGTCGTGGTGACATCAAAACATGAGGAGGCGGGGAGCCTCATGAGGTCATCTGGTCTGATCATGATCATGACATGACTTCACTGTGCAACACTACCTGTCGCCTGGACACCTACCTCACCCACCTCGAATAAACACGAAAAAAAAACACTCTGAAAGCCTAGAAACAAGGCTTTCTAACGGTCAAAGAATTACGTGAAATGATTTACAGTACTTTGCGTGGGTTGTTGCCAGTGCAACCAAAGTGCAACACTCATACGTATACAAAAAATAAAACACAAAATACATCCTCATTCAAACTTCCCTCTCACAGAGCTACTCAACTGATAGGCTTGAAATTCTTTCCAGTGAAACACAAGTATGCATCTTTGTTAAGAAAGAGGGATTAATCAACGCAGGCAACATGGTCAAATGCCTCCTGAGCTTGTTTCCTGATGGATTTTTCTCAAATAAAAAATACTTTCCAACTTGCTGGTATACATTCTCTCAAATATTTTCAGAAGCCCCCTCCTTGTTGAGGTGTTGGATGGCGATTTGACTCTCACAATAGGCATGTGATGCACCGACACTCCCGTCGGTGCCGACTCTGTGATTTGTGATATCATAATAATTTTAGAAAACGAGATGATTTGTTATGGTAGAGACTACAGTGATGCGGGCGTACGGATGAGGGAAGATTACAGATTACGTGGAGGAGGATGAGAGATGGTGAGGTACATTTGGGATGGAGAGTAAAAAGGAAAATTAGGGATAGGGTAGAAGGGGTATATAGGACAGATCGCAAAGGTAAAGGAAGGAGGGAGGTAGGAGGTAGGAAATGAGAAAAACCGGAAAACGATACAAAACGCAAACCAGCATCACCAACTAACCAACCGACCCAAAGAAAAAAAAAGATTCATGAACAGTGCGCCAACTCACGCACTCCCTTGCTCCTCCCCAAGAGCAGCCTTCTCCTCAGGGTCCAACCAACTCTCCTCAACAGTCAACTTCACCCTCCTAACATACTCCTTCATATTCTCCCTATACAACTGCGCCGCCTCTGCATTCGCCGGACTATTCGGGTTGGGATCATGCAACAAGCTCTGTATGCTCGTCAAGATCGCAGCAACGTCATACGTCGGCGACCACCGATTCTGCAAAATATCCAAACACAGCTCCCCATTCGCATACACGTTGGGGTGGAACATCCGCGAGAGGAACTTGACGGTGGGCGGTTTGTTCGGGTACGATTCGTCAAATGTCAGCATCAGCTTGAAGGTGCCGTCTTCGAATGGGGTGTCGCCTGTTGTAGAGGGGGGTGGGGTAAGTTAGATCGGACTGAGGTGGCGCAAGCGGCGGCACGGGGGCAGATGAAAATGGAGCATACCTGGCCCAAAGATGACGGCGTTCCATAGCATGATGTTATCAGGGCATGGACTTCCTGATATACCACCAGGCGGATCGCCAGAAAGGCGCTTAAAATCGCGGATGAGGCGTCGTCTGCAGTTGGTGGACTGGGCAAGGTTCAATCGATTGTCGCAGTTCATTGATAATCAGCCCGCTGCGGGGACTCACCATGATAATGAAAGATTAGGCAAAGCCTTTTTTTAGTGGTGGTCGTGGGTGATAACGTCGAGCGGTTGAGATCAGAGTCAATTGTAATGGTGCTTGCTCAACTTGTTGAACAGCTTTAACCACCTGAAAAATAAATACACGCAAATAATCCATTCCACCGAGGAAAAACCATGGCCCATCATCATGCCAAGGAAATGATGCTAGATTGCCTGCATTGAACTAGCTCAACAGACGAGAAAGGACGTCGAGCGCTCTATGACTGGGCACTGGTACCCTCCCAGTTGCAACGGCTAGTCTTCGGAGTTTCATGACAAGCTGATCGACCCAATCCTCTGGCCATCGAATAGACGCTGTGACCTTTTTTACGGGGTTCGATCTGCACTCAGACCTGCTCGTTACCCCGCTCAACAACGAACCCACGTTTGCAAAAAGAGAGATATCATTAGAACCCACCCTATCATTATTCTACAACTCATCATGGTCCAATCCAAGCTCTTCCAAGCCCTCAGTTACTCCCTCTGGTCCCTTTTCCCCCTTCTCCGCCGCCACCGCAGCAGCTCCGGCTAAGACATTCGTATCCGCTGCGGCCATCCGCGACTGAACCTTACCCTCCTCCGCCAACTCTCTCGCGAATCGCGCAATCTCCGCATCGTACTCCTCCCACTCGGGTATTTGACGGGCACGTGCCAATTTGGGCTCTTTCTGTTAGGCGCTCAAGGGTGTTGGTTTAAAGGCAAAGGGTGAAAGACGAACCGTGAGTGGATTTTGACAGAGGTCGATCGTTTTGGCTCTATGAAGTCGGTCTTTGCTGCCTGTTCATTGATTAAATGTGATGAGTAGCGTAATAATAGATAAAGTTGTTGCACGTACACCACGTTTCGCACTATAAATAAGACGCAAAGCCGTAAGCGCTGAAACATGGAGGAATGCACGGACTTACCCATAGCCAATCCTCATGTAACGAGAACTAAGGAACAGGCAGTCAGGAGAACCTCCTTATACACAACACAAGAACGCTTACGATCGGTACTTGAGTCTGTATATTGTTCGGCAGGTCTACAGGAGGACATTGAGATACCTCCAACACACAACAATCGTTATCATCCATACCTTGGTCAAGATTCGCAAGTGAGTTTGGATCAGCAGATAGAGCTTGATACTGTCCTCTAAGGATATCCTGATATCAATCACACCCGTGATAAGCAAAGGCAGAAAGACATGAGCGCGCATTCTCGTACCCCAGCCGCAAGCTAAAGCACAATTAGCTCAAATAGAAAACAGAGCGAAAAAACAAAATAACGTACCTGTCTGAACCGCACAAGATCTATAACATACAGCGCACTGCGCACATCAATACTATGGCCAGGCATCAAACAATTCACACACCTAATATGATACGGCTTCCCCGCCAAAAACTCTTTCCAATACCCCGACTTCCAAAACCTAAATCCCTCCATATCCTCATTATCGTCACCCATGGGCGTATACCCATACGGCGCCCCATGTAAATCAAGGTCCACAAGCTCCTTCAAATCCGCACGAACAATCTGGTCTGCATCGACAAAGATCACTTTCTTCAAGTCCATAGGGAATAAAACGTCCAGGAAGAGAATCTTATACGCCCATATTATGCGCTGTTTCTCTGTTTGTGCGCGTAGCCAGGAGGGCCATTTGTATGTGACTAGTTCGTATTGGAAGTTGTACTTTTCTGCCATGTGTGGGATGAATTCCTAGAAGGGGTGAGTGTGAGTTTGAAAATGGATACATGAAGGTTAAGGCGTACGAGGAAGGACGGGGAGAGGAAGTTCTCGATGAACCAGAACTTGACGGTACTGTTCGTGTTGCGGAGGACACTGACAATCATGATGGATACAAAGCGCTTGAATGGGGGAAGTCAGCTTAAATAAGCAAAGTATAGCCTAAGCTTACCTCGTATAAAGCCCAGAAGCGACAGTGAAGATGTTGATATCTGCCTGCGGTTGGACAGGGACCAAAGCGTCCACCGGCTTCTCCTTCGATCCCCCAAAAGAAGGACATCAGACTAAAAGACCAACCCATAAGCAAAAGCAGCCCAAGAAAACCGAAACCCAACATACCGAGAAGTCATATCCACAAACAAGCCCCCAGACCCACTTTCATAATGATCAATCCTCTCATCCAACACATCCGCCCTTTCCATCCCCGGATTCCTATCCAGCTGGGGATACAGAACCAGCCCCTCAAAGCTCGTCAACGTAATCTCACTCCCCACATCCTCGACACTAGGGCTATTCCACCCTTCATTCCCCACAGTCTTCATCTCATAAACCTTCCTCCCCTTGCCTTCCCTAATCTCCAGCTTAAAAACCCCAGGCTTAGTTTTAAACTGGAAGTATCCAAGATTCGCCACGACTTGTGTATCGTCTATGGGTGAACCATCGCTGGTGACCAGCTCGAGTTGGACACCTCTTGGAGGGGCGTTGGTGGCGGATTCACGAGCGTGTCCGTCGACTACGATATAGTCAAGTTCGAAGACGGCATCTACACTGCTATCTCCGGGAGATAGGTTGCCCAGCTGGATGTTATCGAGATCGTACAGGGCTTCACGGGGTCGTACTATCCAAGCGTGAGGAACGTCCATTGCTAGGGTGTAGATTGGGTCGATGGGGAGACCTTCGAAGACCGCTTGTGCTGGAATCTCGTTTCTGTGTGGATAGCTTGGTTGAAGGGAACGTCAAATGAAAACAGGATTGGTACGAACCCAGCATCGTCAAATGACAAGGATGGAATGGGATTGTTGCGGTAGAAGCGCTTCAGAGGAATCTGACAAAAAAGGATGGTTGTCACATCCCCAATAGACAACTTGACAGGATAGACCCACATCGGTATAACGTCCTGGGTTCAAGTGAACTTCAATGAAGATATTAGGGAGGGCTGAAAGCCACTATAATCACCACCATCAGACAAAGATCCGTATAAAGTTCAACAAATGCCAAACCTGGATAATGCTAGACCACTTCTGAGCAGTCTCGCTCAGTGGATCGACAAGGACCGCAATGTGATACAGCGCAGTAGCGTTGTTACCATATTCAAAGGCCCTGATACAATAAATACTCAAAAAACACCATAAATCGTCCCCAAAGAAACGTACGTGTATTTCGAGTCTAGCAATTGATATGCACGTTGCCGAGGTCTTTGGGGAGCATCGAATAACCCAACTTCACTGGGATCAGGGAGTTGTATGGCCGCGATGATGGAAGAGGACATAGACACGATATTCGAGAACTCCACTCTGGGAAGAAAATAAAATCATCTATCAGCAAACTAGTCATCGCTGAGAGGATGTGAAAAAACGAAACTTGTTTTCAGCAAGCAAAGGCGTGATACTCTCCAACGCCTTCAAAACCGGTCCCGTTCGTTTCGTCAACTCGTATTCTTCCAGAGCGATGAAATCAGCTGAATGGAATGTATCTCCCTTCTCAAATGGACCAACAAGCTACCACAACAAGCCAGCATCAGCAGTGCATAGGTCCAATAAAAAGGGCAAATACACGCACCCGTCCATTGACGACCAAAGCAGACTGACCAGGCCGCACACCAAGTTCCCTTGCTACATGTCGAGTAGACTTGACATAATCATCATAAACCAACGCTTCATACTCGGCAGGTTCAACATGCCCAGCCAGTTTTCGAATGACAACCTCCCTACTGGGGGAGCCATCGACGACTTCCTCTGCGCCTAGTGCACGTAACAGGGACGCGGGGGTAGCTTCTGATAGGAGCCCCTTGTAGATTAGATGCGCTACGAAGCGAGAGACGGCAGATTGTGCGGGTGCGCCTGGAACGGTGGGGTTGTGAATGAATGCTATACGGGAGTTTGAGGTCGTTGTCTGTGGGGTGTGATGAGTGTCGTTAAGGGATTTAGGCAAGGTTCCGAAACGTACGATTGACCTGATCGCGTCCTTGGCCAGCGCCAGGCCAGAATCATCATCCAGATCAGCAACAACGTACAAACTCAATGGGACGGAATTTGACTCTTCTGAAACCCAATTTAATCACTTCCTATAGAGAGAATGTCTTTCACGAAGCCTTACCAGGGTACAAATAGGATCCAGCTTCGAGCCTCAAACGCGTCTTCGCCAACAACTCTGGCAAGTTGGTGATCTTCAAGATTCCAGGGGCGCTACTCGCAGGATAAATGTACTTGTTCCTCCTCTTCGCAGTGGTAGGCAAGTCGTAAAAGTAAGTCGCCATGTCACCCTTATTCTCATCCGTCAGGGACCCTTCGTAGAGCTGTTCTCTATACCCATCAGCTAACCGACCACTGAGGAAACCGGAGAGTACGCACTTTCTCCTGCAAGAACGCCTGTTGCTGTTGTGTCTCTACTTGAAGTTGTCTCAGGAAGTCCTGATGGTAAACAGCAGAGTTTGAGATTCCTTGCTCAAAATGAAGGGAAGGATAACACACACATCATTCATATCCATATGTTTCCCATTGAGGAACGCATGTCCTCCCGGGGCACTTGCTAATGTTGCACCAAGACGTTCCACGTATGCCTTGATCTTCTCCAGTGGAGCATCGCCGTCAGCATTGACGATCGTGTCAAAGTTGAACTTGGTCGCCTCAGGGTTGGCTGCCACTTCAGCATTCACCAGTTCTTCGAAAGAGGTGCGGACAGTTTCCCATTGGATTGTAGGACTTTGGTATTGGGGTGGGATTTGGATTTGAGATATCTATAGGAAGATGATTATACAATTATACGGTAATCGAAAAAGAAGGATGCGTACGGTTTTGAGGAATGTCAGAGTCCTTTTGCGTCCATAAGTGTTGACTAGGTGATAGAACAGCTTGGCCATCTTTGCACCTGAGGCATCACAACGTTAAGTGCATAGAAAAAGGCCAAAAGCAGAAGAACCTTACTTTCTTCCGTCTCTACGACGGGAACGAGGCCGAACCTCAATGGGATGTTTCTCTCCAGAATGTTCGCCATAGCTCCAGCAATAAAGTTGACGCTAGAAGTCTTGGATAGATCAAGCACCAAGATGACGTTAAACAGGTTTGCTTTGATGTTGGGGAAATGACCAGGATACATGGGCCGCAATAGCTGGAAAGAACAGAATGAATCTGTCATTTACAAAATTCCATACCAGACTAACGCACCACAAACAGCGAAGGATTCCAGTTTGCATATCTAACATCAATCCCATTAATGTAATCCGCCGGAAAAAAAAAAGAACATTGGACAACCCACCGACTATCTTTCTCCATATCATTCCACCAAACAACAATACCCCCCTCCTCCACTCGATCACTAGCATCAAACAACCCATCCACCACCGCCCCACCCTTCTGAGACTCACCCACTTCCGGATGAGTCAACAAATTAAACGCTTCGCTCCTCTCAAGCCCAAGAGCAGTCAGCGAGCTCATCGTCGTTCTCTCCTTTTTCAACAACCGTAATAGAGACAAGGGTTGCGTGTCCTTCAGCTCAATCGCAGCGCCGTTGAGCCAGAACATGTTCACGCCCCCTTGGGCTTTCAGAGAGTTGTCGTGAAGCTCTGTGATGATGCTTTCGTTCACTTTGACGCGTCGGGAAAGGGCGGTGGTGTACATTGGGAAGTTCTGAGAGAGGTGAGATAGAGCTTTTAGGGGCTCTGGTGACTCTGCGATGATTTGAGCGGCTTGCATGCCCAGGCCTGTAGAGTTCATGTTAGTTGACGGTAGTTGACCTCAGGAATGCAAGTACCTTGTAGCTCTTCCGGAGATAGTGGCTCTTTCGCGTCTGGCGCGGTGATGTTTTCAGGATGGGCTTGAATCAGTGTAAGAATGGGATCTGGTTTGTCCACGGAATCATCGTCTGCCGTCTCCAAAATCCCTGGTTTTCCATCAACACTACACGAAATTCGTTCAAGTCGCAGACATACTTTTAGCATGAGAATTTCTATCATCCAAAGCAAGATAGTCCATCTTCTTCAAGTCCAGAGCGACACCGTACCCAGAGAGATAGTTGCGTGTCTCCGCATGAGATGGTATGTGTCGAAACACGTATTCAATGTGTGGGTCTAGTCTATTTGTAAGCAGAAGAAGCTCCGTGAGCAGTTCGCGGAAGTTTGGGGATGTCAGGGAACCGTAAAGAATGGCGGTGTGGGGTGGTCGTTCGAGCAGATCCTTTGGCGAAGGAAAGATATGGTCGAAAGTCAGTGTTTTGGGTCTTTGACGCAGTCTATGTCGTGTCAGCCAAGTATATAGCTAGAGCACAATGATAACTCACGGCAGAGCACCAGTAGAAGGATCCAAAGTCTCCCTTCCAGCCAGACGCAGCAAAGTCTCCGCATCACAAACAACTTCACCGTACCAGTCCACCCAAGAACCGCACTGCGTGCCTTTGCTGTCCTTGTGGTGATCTTCATAGAAATTATAGAAGGCCTCAATCTTGGGGGTAGCCGCATGAAGTGCCAGGTTCATTTCTACCGCTTCCAGCGAGCCTGGTTCAGGGAGAAGACCATGGGACACTGCTATTCCAAGCGCGGCCTGATGGATGGCTTCTGGCGTCAACTTTTCGGGCGAAGGAAGGATTTCCGGGTCAGTGAGGCGTTCGAGGAAGGTGAAGAATGCGTCTTCGTCTGGGTTCTCCATTGAGACTGTCTCCCTGAAGTGAAGCGGGCCATTGGGTAAATAAATTGAATGAACATGACGATGCACGCACAAAATCTCTGCAAGGAGGGGTGGAGCTGCCCATGAGGACCTCAATGACACCCTCACAGGTGGGCTCGCGGCATTGGTTACGAGTAGTGTCAAAGACGCTGTAAGCAGCGCCAAGACGCGTAGCATGACGACTACGGGATTCAATAACAATCAGTCGATGTCGATGTGCCTATGAAATGTCGCTGAGAATGTTCAGAATCATAGAGAGTCGCCAATATTGACACGACACGTCAACTTTTGGTTGAGCGAAATCTTATCTGATAACAAACGCGATCAATATTTTTCATCTGTTGCGTCTGACTCCTTCATCTCTTACTCACTGGCTGACTAAAGTACAGCATCGCTCGCCTTCAAAAACCTCTGGGAAAGGCGTACGTACGTGTTAAACTCTCCCCGTGTGATGGAATTCACTCCAGGACCTGCTGTCCACCAAATTCTCTGTGCTGATTGCGGTACGATCTTATCTTGGTTGATTCGCTCTTTGGCTGATTTGTCGTTAGGTACTCCCATCGTACCGAATACTGCAAATTTGTGTGTTTCATGCTTGAGAAATACGTGGGTGTCCTGAGAATAATTTCTCAAGCTCATACTAATTCTTGAACGATAGTGTCGATATCACGGAAGGAATCCCAAAGCAAGGTGTGTACAGCTGTGGCATATCGTAAAAAATCGCATCCTAACGCTGTTGTAGCTTCTGTGTCCTTCTGCCGTAATTGCGAACGCTTCCTCTCTCCACCACAAGCATGGGCGCTCGCACAACCAGAATCAAGAGAGCTCCTCTCAATCTGCTTGAAAAAACTAAAAGGATTGAATAAAGTCCGATTAACCGATGCCCATTTCATCTGGACGGAGCCCCACTCAAAGCGATTACGGGTAGCGATGACGATCCAAAAAGAGGTCCAGTACAACTTCACTCCACTCACTTCCTTTCCTCGATCACGAACCTTTGCTTAGGTCCTCACGAACACCATTCTTGAGCAAACCTTTGAGATCGAGTACCTTGTACAACATGGGCAATGTCCAGATTGCGCTAAACTTGCAGCAAAGAACACCTGGAAGGCTTTGGTACAGGTCCGGCAAAAGGTCCATCACAAACGGACTTTCTTGTACCTCGAGCAGTTGATTCTCAAACACAACGCCCAAAAAGATACCATCTCAGTAAAAGAAGTCCGAGATGGTCTCGATTTCTTCTACAGCTCGCGGAGTCACGCTCTGAAGATGGTCGAGTTTCTAGGGAGCGTCGTGCCCATCAGGTTCGCTCCATCCTCTGACTACCAATCCACGCCATTTATCTTTATTTCCCCCCTCAGATCAAAAGCTTCGGAACAGCTGCTATCTTCCGACACGCACACCAACACCGCCAACTTCAAGTACACATACTCCGTCGAAATCGTTCCAATCTGCAAAGACGATCTCGTCTGCATACCCTTAAAACAAGCTCGACAGCTGAGCAACATCAGCCCCTTGACGGTATGCGTCCGCGTAGGCAACTCGATCCAGCTCCTCGACCCCGCCACGCTCCAATCCTGCGACATCCCCTCCCAAGTGTACTGGCGCACCCCCTTCGACTCTCTAGCAAGCGTCACCGACCTCGTCGAATTCACCGTCCTCGACATCGAACCCGACCACACCAAAAAAACAAAAGGCAAGCACATCATGGCGGACGTCCAAGTAGCTCTGGCAGGCGCTTTCCGTTCATCAGGAGGAAAGGCGGACGAAGACGATGGGTTGATGGACTACGAGGACCAAGGACTGACGAACCAGATATACCACACCCGCACGCACCTCGGCGCGATCCTCCAGCCGGGGGACGCCGTGCTAGGCTACCACCTCACCAACGCAAACTACAACTCGGACGACTTTGCCAGTCTACCCGTGGGTCGGATACCCGACATCATCCTCGTCAAAAAGACCTATCCGAACCGGAGGAAGAAGAACAAGGCTAGGAAATGGAAGTTGCGGAGTATTGCGAAGGAGGCTGGGGAGGAAGGGGAGACGAGTGGGGCTAGAGGGGTGGTGGGAAGGATGGGTGGTAGGGACCATAAGAAGGTTGAGGAGGACTATGAGCTGTTCCTTCGTGATTTGGAGGAAGATCCGGAGATGCGGCAGGGTGTTAATTTGTACAAGGCTCCGGAGGTCAAGATGGCTGAGCCTGTTGTGCAAGAGAAGAAAGGTGGAAGGAGGAGGGGACAGAATCAATATTCGATGGATGTGGATGATACGCCTGAGGAGAGGGTGCCGTCAAGTGTTGTCGATGGTGATGGGGAGGATAAAGAGGAGGAAGAAACTGATTTCCCTGATGTCGCTTTGGATGAGCTACTAGAAGGTTTCGACGAGATGACTCTTGCGGCTGGGGAGCATGAGGAGCAGGAGCAGAAGTAGTTGTTGTATGTCTCAATTGACTTGAATACATGGATTAATTCTGCGAATCAGCCTTACTGCCAGTGAATTACATATTACAGTATAGTCGTTCATATGTTGGTATTATTGTGGTTCTCCAAAGCTGCAAATTCATGACTACTAACAGAACGATTGCTCTTACATAGCAGTGCAACCAATTTCGCTACGAATAGCCCTTTTGCGAAGGTCAATGTTTTGCTGATGGGGCAGTCCATAACCAGCGAGATATGCAGTTGCTTGTGGTCCAGTCAATCCATTGACCTTATCAACATTAGTCAACGCCGGGAGGTTGTGCTGTAATCACAAACTGAAATCAGTGAGCAATCGAAAAGGAAAGTCAAACAGGCGTACCGGTTCCGCCGTCGGTAGGGTCCCATCGACAAAAGGTAGTACTTGGAAATGCCGGGAGCGCCCGTCACCACATGAAAGATTATATGCCTTTCACAAAGAAATTGAGCTGAATCGCCAAATTTTTTGAGATAGTTTCGACTCACCCTATGAGCGACACGAGTTACTGGCGCCAAACAAGCAGCTAAGGCAGGCGCAAACCAGGCAGGAGCCTCGACATCTATGAACAATAGTTCACTCGCGTAGATATGAATCCATATTGAAAATGCACTCACCTTGGCCAGCGTATGCCTGGATAAGTTTGGCCTGGTACATTACACCCCTCCCAACGTCATCGCTCGATGCAAAGTTCTGATTCATGCAATCAAGTTCAAGTTCTGAACGGAAAAGACAGGTCAAAGAGAAGTTAAAGGATGAATGATACAGTGGTTCTTTACGGTGGCTGAGACGAAGTCGATGATTATACATGAGCGCGTTGCAAAGGTCGGTCAAGGTGGGGGGATCGTTAGGTTGTGGAGGTAGCTGAGCGCCATTCGGCTGGTCTGGGACGTCTATAGGCATCGCTGTCAAGAAATTCAGTCCCAGCCAATGTGTCTCGGTGTGAGAGATTGAGCAATGTATCAAATGAGTTTTAGATGATCAAGATGAAACTAAATGTACAAGATGGAAAGGAGTAAGATTGCAGACACAAATCAATAAATGACGAACACATAGGCAAGGTAAAATCACGAATCGTCTTCAGCTAGTAGATCGTTCACCTCATCCTCTTCTTCCTCATCAGAATCATGATCCATGATTGAATCCAGTGTCACTTCCGAAGCACCGTCTTCCAGAAGGTTATCGATGTCTCTATCAACTTTTGACGCAGTCTCGACTTCCTCCTGTTTTACTTTGGTCTTGGGTCTACAAAAGCAATCAACTTTTACTTTCCAGCAGTGAGAAAAATGCGCTAACCTTGTCCTTGGCCGTCGCATCAGGCCCGAAGAATATTGTTCGTCTTCATCCGAGTCCGAGCTGATCTCGATTGTTATGGGCTTCTTAGTTGCTCTGTAGGCAGTGTGAGCCATCAGACGATCGAGTTACCCAATGGAAGGACTTACACCGTTCGCTTTGGCAACGCTCGCGTTGGTGCAGCAGGAACAGGGGGGGTTCCGCGCTGAGTAGATTCATCATCTTCGTCCTCATCATCCTCAGCTGACAGGCGTCTTCTCCTGGTGACGAATTCAGTATTAACCACCATTTGACAAAAATGAAAAGTGAAGGACTCGCTTGGATTTCGGTTTACCCTTTCCTTTCTTTGAAGGTGGGGAGTCGGGGTGATCTTGTTCAGTGCTGGTGCTCGCGAAACTTTCGGATCGCCTGTTGGCCCGTCAGCATCAGATGAAGACAATTGGCTTCAAATCACTCACCTCTTCCTCCCTTTCCTCTTGAGATCAATATCAATAACCTCGTCGTCGTCATCATCTGGTATAATATCGTCCAAAAATGCGAACAACTCTTGAAGACTTTCCAACTTCCTGTACTCTTCCGAGTCAAAGCCCTCCAACTGCTTCTCGAACTTTTTGGCAATCATGCCCTCAAACTTGTTGAAAGCAGTCTTGCTTGTCGCGTCGCGTACTGGGTGCCGCTTGGAAGAGTATCAATAATCCAAGAGACTGAAAGAAAATCGACGATCTTAACATACCTCCCGCAGGTTGCTGATAAGAACTTTGAAGCGCTTTATCTCGTCGTCATCGATTTTGTCCGGAATGTGCAGCTTGGTCAACATCTGGCACAAGACTTTCTTGTCCTCCTCTTTGAAAAAGATCAGGATGAGCATGTCAGTTGAACTGTTCAACTCACTATCAATCTTGCCATAGCAAGCTTGATTAGGTCGCTTCTCAACGTCTTCCTCTCTCTCAAAGAGGGCTTCAAGAATCTTCGTAGCTAGTGTGGCTTGAATGCCTTCGTTGGAGGGCCGTTCATCATTACCATTTCTGTTGATGTGGTTAGAAGGAGCTTTACTTGTTAGAGGTATTGGCTCACGGCACGTTTGCCAATTTGAAAGGGTCCGTCCAATCCAAGAACATCAGAGACAGTTGTGATGAACTGACCATCTCCGTATCTTCGTCGAGCTTCTTTCGTACTTCAGAAGCATTGAGCAAGACAGGGATAAATATCTGACAGAAAAAATTAGTAGGAAATCAGAGTAGAAGTGTGGTACGCACCCGCACAATGGTTAATTGATTCTGCGGCGACGAATAGCTATAAACTGGCAGGGAGAAAGTCAAGTGTTGGCGAAGTTCCTGGTTGCTTGCCGTCTTCGGTGACACGTACATCTCGACCAGCTTTCGAACCGCCTGGTACGACACAAGTGAACCAAGTATCGTAGGCAACAGTTCTGATTGGGCTTACGTTTTGGTCCGTGATCATACCATTCAGAACTAGCTTGGCGATTCCCGTGCAAAGCAGTGCGAGCACTTTCTCGTTTGTGTCGTCATCCAGTAATTCTATCAGAAATTGGGTGGCTTTGTCCCGCTGAAACCACACAAGTCAGGACTGGACAAGTTCTGGTTGGTAATTAGATATCCTCACACTTTCACTTCCGCCCTGCGTTCTGGAGAGAGCCGCATCATGGGTCATGAGCAGATCAAACAGAGACTGGATGAGCACGATCTTGATGTTGCCCTCTTCCTTAGGGATGTTTTTCATGAAGTAATCGATTGAAGACAATATAATTTTCTTGAAAAACATTCAATAAGTTAGAGGCGAGAAAACACGTAGTGGATGATAGATTCATACTGTTGAAATGAGGCAACATAAACCCAAGCATAGTACGGCTTTCTCTTTGAATAGGGGCACGTCGTCTCGCCTCACTGAGGGAAGGATCAGCTCTCCAAGTATGCCCTCCAACGTCAAGTTTTCTTCAAACGTCTGTGTTAAGGAGACGTGAGTCAGAATTGAAGAGTTTAGAGGAGACCCGGCTCACGCTATTAACGCGTTCAAGCATAGCAGCGCACATAGATAGACACTTGAGGTCAATGTGGTCCGTTCGTTTCCTTTGTGCATCGGAAAGCTCCTCTCTAGGCCTCTGGAAGAGGGATAGGCGTGGAGGCTTGACAGTGGCTGGGGTATCGCCGAAGTTTGTCTCTGCATCGGCATCTGGCTAATGGAAAACGGTCACCAAGTGGACAGATAGAATTGGGCAAAGGCATACTGCTGGCTCTTCTCCGTCTTCATCATCTTCGCGGAGTTCTTGAATGATCTCAACGACAACACGAATGAGATCACGTTCATTGGCCGTCAACTCCCGAAGGACATCAAGAGAAGATGCAACAAGGCTTTGAGGAAGGGCCTCCTTTGAGAGCATGTCACCTTCGATACTCAGATTAGGAGCTCGTTAAAGTCATGAACAATCAAACTCACGAACGAGCTTGAACATCTTTCTCCTCCCAATTTCGTCCGTGTAGTCCAAATTGACAGCAAGTTTTAAAAGTTCTGAAATCACAAACTCCTTATCATTCCTTTCTTCCTCCCTCCTCGTGAGTTCAGCTTCACTTATGCTGCCAAGCAGCCTTTCCTCGGCGTCGATGTCGTTACCCTCCAACAGCTTGTTGTAGGCGTCTTGTATCCGGAACGCCAAAGCAGTGACAACGGGTAAAGCAGCTTCCAGCCTTACTTCATCTTTCGTCGCTTTACAATGGTCAACAAAGACGCGTGCGAGGAAGGCGCTTTCAGGTGTGAGGTTCACCCAATAGTTGTCTAATCCAAAAACTCAGCGCCTCGGAAATAAGATAGGAGGCTAGAAACATACCTCCAAATACAAGATTATCAAAAATAGTTTCATTGGTCGTAAAGATGCTCAACAGTGCATCAGCAGCAACGCCTCCGTTTGCTAAATCAAAGAGCTTGAGGAGGGCCAGCACTCCACTGTTCTCTGTCTGTGGCTCGTCGGATTTGATGTTGATAACCTCCACCCAGCGGGCAATGAGGGATGCAGCAGCAGCTCGCACAGCGGGAACTCGGTCGCCCAGCCCATTTTTAACGATCAGTTCTCTTTGAGCGATGGTCAATGCGCGTGGATCGGTTGGGCCTATTATTTCGGTTTTACCCTGCGTCACGTTGGCTTCCAGGACAGCATTGTAGACTAGCTTGCGATTCGTATCGTCTGTATCCCTCGTTCGGTCGAGTATGAGTGGTAGGGTCTTTTCGTTGATTGGAAGGTTGAGAAGCGCAGCACGGCGGACTTCTCTGAGGAGCAGACGCATGTGTGAAGATGGTAGCCTTGACGAATGGATGAACTTACGGAGCAGGGTCGTGTACCAAAGTCAACTGAAGCTTTTTTGAACCAGATTCGCCTGCTTCGACTACAGTTGGGTCTTCAGCTCCACAAAGCTTGGCTACTGAGATGGTGGCTTGGAGGCGAATAGCCGCTTCTCTATCCCTTTCCATGCGATCCAAAAGGGCAGCACGAAGCTCTTCGTATAGGTCTTCGCTGATAGACCAACAGATTCAGCATCAAGTCACCAGATGATGTATTCACCTACTCAATTTCGCCTAAATGAGAAACCATCTCCGCTACCGTCTGAAGTGTCCGATACCGTGCATTTTTGTCCTTTGCCTCAAAACCTGGCAGGAGGCTCCTCAGCAGAAACGCCGTGAAACGCGAAGCGGTTGTGTCGTCGTCTGGATCCTCGTCTGGGTCAGCTTCCGCCTTCTCCTCCGCGGCTAAAACAAACCATCAGAAGGCATCTCTAGTACCGCATCCAAACACACCCTTCTCATTGACGAAACGTATGTACCCGCCCGTAAACTTGATAACGCGGTCAGCCTCAGATATGCCTTTCTTTTGTGGCAGAGCACGAAAAAGAGAATCGGCAAAGAGGCGCTCAAAACACTTCTCTCCAACGAGCTTGACGTTTCTTCCGTTATGGACTTTCTCGGTACGTTGTGCCGCGTTGATATGAGTCTTGTAAAGCGCGACAAAGTTCTTGCCATGATTGGCGATTGATACCCCTACTTGGTCGAAGATTTTGGACATGTCGGCCCATATTTTAGCGTTTAAAGCCTCCTTTTCTGGGCGTGCAGTCTTCCCAGGCATCGCAGACAATTGAAGATGGAGAAGTGAGAAAGAGCGAAAGGTCTGAACTAGGTGCAAGCGTCTGTCAACACAGACGCGGGAACGCGTCGATCACGTGATTTATGCTAATTAAGAAACGGACCAAGTTCCAACTCTGTCACGACTGAGGCCTTCTATGTTTTATGCTTTCTGTGGGCCGACTAGCTCAGTTGGTTAGAGCGTCGTGCTAATAACGCGAAGGTCTTGGGTTCGATCCCACGTTGGCCATTACCTGGGCAAACACCTTTTTTTGCACTCACTGGTCGCCGTCAGCCTCCGATAAGCACAGGTGCTTTAACTACTAGACAACAGCTCAGATCGCTTCTGCAGCTCTCATGGATCCAGGTTTGTGAAACGGTCTTTGTCTCGATGTGTGTTGACAACTTTTTGCTATTGGAGCCATTGCACCACCTTGGTTTGCACCAGTCCAGCAGCAGTTGAACAATATTGAACTACAGCTCCGGATAGACTTGATTCTAAGGCAACGCGAGTATCTCCATACCCAGATCTCTTGACCCCTCTACATGCTACATTTGGAGATGGATCATCAACCCTCCCATATGAAATTGTTTTTTTTGTGAATGGAGAAGATCCAAGAGTGCCTCCTGTTCGTACATTTTTCTGCTTGATGACTATATTATGAACATTGATCATCCTTGACAAATAGCGTAATTTACCTGCTCTTACCTCAATGGCAGTCACTGATGGCCTAAGAGGCAATGAGGTTTCTCAATACCTTACCGGCTATGGCCTTCAAGCTTCAAGTTCCACATCTTATTGCCCATCGTCGTCGCTGTCTCAAAGTTTACATTGGATGCAAAGAGCTGTAAATCGGGATACATAGTATGTTTTAGCGTTGCACTGGTCTCTTTTTATTTAGTCATAAATAATCATGAAAGAGGTATTATGCACAAATTACTACTTAGAGCATAGAGATAATACTTATGGTACTGCATGACAGAAAATTTAGACAATGTGATAATGAGAAGCATCAGACGGAACGGATAATATCTTTCAAGCCCAGAACCACGAAACCTGAGGACCTCTTAGTCGTACTCAAAGCATGCCCGAACCTAGTCTTAGAGGGGTTACTGGGAGATAGGATGGGGCGATAGGGTCTTCATTGATATCAAGGCGACTGAGAACGCTCGCAGCAATACTGCAAGGGTGGGGACCAGGAGATCTGGACAGAGGGTGAATTGGTAGAATCCTTTGCGCACAAGAGAGTTGTAATTCCATCATTGGGACGGAGTGAGAAGAACATTAGTCCACTTGAAGCGACATCAGTTGGCTGTATCCTAGAATGAACACCATTTGTACACCGCGAGATTCGTTTCCGCGGGCTGATTCCCCAGGAGCACGACCCAATATGTCATGATTCTTCCGCCTTCACAAGGCATAACGACGAGCATGAACGTTTCAGTTACAGGGAAAGACTCCAATCCTCTGCATTTCACTGGGAGGACAAGTTTCCATCTACGAGCCGACCTGATACTTGGAGTGTCGACTGGCCTACTTCGAGTTGTGTAAAGTTTGAGTTCTATTGGTGCGTCGTGCGCTCACCCTATAAAAAAAGGAGATGGAAAACATCGAGAAGCGTTGCCATTTGAACGAAATTTCTTTTAGTGCACATATAAGTGAGAGAACAAATGTATCGCAATCAAAATGGTAATTTGGGTGCCTTGGTAGTTCGCGGAGGCTTGAGAGGGTTCGGCCTCCTCCTCTTATAATACTACGCACATAGTAGTTAATCAGTTAACACACACAAAACAAAAAACAAAAAAAGGCAACGCACATTCTTATAATTATACACCCTCTTCTTCATATCCCTCATAAGGATATTCTGCCTCCTCTCCCTATGCGCCTTAACCCTCTCCCACTTATGTCCCTTAAACATACGCTTCTTACCCGCATACAATCGCGTACCAAGCTCCGCGCCAGGTTTCTCCAGCACCTTCTTCACTCTGGCCTCCTCCCTCTCCTCCCTACCTTGACCAACGTACCAATCGAACGGGGCTTCCGACAGGCGATCAAAAAACTTGTCAAGTCGCTTTACAAGCAACTTCTTCTTCGACATCTGCTTCTCCACCTCGGTCGCGCCTGCTGACGTCTCCGCGACTTCGGGTGTGGGTGCAGCAGGAGTTTCGACGGGCGGTGGGACGACGTACTTGGGCGTCTTAATGCCTGGCGGAAGGAGATGCAGTGTCCCAGATATCCTGGCCTTTTTAACAAGTTCCACCTGACGGCGAAGAGAATACTTGGGCTGGTGGTATCTGCCATTTTTCGGATGGCGCCATGGGACGAAGGGGTTTGGGACGCGCCAGAGATGCCAGTCGGTTGAAGGATTGGTAATTTCTGGGGGTTGACCGAAGCGTTTTTCGTGAGACAAGGCCCCTTCAAACTCTCTGTATCGGAATCGTTTCACAGCTTGCTTAGCTGCTGCTGCTACCGCTGACATTGAGACGGGAGCCTTGGGAGCAAACAAATGTCATCACAATATGGCTAAACTACATGAAAGCTAATCCGACTCTCCACCATGCGAACTAGCGACATCACTCAGAGCATCATCATCCTGTGAAGCAGCAGCAGCAGAAGCAGCCTTCGTAGCAGCCTTGAACCCCGCCAAAATGCCACCACCACCTCCCCCAGCACCAGGACCACCCTTCCCTTGAGTCTGTTTCCAAGCATGCGCCATCTGCAAAAACTTGAACGAAGTAGGATTCGATTCCCTTTCGTCGTCCGCGAACACAAGATCCCAATCTGTAAGAAAATTTGAATAAGCGAACCCCAATGTAATTCGAGGAAAAGAGAAACAAACCTTCGACTGTTTGTCCTGTCTCCTGGTCGACATGTCTCTTTTTGCTGACGATCGGCATCATACCCTCAACCTTTGCGACGTCCTGTGCAGATCCATGACCTGCCTCAAAGGTCTTCCACACTTCCAGAAGTGCAACACGCTAAATGTCTATTCAGCAGAACGTTCAAAGCATATTGAGTAAACACCCACCTCGCTTTTAAGCCCTTTACTTTTCAAATCCTTGTATCCACGCTCTAAAACCTGTCTCGCAAGAACAGGATCACCAGGAACCATTTTCCTCTCCGCTTCCTCGTCCTCCTCCTCGTCCTCTTCCTCTTCCTCTTCCTCTTCCCTTTCCGCCCTCGGAATGGGAATCGGCTCCGCCTCAAACAGGGCATACGATATCCACACTTTGACGTGTCCACTGAGCGCGATGAGTCTTTCGTACAACGATCGTGCCGTCGCACGTTCCCCTTCTTCAATCTCGAAATCAATGTATGCCTTCCATAGAACTTCAGGCATCGACAATGGCGATTGAGAGACCCCGAGTTCGAAGATGGCGCGTGTTCGAGCGAAGTCTTGTAATTGTGCCTCAAGTTCTGCAAACTTGATCCAAGCAGGGGCATTTGCAGCGTCATACTATCCAAGGGGTCAACATACCGTCAATGAAAATGTATCAATGAATTACCTCGAGGTACTTCTCGTAGAGTCTGCGAGCACGGTCAAATTCACGCAACTAGATTGAATACAGTCAGTCTTTTTAAAGCTCACCAGCCAACGAGAGAGAAAACATACCTCAACTTCCACATCAATGTAGCCTTTGAACAATGCCTCCTTGGGACATAAACCAATAGCAGTTCCAAGGATTTTCCTAGCAGCAGGCAACTCCAATCGTCGAATCTCAAACTTTGCAAACATCAACCACAGCTTCGCAAACGTGAACTGCTTATGTGGAACCAGATTGAGCGCAGTTTGGTAAATCTGACGAGCACGGGTGTAATCCTGTCAAACTCATATGAAAGCCCGTAATTTGAAAATTCTTTTGAAATCATACCTTGGTTTCGATCTCTTCAAAGAGGGCGTAATCCAGCCACAAGAAAATATACCTTCTCCAATGCCTCTTCTCACCGCCCGGCGGTACCTGAGCCACAGCCCTCTCATAAACCTCGCGTACGCGCGCTGAGGACGATACTAGCTCCTCCTGCGTAGATCCCTCGTCCTTGAGATCTCGCCAAGCAGCCTCCTCCAGTCGAGCGTAGTCGAACCAGACATCATAATTTCGTCCATCATGAGCCAGCTCCTCTTCGTACTGAATTCGCCGCTTTCCCAGCACCGTGCTCTCAAGAGAACTCCGCGTCCCATGCTGTTTTTCAAACTTCGTGTAGGAAGCGTAAAGCCCGGCAGACTTTGATCTCGGAATACGAGCAAGAGCAAACTACACCATTCCTTGATCAACATCTGCAAAAAAAAAAACAGAACAACTGCCAAAACTCTCACCTTATAAATCACCCTCGCACGCTCATACTCCTTCAACCTCGTCTCCATCTTCGCAAAAGCGCTAAAAACAGCCTGCGCCCTCTCCACCTGCTCCTCCTCATCTCCATAAAACTCCAACGCAGTCTGAAAAACCTCCCGCGCCTTATCCGCTCTCCCTCTATCTTCCTCAAACTTGCCCCACTTCACCCACACCCTCGGCTCAGGCCTCACAGCAATCCACCTTTCGTATATCGTGCTCGCCCGATCCAGCTCCTGGTACCTCTCCTCCAGCTTGATATACGCCTGCCAAGCCTTATCGTCCGGCTCCCATTGCATCCACCGCTCGAACACCTGTCGCGCACCTGGGACGTTCTGGAGTAACTCTTCTAGGTAGACGTATTTATACCATAGTTGGTCCACGCGCGGGAGGAGGGTGACGGCGCGGTCGAATAAGTTTCGTGCATGTTGGACGTTTCGGGATTTGAGCTCCATTTCGGTGTAGGACAGCCAGAGTTGGATGCTGCGTGGATCGACGTCCAGTGCGCGCTCGAAGATGGACCGGGATCTGGCGAATTCATTTTGAGAGGCCTAGTGGGTTGTTAGTGTAGAGCAATGAAAGGATGTATGTGGGAATAAGGATGTTACCTCCCAGTTTGCGTATTGCAGCCATTCTTTTCTGTGATATCTTTTCAGCAAAAGGTTGATGATGATTAGAGTGAGATGACCAACATGCTTCCTCTAGTCCTTCGTATCCTCTCCTCGAACTCTCTTCGTTTCCGCCCCCGGTATTCATTGAGTTCTTCGAAATCCTCAACTCGCTGTTTTGGCGCGCGGAAAGCTGTTTCTTGTCGTTCTTGGGCCTACATAAAACGAGTCAAGTACTCTGCAGGTATTCTGATGAAAGATAACTCACCTCACGCAAGAGTTGCTCCGCTGTGATCTACACAGAGTCGATCAAGCTTTACCCCAAGGTTCGAGTTCAACTATGCTTGCTTACCTGGATCGCAGCGGGTGCTCGATTTTTAATCCTATATCAATTGTTAGTGGTTTGATAGTGTGCTATAATTTGATAACTTGCCGTGGAGCACGGCCGTCTTGCATCTTTGGTTGTCGCCCTCTTTCAAGAGGTCGTCCTGAATATGACTTTCAGTTGTAAAATCAACAAGAACACCTTCACGGTGCACTGCCACTGTTTGCCCCTATGCACACTTCCATGGCCCATCGAATTTTCGCCTCATCCACACCTTCTTTGGTTTGCCATATCCGTACTTTCTGCATGTCCACTCCATGCTGCTGGGGCCGACTCTAAAGGGGAGCTCAAGGACTACGGTCTTTCCTTTTCCACTCACTCTCGTTGGCCTATAGACCCAGCGCCGGCCAAGTTTGCTGCTGCTGGAGTAGAGTCTTTGTTATGGAAAACTTGCTCCCTCCCAATCAATTGGATCCTTGATCGTGCCCTTCACCAATCTTAGAAGGTTTTTCAAAACGAGGCCCACCATGTGTCAGTATGTGGGCTCCCACCACCAACACCTCTGGTTTAGAATTCTGGCCTTTGGACTCACCAACCAAGAATAGACAAATGATGTACTCACCCAATGTTCAAATATGTCTGCAACTGCGCTCCCAAGGCGAAGCGTTAATCATAACCCATGTTCTTTCCTGAAGAACCCCTAGATCTCCCCCCCTCCAAGGGCGGAGGCTACTTCCCCGCCACAATCCACCAAAAACTCAACGGTGGCAGCTTTTAAGTCGTCCGCAAGCTTGGGTATGGTCTCCGATCATCCGTATGGCTCGTCTGGGACGGAGAAGATCACCTTGCCGTCAAGATTTACACTATCGCTGCCTCAGAACATGCGAAGACCGTGGGACTCCCCATTCTCAAGGTCGTCCACGACCTTGATATGACTTTGAATCTTCCAGCGTATCATGGCAAGTTCTTGGAGAAAACTACCGCTAGATCGCATCTCTGTGTTGTTTCGAATCCGATGAGCACTACTGTCCGAGCACTCCAGCATGACGCGAATTACGACTTGGAGTGTCTGCCTGTTCATATCGTTCAGCGCATCGTTCGAACTGTCGCTGATGACCTGAGGGGCTTGCATAGTGTTGGTATCGTGCACGGAGGTATGACGTCGATTTTCTCATCTATATCGGCTGACTGAGCTTTGACAACGACTATCCCAGCCATCAAACCCGAAAATATTTACTTCTGGACACTGACTCCAACTGAATATCTTCTACTCATTTTCGACTCGGAACCAGCACCGGCCATTAGGAAAATAGAAAAATACTTGACTGTAATATCTCAGCCCCTTTTCCATAGGTACAAGCGGACAGGTAAGAGAAAAAAAGTTGCAGATTGGACACTGTATCTCGATTTCGGACATGGTTTGCATTCTCCCTCCTCGTTTGATTGATATTCTGATTTTTTTACCCCGCAGCCCAACAATCGAATTATGAACCGGAGAAAGAAGGCGATTACTCTCTCGCGCCTGAAACGCTCTTGCAAACTGCATCCTGCTCGCCTCAAACCGACATCTGGATGCCGGGATATATGGCAAGTCACGCGAATCACCGACCTTTCTTTTCTAGTTACATTGAACCCTAACAGACGTTCTATCTGTTGACCGGTACATCGCCCTTCGCCACTAATCTCACCGCCTCCAGAACAATTGCACCTTAGCGGCGTTCTTGGGGAATCAATCGACTCCATCCCGCCTTCATGGCTCAGCGACGCAAAAATGAAGGACTACCACGCCGTCACTTCCGGGATATCCTATGATTCGACCGTAGAGGCAAGTCGGATGTCTTGCGCAATGACGATGTGGTTGGTGCAGCAGCGTTCGTCAAAGCCTGTCTTCGCATGGACACGGAAAAGCGGGTTCAGCAACGGAGGCGTCTAAGGATAAGTGGTTGGCAAAGGCGAATGCATGTTCTTGTGGATTTTGCTAAGATTTTCCATGTAAAGGAAATAATTTAGGTATGCTACGTGAAAGTCACTTGCGTTGCCGATCATACTACATTGGGTTGATCTCCACCTCTAAGCCTACCCGAGAATAGTTATAGGTAGAATCGGTATCAAGCAAATTTTGCATGGTTGCCCTGAATGTAATGACTCAATGAGTTAACTTCCGTGCACTGCCACCGACATTTGGTACAGCTCCGATGCTTTTAGGCTCGTGACCAGCCTGTATATGAGAACTTCGATATACACGATGCTTTATCCTTTCTCCGATAAGACTACATACTAGATCACAAGATCTTCCAGCAGTAGTCACTCTCATCGGACCGCTCATCCATGGACCATCTTGAATTCATCCTTTTGGACATCTCAGCGCCACTCATCGAGGAGTGGCAGCTCGCATTGAAGAAGTATCTCCCCAAAGACATCCAAGCCAAATTCACGATCATCCAGTCAAATCTCTCCGCCCTACCCCCACCATACGACCAATTCGACTGCATCGTATCACCGGCCAACTCGTACGGCCGCCTAGACGGCGGGTGGGTTGAACATGTTCTGAATAGACGACCGCAGCTGATCGATAAGATTGAATAGCTTTGACTATTATCTCGCCGAGGCCCTTTGTCCCGACGATGTGTTCGCCCCAACAGGAATCGTACAAGCCACCCTCTATCAGCGCTGGAAGGGCTATGCGCCTCCAGGGACCTGCACACTCATTCCTCTAAAAGGCACTGTGTGCGAGAACAATGCCCATGGTTGTACTGTTATCGCCCTATGCCCCACTATGCGCATTCCTGAGGACGTTGTGTGGAATCGCGAAATCGTGTACAATTGCATGTGGTCTTTGCTGGTCTCTTTGGATCAACATAACCAGGCAGCAGAGATTTCCAAAAATGGAACCAGAATCCATAAAGTGCTGATGACAGGTTTGGCGACGGGGGTAGGGAACGTTTCCGCCGAAAGATGTGCACAACAGATGGCTTTAGCCGTTGAAAATTTCATTGATGCCTCTGAAAACCAAGAAAAGTGGAGCTCCATGGAATGGGATGATGCCTTGACTTATGCCCGAGATTGTCGTAGAACCCATCGTTGTTGATCTTGTTGACCTATTGGGTTCATGTGTGAGTTGAGGGAGTTTCCGATTGAAAGTGTATCACGCACGAGTCTTCATATTTCTGTAACAGGTTCCAGTTGTATATGTATCATGATAGTAGTCCCAGAGTCCCAATGAACGCGATATTTTCCCTGTCAAATTCCCAAGAGCTAGTGCCCTTTAAAACCCTCAGGTCCATCGTGCACATCATCATGCCCGCTTGATACGGACCGATGAAAGGCTACTTTTCAATGGTACAAACCAATCTTGACAGATTTGGACTCGTGAGCTGTCGTTTGGCCACGATTTTATCAAGCGCCCGCCGGTAAGTCCCAAAAGGTTGTTGAGCCTGGAACTTATGGACAAACACGATCGCCCACACGCATCTCGTCAACGTTGCCACGTTCTTTCTCGCCATACAACACGACCCGGACGAGAATCCTCTTCCGGTTACAAACTCGCAAAACCGTTATCACCTCGCACGTTTCAGTGGGCTGCTCCCCTCGTTTTGTTGCAAGTCAATCGTCGATTCATAGGGGCGCTTATGGCCTGGGAATGGAGTTTGCCAGAAACGCAGGCAGAAACGTGGAATAGTGTTGAGGGATTGGTGGTTTGGAGACGAGACATTCAATGAACGGAGGTATGTTATCTTCCACGATTGAAGAGGCTATCTGACAGGAAGGTATCTTCTCCTGGCATGGATCATGCTGTTCATGTTGTCACATACACTGAATGGGTTCAAACGCTCACGGACCGCGATGTGCAAGTCTTCAAAGATACGATTAGTAAGGAAACATAACTGAGATTGATACAAAATACATTTACATTGATCGCTGATCATCATGTTTAGACATAGGCGTAACAAAAGGGAGGTTTCTGAATGTCCATCGTATCCCGAACTGACATTGGAGGAGCCAGCGTATGGAAGTCAAGCCGATAATTCAAGGTAACCTGTGTTAATCTGGGACTGTTGGCATGCAAGCGACCAGAGATGTCGAGGAAGCGTGTCGGTAGATCCTTCTCTTGCCATTGCCACCAAAGCCTATCCAGATTTGCATGGTGGAGGTGGAAGAGCGGGTCTGACGTCACAATTCAGACTAAACGCAAGGTAAAGAAGATAAAGAGATGGCTAACCACCAGGACTCGAAAACAAATTTCCCATATCACCCCCTACGATGAGATGACCAGATCCATGTTGAGCGGGATACGGATTCGACCCTCCTCCTTCGAGCTGCACACGGAACAGCTCAAAAGTAGGTTGTTCCATGGTTTGAGCGACCGCCTCTGATGTTAGGAAACCCTTGTATGTGTCGTTGAGCCCTCGTACAAGGCAATGATCCGTACTCAGTTTTCCTGGGCCAATGTGAAGTTTGTGAGAAGCAAAAGGACCGTCCTGCACGCAGCCGACAAACGTCTCGGGAAAAAGCTCGGACGTGCCATCAGGGTCATTGGGAAGAATGTAGGTGCCCGGGACGCCGTCACCACCAAATCCATGGACGGGGTCGAAGATGGGCGATTCACTGATACTGACACGCGCACATCGTTAGATTATGGGGGCGAAGGAATCAAAATGGTACACACGAGTCAAGGCTATCGGCGTCGAGCGTCCAATCCCAATATCTGTCAAGGAAGTTAGACAAAGGCGGGACCGGTATCGAGCCAAAAACTCACGGTATTGCCCCTCTGTACCCACATTCCTCCCGAAGCGTTGTCTCGTGGATTTTTATGAAACGGCGATGCCATGGTAAAAAATGGCCCTGGAACGGCTTCGGAAACTATGCGAAAACCTGGGCGGGCGGACTTACCACAATGTGAATTTCATCAGCGACGTTGATGTGAACCGCCTGAAAATCGTCAAAACGCGTTTGTGCTGCCTCGAAACCACTTCTCGCGGGGAGACTTTGGGTACACTTGACTGCGGCGATATACTCTGCTTTGTGGGCTTGGCTGAGCGATCTCCTGTGGCGTCAATGGATATGAGGAATGGTAAATTCAGTTGGGAATCGAACCTCACCATTCCTGTCGCACGAGGAAGTGGGAACACTCGTCCTCTTGTGCATCCCAGTCCAGTGCCTGCTTTGAAATTTGAATCAAGGCGAGGGCGAGTGTAAAGGCGAGCTTGCGATAGTGACGGTTGGGCATGACGTTCGGTTGGAGACTTTGATCGAGAATCGTTATTTATGGCGTTGCAAGTGGCTGATGTCGCAAGCCCAGAATTTAGTCTCTCTATCCCGGAGTAACGTAGCTCTTCTGTATACAAGCCATGGGCGTGCTTTTTCGTGCCTCATAGTCGCCTCAACAGAATATCGTTGAGGAAGTGGTGGTACCGATTGGGGCGACCCACTGAATAAATGCCACTCGAAGAAAATCCTACGGCAGCTAGGTTTGAAAATGTTCTTTTCAGCCGTTGGACTGAGCCTGGACGGCGGAGGCTGACGGGAGGAGGAGAGAAGATATTTGCTGGTGTTTATGAAGGTCAAGTTCGACTCAACTTCAGACTGTGCTCAGCTGTCTACTTTCATCTTAAATTTCCCAATTATCCTACCTTTTCCACTGGACCGGCACATCTCACCGATTTGTATTTTTTCTTCGTAGCGAATGTAAGTGAAGTTGTAAAATCGTTATTTTCTTCTCTTTGATCCACAACTTTAGGGACGTTTCACCAAGACAATTTCAACCACTCCGTCATAGCACACCTATTGCAAGCTGAAGGGCGCCTTTCATTCGGTGGTTGCTCTCAAAGTTCATTGGCCCGTCCTTGGGCATTTTCTGCTTTTCTGTTACCATTGAAATAGAAAGTTACGAAGGCAAGCACGAATCATACAAATCATCATCATGGCATACAAAGTTCACCTACTACTACAGAAGCACTACATGAAAACCCGTACAGCTAACAATCTAAGGATGATTGTGAGGGAAGGGGTATGTACTCGAGAGCTTCGCGGGAACATAGGTGAGTGCAAACTACACCAGTTTTCCCCCGAAGCCACCTAGGTTTAATGCAAACGGGTATTTAGCGGAGAGCCCCACGGGACATCGGTACGCATCAAAAGTTGAAATGCCAGTACTCCTGCCCCCTGGGTCCACCCGATATTCGATCTTCGCTCGCAGCTGTTCTTCCCTCGCCCCAAACAGCCCAACCTCTCCCTCCTTTCCAGTATATAAGCAAGAGAGTGTAGCGGAGGAAAGCACCGACAACCATCGACAACCGGTCCTCCACCCCCACTTCACCACCTCGCAGTTTCCAGCCAGCCATTCCCCACCACATCAACCTAGTCCGCTTTTCCCGACATAATGGCAGCATTGCAGGCGAAATAAACCGCAAGCAGTCACATTCACCCGCGCAGCGCCTAGAACCATATTGCCGAACCCGACGACCAAGCGCGTTCCGGATTTTTTTTGGTGTTTTTTGATTTTTCTTGTGGCCTGTCAAAGGCGTTCGAGATTTCTTGTACCCACCGGGGACCCCTACGGGCAAATTGCTATCCAGAGCAAACTCCCACATTCCAAACTTCCAATACTACGTGGAGACTGGTTTCTGCCAGTGAATTCCGCGGGGGTAGGTGCCATGAGTCCCATGACCAGCATGTACCGTATCACCCACAGTAAACCCTGTCGTTCCACCAGTTGGAACTCCTGACGTTACTAGCATCTGAGGTCGCCCGAGATCTCGGGCATTTCCATATGAAGGACGCAGTGATCTGCGCATCTCTCGTTCGTACACCTTTGCCTCTTCCTTGTCCTCTCCTCGACGTAACTTCTCATAACGTGCTTTCAAACAGACAACCAACGTGGTCATGAGCGATTTGTAACGGGCTGAACCGTCCGGAGACTGAAGGGACAGTGCCTCGCGACTATACCTGACCGCGGCATCCAACGCTGCCACGCGGCCAGTCTCCCGGAAATGTGCCAAATCAGCCGCCGAGAGAATCTCGAGCAGATTGAGGCGACGAGGCTCGCGGGATGAACAAATTTCAAGAGCGGAGCGGTAATATCCATATGCTTTCTCCTGATCCTCTGGCTTTCGGAATCGTGTGTATCGAGCTTCCAGGCTCTCTGCAACAATAATTAAAGAAGTGATTCGATCTCGGTGACGAGGTGGGGGGAGCTCGAGCAGTTCACTATAGAGCTTGATAGCTTCGTTCAAGTCTTTCGTATGCCCTGCGAGTTCATATCTGCGATAAATAGAGTCGGCGAGATTACTGTGGAATTCGGAACGTGTGTGAGAAGAAGCAGAGGTCTGCTCGAGGGCGCTGCGGTAGACAGCAATTGCCTCCTCGAGATCCCCTTCATAATTGTCTCTGTCGAAGCGAGCGAGTAAGATATTTCCAAGGTTGCTTAGAGCTCGGCTGTCGCATGGGTGCGGATAGGAAAGCGATGCATTGCGCAGATTCGCTATAGCAGATTCCATATCGGCGGGCTGCTTAAACTGCGTGTAGCGAGTCCAGAGCGCAGTTGCGAGGTTGCCAAGGAGTAACGGAAGCCCGGGATGATTTTTGGCGCGCCTGGAGACAGCTGTCCTGTAGTTTGTGATGGCTTCCTCCAGATCTTTACTGTGGCGTGAGAGGTTATACCGAGTCCAGAGTGCAGTTGCAAGGTCGCTAAGGTACCCGCACTCTTGAGGGCGTAAGGCAAGCGCATCTCTGTAGTGCCGAATCGCCAAGTCAACATCATCCCGTTGATTCCACAACTGGTATCGAGTCCAGATTGTTGTTGCAAGAAGATGGAGCGAGGCAGGGCGCTCAGGATCATTACGTGAGCGCAGACGTAGCACTTCAAGAAGATTCTTAATAGCCTCATCCATGAATTTAACAGATTCTGTAGGACTTCGGTCCTTCAAGCCGCGGGAGGCCGCAAGGAGAGAGTAAGCAAGCGAGTGAAGCACAAGAGCATGATCAGAGACAGAGTTGTTCTTAGCGAGGGATTTTTCAAGCTCCTGGCGAGACTTTCCCACTGTTATCTCTGTGTCCACCACAAGAGCTGGAGAACTCTCCCTCTTAATCTGTATGAGAGTCAGGTTGATTAATAAAATGGGAATTACAAAGGTAATGGATATAACATACTGGTGTTGATTCTTTCTTCCATTCAAAGAAGACTGCATCTGTGTTGTGGGATTAATTGAGAAATCACCAAAACAGTGACATTCAAACTTACTTTTCTCTTCACAAATTTTGTTTGAATCATAGATTTGTTTGGATAGAGGGGCAGCTCCTGGAATCATGTTATCACCCTACAGAGAAGGGGGAAAAAGCAATTAGCCATACAGCTACTTCCAGGAGGTTAGAGCATACCTTCTGAAGGACAGTGTACCAATCTCTGTCATGAGTGATTGCAACAAGTGCATTTGGTATCTGTATCAGATTGTAAAGCAGAGTACTTTGTATATTTATTGAACAACATTACCTTGCTCAGCAATAGTTCATTAACTTGCTTAGAAGGGATGTTTCTCTATTACACATTTAGTGGTGGGGTAAAAATGTAGTCACAGAGGCTACTCACCAGGGAGAGTGGAAGGCCAGAAACTTTGAAATCACAGGAATCAGAGAAAGATCCAAGAGGAAGTGTAGCCCCTAGTCCAGAAAAAGCCCTCTCCGAAATCCCAGGACAGATGTCATTCCATGCACTCTTAGCAACCGTGATGGTGAAGGTGCGAACAAAGAGACATAGACTTTCTGACCTTCCACTAATACCTGCCACAGATGGTTCCCTTGCCTTTTCCACAAACTTGGACCTAACATAATTTGCACCTGCAGAGTATTCCCAGTGCTCAGTTCCAATAGATCCTTGGAAGCTAAGCAAGCTTTTCTGGATGCCAGAATTCTTGTAGACAGCTAGTCCACATGATGGTGCTCTGTCAAACCCAGTAACCAGATGCAAGTCTCCATTCTTAATGTTACCATAGGTTTTAGATATGTACCTATACCAAGCCTGTGCATTTTGCAAGCCATAGCCTCTGAAGCGGGCAAAGGCACTGTGAACGAGATCTCGATGATAGGAGCCATCGGGCAGAATCAGGATAGCGCCCTCAGAACCAGAGCATTCAAATGCAAGTCCACTAACAAACACATATCAGAAACCTGGCACGGACGAACCAATTGATATAATTTGTACTTATTGGAAGAAACCCTTTCGACGGAAGCACTGGCAAGATATTCACCAGGAGCATATTCTTGGAATTCACAAATATCGGTATGGGAAAGCTGCGGAGACAGCGGAGAAAAGGAGCTGGGAAGATCTCGGGGGTTGATAGGGTGGCCGGCGGGCACACAAATGTTGAAGAGAAAATCGAAACCGCCGTCAGCAGTAATGATTCCTACATCTCCGATGGCAACGCCTGCCGGAAAGGACCGCTCACCAAAGTGGCGCTTGGGCTGCGGGTCCCAAAGCGGATACCCATTCCCTTTGAGAAGCAGTTGACTTGCGTACAGGTCTTGTTCCCGCACCGTGTCGGGGGTCGTCGTTCGAGACTATTGAGTGATAAGTGGTCAGTAATGGGGGGTACATACTCTTAAGATGATTGGGTACGCGCAATTTCGAGGGTCCGGCGTCGTTTGTTGACGCTCTCTTGCCCTTGGGAATCATTTAGAATAGGACTTGCCCGGTAGAATGGATGTGGCGTACTTTCATTCGTATCCTCGGATATTTCTTCCGAAACCCTCTTCGCGGGGGGGTTTGAGCGCCCTTCTACGTGGGAGCATAAAAGCTGTGTGTGTATTGTTGTTAGCATCTGTTTAGCGCCCTGGAGACAAACCAATCTCATAGACCTGGATCGGTCATCAAGCCCGGAGCGGCGTCTAGACCAGAGCAACCAGAGCAGTTCCGACGGATTGAGCACCGATCCTGGTATATGTCATTGAAGTGTCGTCACATGAAAGCTTACTTTGTTCTTTCTTTCTTGGGGCGTCTGGGCGCTTTCTATGGACTCCAAATCAGTCTATGTCAGAAGACATAACAACGTAGAGACTTTCTACCTTGGGTTGTATCCACTGATATGTCGTTATCGCGGACGTCATCCCTATTCTTGTCTGTGGGAACGTTAGTAATGGCGGAGAGTTGAAGTTTATCCGACCTAGAATAACCGCCATTATATACTATTTGGAAGACAGGCGGAAAAAGTGAGCTCACTGTCTTGATGGTGTTTGGATGTCGCCAGCGCAATTCTTAGCCTGGCCATACATGCTGTCCCTCCACTTTGAATGCCGGTTGGACGGACGATAATATGAAGATGTTGTGAGAAACTAAAAACATTTCAAAGGTCGTCGAGTGAATATATTACGAAGGGGGCAGGCATCGTACCGAGTTTCGAGGAGTCTGTGTTCTTTGGTTGTGATCTGTTACAGCGCCTAGGACGTCACAATGGGCAAGGAAGAGCACAAAAATGGTCGGACCTTTGTTCTTTGTGTCGAGGAGTGCCAGTGGTGCTGAGGCAAGCCTGTAGGCTCGTGTTGAAGGAGTTAAAAAAAGGCAGAAACAAACAGTAAAACGCTAGGCGAATCGTAACTTTCAGTAGCTGGGTCGCGGGGGGCGAAAGGGATTAACTCACACACTCCGTTCGGCTTTAAGTATGGTTGATCGAAAGACGCTCATGAAATAAAGTTCCGCCAAGCAAGCGCGTGGTCAGTTCCGGACATCACCAATGGGCGCCATCTAGGCGCTCAATCATCGTAGATGCAATCGGTCAGCTATCTCCAATTCCTAACTAGGCTCCTTCAGGCTTCTTCTCGGCCCATTGCTTTAGACGCCAGAATTTGAGGTGCGCAGCTGACTATTACTGGCTCATTATTTCTCGAGATTAGACAAGCTTGAAACGAGTCATATTTCTGTGTACCCGGCAAACGTGTGCAAGTTGCCGAAGTTGCATGTTTGCGGCGTGTGGCACATGAGTGATTTTTCCTTCGTTACAGCACATTTCAGTGAAGCAGCGATCATGACGGACTCCGTGTACAACCCGTCTCCAAAAGAGAGGGTCGCAAATTGAAGTCCTCATTGCACAGAGCTTCTAAGGTTAACAGCATACATGCTCGAAACTTCATACAGTTACAACGAACGTTAGACCTCGGTGTTTGATCAGCGCTTACGCTGTGACATCGGCGCTTAACGATGATAGAGTTCTTACGCGGTCGCTGCAATGAAACCCAATCAGATAGGAATGCATGTATTCCAAAGAAAAGTAGTCAGTGTTCAGGCATAGTGGTGAAATTTTGAGAGTCAATCCCCGGTCCGATAGGCGGCGAGAACTCATGTTCAAAGCTCCTACAGTCGGCACCCTTATAACCATCCCTGCAATGCCTCATGTCACTGTGCCGCCGTGGGCGCCTACATAACCTATGCTCAAAAATCCAAAAATGGTCATGGGTTTTTTTTTATCCTGCGAATGATTATGATTTATATTTGCCCGCAATGCCCCTCCTCACCAGAACGGTTTTTGCTCAATCATGAGACCGACACCGTTGAAGAGAATTGCACCAGACGGGGCTGATTGTTTCGAGCGGCTATTGTGATCACATGAGGTTGTAACTTTGTAAGAATTTTCCAAGGACTCTTTTGAGCGCTTAGCGCTTATTTTGTATCCGATAACCCATAGTGCTTTCCACGGCAAGCCCGGCTGTAGTTCTTCTCGGACTCTGTCCCAGCAAGGTTTTCATCAGTTGTGCACGATGGAGATAAGGCGGCAAACACAAACATTCTATCGATTTCTCTCCACCTCGGCTTTGTCCAATGCTACAAACGAAAGTCCACGTGTACGATAAGCGTCTGTTCATAGAAATTATAAGCTACATCCTTTAGTACAGAAAGATCTCGATAAAAAACGGGGTGGACTTGCATGAGAAGGTAGAGCGGAGTCGAGGATTTGAATCGGAGTATTTGAAGCTCGATGTTTTTGTCGACAAGCGAAATTCAAGCACCGCGGTTGTCAAAAAACATAGAACGCTCGTATTCATTGAAGCACAGGCCCAGCGGTGGTCATGGTGAACCAGCAAGGTCATAAGGGGTACGGCGGAGGCGCACGGGCCCATTCAACTTAAGGTTTAGTTCGCACGTGTGTTTTGCACAGTGGTCTCGCGGTTGTTTCCCCTCCGATTTTCTGAAGAAAACGCACTTTACAGTTCATCCTCTTCGATAAGGCTAGGGATTCGCTGCTTAAGGGGTTGTATCTTATCCTCGAAGGTCTTTTTGTCTTCGGAGCTCCGAATTTCTGGCCAAGAGCGGACATTCGAGCAAGTCTGAGCGGCGACAGTATCGGAAACGCGCAGTTTCAGTCGGAGTGAGCATTTTTCCTACTCACCCACTCATATTTCCAGACCTTTTCCCTTCGTCCTCAACATCTATTGAACCATCCAATGGCTAACTTGTCGCCTCTAATACTTTCAGGTTTCCCTAGGTGTCTTGTCATCTACGCCATCTCAAGTGTTGAAGTTGAACTTCAGGTAGTTAGGAGCCTCACAATGTATCACATCTCCACTGACGTTCAGCGATACTTCCAAAGCAGTCCTTGAAGCCGCTCGATATTTAATATTCCGTCGACTTTCATTGGTGAGACATCCAATCGATTTTATTGTGCAATTTTATTCATCCGCAGGCTTTTTGCAGCTCGCATCCCTACAAAGTATTTAAGGACATTGTCAACGGACCAGATCTCTTAGCAATGGCCATGGTGGAACAGGCGAAAACAACACCACCAACTCAGGAGCATCCTTACCCACCCGTAGCACCTTACGCGCACCAGCCATACAATGGGGCCGGATATCCGCCCCCTGGTCCACCAGGATATCCTCCACCGTTCTTCCCGTATCCACCTCCGCCTGATGGAAGCCACGGTGAAACTGGCCACAATGGTGCACCTCCTGCACCCTACGTGATGTTCGGCCCACCGCCTGGGATGATGTACGCATATCCACCACCCCAGCAAGGACAGCGTAAGCGAACTCCCATTTTTTGGATTCAAGGGACCAATGACGATTTTGATGTAGCTTATCCACCACAACCGACAAGTTCGGCCCCTAGTGTTACATCCCGTGCCAAGCGGAAGCAAGTGAAAATGGCTGTATGTTATCAATCATTCGACTCAGCGTTAAGTATGTGCTAAAGATCTATCAGTGTACCAACTGTGCTGCGGCGTGCAAGCGCTGTGACGAAAACCGCCCTTGTGACCGGTGCCAGAAGTACAGTATCTCTGACACTTGTGTGGATGGGCAGAGAAAGGAAAGGAAAAAGGGAGTCAAGCGGGGTCCCTATAAACGCAAAAACAAAGGAGATTCCGATGGTTCTTCACCGTATCCAGGTATGGTCTTTCTTTCAGTTTGTGGCTGGATCTAACCGTCTATCAGGTGAATGGCCAGCCGGCTCACATCCACCCACGGCGGCAACCACTGCGGCCGCCCTCCACGCTGTCACTTCATACGCCCACCCTCCTGAGGGCTATTATCCCGTTTTCTACCCTCCTGGTGGGGCCTTCATGCCACAACCCCCACATGATGGACAACCAAATCCTGATGGGTCACCCCCACATGCTGCTCAACCTCCCATGATGCCGTATTATCTTCACCCAGCTGCATACCCCCCTTTCCACCCATATCCTCCCATGTACCCTCCGCCGCCCCCGGGGGCTCAGCAGCACCCACTACACCAGCAGCCAGCCCCACCACCAGAACAACAACAACCCCCGCAAACGATTAATCCTACTGAGGCTGGGAAGAAGCCTGATGACCTTCCCAACAACGGAGTTACATCTGGTGGCGAAGGAGCGCCCACCCAAACAAGAAAACGCCCCAGGGCGTCAAAAACAGGAGAGCCTAGGGCTAAGAAATCTAAGACTGTAACGGCCACTTCGGCAAAGGATGGAGAAAGCGAGATAGCTGCCGCTGGGGTGGAGGAAGATGGTGGTGCCGCCGCCGCCGCCACCGCCGCATAAGCCACTTGACCGCACGTGTGTGAGTGCGTACGATAACTCTGCGTCTAGCGAGTACTCATTGCTTGTTTTATTTCTTTGTTCTGTTTGTAGATAGTCGTCATGAATGAACGAAACATCTGGCTATGCGTGCTTTCCCCCCTCATCAAGTTTTCAAGTCTTTTCGAGTAACCGACACATCCTGTTCTTTCCACTGCTCAGGTTATTTATGACAACCACGTCTTCCTCCAGTCTCTAGATATTCCCTGCGACCCAAATTCCCGTCTCTGGGTATGCGTGTTTCTTGGATATTTGACCTTGAACAGGGCCTCCTCTTGACTTCTTGCATGAAGTCCTGTTGTGGACCCTGTTGTTGCTCGTCAAACCTATTGGAACACCCACGCCCTTCCTCTGCCATCTGTTTACACCCCTCATTATTAGCTCGTCCTCGCGACTCCAATAAGCCGCTGGTCAATTGGCGCGTTCACTTGCTGTTCAACGTTCCATCTCTCAAAGAAGCCGTTCCACTTGTTATTTCCCCCCATTTACTTATCCTCTACGTTTTTCTCTTTTGTACTGAATCAATCTTGCTTTCTGCTTTGTTGTCTTGCGTACGTATCAAATGTAAACCAACGTAGGTGTAAGATATTATTGACGTTATGCAATACTACTTGTATGTCGACAGTACTAGTACTAGTGAAGATCAAATGGACTACCACAACGAAAGGCTTTGCAAGGCGATCCCCGTCTAATAATACCCTTTCTCTGTTGTGAACTTTTTATGCCTCCGTTTATAATAAGCGCCTATCGGCGAGCTCGCTACAACATCCGGTAGTTGGTCAACTGGTCGCCTGTGCGCTTCGGATTTGAAATACGAGGATAAGGTCCGGTTTCACCCCAGGACTCATGACCAGTTCTTCCTCGGCCGAAAGCTTGAACAAAAGAGATTTGGGGTCAAGATGCGATGTTGTCGCATCCATTCGATGAAGATAACAGCGGTACCGCGAGATGATAGCCCCAAGGAAATATGCTTTTGGCTTCAGGGAAGCTCGGCATGGTGAGGAGACCAAAGTAGATTCATTCCAGAGACGGGAGCAGCCCTTGGTCTACGACGGAGACCATCTATCCGAGAACTTGTCCACTGAGACGGTAAGGAAGAACCGAATGGCCGATGCTACTGTCCAGCTATGTAACAGGACAACCTGAAACCAGGCCTGCACGTCGTGCAGGGAGAATTATGCCTGCATTTTCCGAGACTTTAAAAAAGGTGAGAGGAGTTAGACGCAAGGGGTAACCTTGAAATTTTCAAGGGGGACCTCCTACGGCACTACCATCGTCCGCCAAAAAGGGCCTTTGCATAAGCTGACGCGAGGATGACGACAGTGAATGCATCTGTGGCAGCGCTGCGCCCCTTCAAACTCAAACAGGACCAGGGAGCTAACTGGAAGAGGGACGTAACACCAGAGTCTGTTAGCACTAGCCCTTTGAAAAGAAAGCCTATCGATTAGCTAACGATTTTGGCTCCAGCATGAAGCTGTTGGGTTCCTGTATTCAGTTGGAAATCTATCCTGTGTTAACAGGATAGATAACAGTACTCATAAAACAACCGACAGAAATTAACCGCGAGTATGATTCTGGAGATATAAGGGGAATAAATGTACAGGGGATGAGAGCGCGTAAGCAAGGTATATGGTAAGTCGGTACTAACTTGTACAGAGAGAGGGAGAAGTGATGCGAGCCAAATAATGTGGATGTTGATGCCAAAAAAAAGCCCGAAGTAGTAATCCTGCGATTACACCGTTTGCCAAGAAAGTCGTCTGACTTGTCGCGATCGCTAGGGCCAAGGCCTGGCTTCATGTTTGACTCCCAGAAGGCAGTCGGTGAAGGTACTACATTCCAATTTAATGCCTGGGTCGATAATAGAGGCACATCTTTTGGCAGACTCGGATGCGCTTAAGCTTCCAACAAGGGCGGTGATAATAATGGCGGCGAAATTGACTTCATGTTTGCCAAGTCGACGCTGTCAGTTGCCGAGGACTAGGGTTGACAGAACACTCACGAGGTTGAAATCCTTAGGCTACTGAGAAGTGGGAGGAGTCTCTTTTGACTGCACTTCATCACCGCCTCTTTTATAGCCTGCCTCTTTCCGAATCGCGCTGGGTTGTATTCAAAACCTCAAGTTGTTTTCTCCGTATTGGAGGAATCTTCAAGTCCAACTGCCATCCAATTGCTGACATGATCAATGTAGATACGTGGAGGATTGATATACTTGCATCTCACTGCAGAAATGCAGTTCGGCTCCAGAGAGACTAAGCTTTACAAGCTGAGACTGCGATCAGGCTGCATTTATGTAAGACAACGCGGGGACGTACCACAAGCAGGTGGCAAGCTGAACGGAGCTGAATCCAGGGTGGGATGGTGCGCAACAGTCTCCTCAACCCGCCACCTCCACCTCCTCGTCCTTCCTCACCAGATGCTTCTGGTAGAGTGATGCCTGGACCCTCACCACCCGTTTTCTTCTGTCTTTAAGTTCTACACCGACTTGAACATCGACAGCACCGCTATTTCCTCCTGAAGGGCGTGAAGGCTGATTCAGGCAGTCCAGTGCCTTCTTGTGGATCGTCCTCGGATATGGTGGTTTTTGAGTTAGCGACGATCCAGCCATCCCCGCGATCGATACACTTGTGATGTGTAAGCCCCCGTAACATGGTCAGTGGGTGTGAGATTGGTCATGACAGAGAAAAGTGGCGGAGTGCGCAGAGGAGGTGGCAATGAAGCTGAAGGTGAGGGAAAGCTGTAGAAGAAAAAGCAATGACGGGTTCAGTTGCAAAGGTTTTGAGTGATTGGTGGCAGCCACCCATTCTTGACCTTGGAATGTCATGTCTTCCAATGACAACACCTTATCATTAGTCTGTGAGCAGACTCCTTGACAATCAATGACAGTCTGCTGGCCTGTTTTCTCGTCAGGAGACGAAGACTCCCCGAACGACGTGGAGCATGGTATCCGTGTGCGTAGCGTTAAAGCTTTCAAAACTGGTTGGCAGTTGGAGGTGTCGCTTAGAGGGTTTTGTATGTGCTGTTCAGACCGAGTGGTGACCGTGGAAGGTGGATAGATTTTCTGCGGGTCAAGCAGCGAAATTGTCCTGATATTAGGAATGGTCATACGTTGTGACAAACTCCGACGAACCTCAGGCTCGCAAGTGTTCCCCGCAATAATTGACTCTGCCCCCTCGTCATTCTGTCCTCACCCAACTCCAACAGAGAGTCCAAGGACACGTCGTCGATAACCTAGAGCTCCGCCTGATCGGTCGGACAAAGAATGTAGCATCCTAAACGTCCAGATTAGCCCACGAAACGAGATTGCGAGGAGAGATGGATTTGAACTTTCGTGCCTCGCACGTACAATCAGAGGATCTTGCATCGTCCACTACCACCACCACCTACGCGAGGGACTCACACTACCGACGAGCCGCATCAGCTCGTCAAGCGAGTTACAAGTAAGCATCTTGCTTTTGCAGTACCCTAGTATGAAGAAGATATACGCTGCAGACCTTGAGTGTTGGGAGGAGTGGCCCCAGCAACCTTTTCAAGATGTGTTTATCGCCATCTTGTCTTTGACAACGTGAACCAAGGCGAAAGTACGACACAACCGCTTTCGGACACCGCTTTTGATGCTTTTCTAGACTTTGCAGCATATTCCGCTTGTTCTAAACCAAGGCCCGAGCTTGCCCCTCCCTCCTTCCATACCTCACAACACGGCCATGTTCTTCCTGGGTACAGACGCTTCTCCTCTGTTATCCAAGGGATCAACCCGAATCCACGTTCTGCAGAGTCGTATATGGCGGTGACGCATCTTTCCAGGGATAGTGAAGCCAGGACTTGACACCACTGGCATCGTCTCAAGCTACTTTCCTGTCTCAATCTATCAGAACTCTGAAATCTGAACCCAATCTTTGCTGGAAGTTGCTTCTGCCGACATCTTTGTCACCGACTACAAGCCTAACCAACAACCTCTTTTTTTGGGTGATGCTCGCATGGCTAAACTTGCAGACAAGAAGATCAAAAAGCGACTCGCCTTATCGAGCTACAGGGTTCCTTCTGGCCCTTTGATGAAAACTGATGCGGTTGCTGACCGTGATATTTTTTGTATTTCATGCTGATCATGCTGAACGGCAACGTCTACATATCAGGTGTAGACACGACGGCTAGAAATAATTAATGTTGCACAATGCTTGTATCGATTTTAATGTGCGGAAATTTTGAGGTTGTTTGAGCTATCAATCCAGTCAATAAAGAATTGGCCCGCAAGGCCCTGGACCACAAGCTATGGCTTATGCGAAGGGAGGACAGAACTTATGGTGGAATTTTTTCTGAGAGTATTTTATGGTCAATGCAGAAAGAATAGTAGTTCATCTAAGGGGTGGAATCAGTAAAGGGCACAAGGGGGATTTATGAATAATATATATACGCACATATCAAGACATCTCCAGAAATGAGACCGACATGGGGGAAAGAAAATCCATCACACGAATCCCATTTTCCGTAAACACCACAAGCCGTCCAGATGCAGGACAAAAATCAAAGTCATAGAATGGACCAGAAAATAATGTTCTTGTCACCACAGACTTTGTTTCTTCATGCGAAGTAGGAATGGGTATAAGACTGATGAGTACATCAGTTTCAGGTCGCCACCGCTGGCAAAGTTCCCCATTGCAAAAACGCAGGCGAAAAAGGAATTCGCATTCATCAACCATCCTTAACGGAATGGCCGACAAAGTTCCCATCTCGATGGTTTGACCGCCCGATGCAAGCGATCTCGGGTCGAGCCCGTGTAAAGTGATTTCAGAGGCACTGTTCTTTGGATCCGGAGCTACAGAACCAAGAATTATGTCATTGTAAGATTTTGGCCACCATTGAGATGGCACTGTGAATAGTTTGGGTCTCCTTGAGTCCGGTGGGAATGAGTAGCCAAGGTTGATTGTGGGCGGGAAAAGGTTTGCAAGTTCATTATCAGAGATGTCGCTTCTAGCAATGTTTTTCAGGAAAGGTATCTCCCATACCATGATGTCGGTCCGGTTGAGAATGATCAAATGGTTTTCGAGCAAGAATAACTGAAACAGAAAGAGAAACGGAGAGGCGTTCAGCGAAATGAAATTACGGTTCTAGAAATAGTTGCGCACTTCTTCTATCTCGAAGGGGGCATCCCAGGTAAAAGACTTGTTATATTTGATATCCCAGAACGTAAGCATGCAGTTCTGATCCAGCGAGACGAAATGATATCCCGTCAGAGAGTGAATCATATTCATGCCATTCAAATTTAATTCTCCTTTACGACAGAACTGGGGTTGCGCTGCCGATGGATAGATTTCATACACAATAATGTGTGTCGAGAACCTACTCTCCGTCAGCATAGGTATGGAAAGATGTAGACAAAAGTGCTCACCCATCATCGACAAAATATGTCGTTACAAGTATTCCGAGGCCATCTGAAGTTGGGCTCGTGTCAATTAGGCCGATATTCCTGACGATAGTAGTCGCCATTGGAACCTTTGGCATTTCAGAGGTAGGATTCGTCCCAAGGTCCCATAAAGACACTCCGACACCAATGGAGCCCGTCAGTAGATATCGGCCTCCGGGGATAACTCGAAGTGTAACGCGATTAAGATTCTCTGACAACAAAGCCCGAAACGGCTGATCTTTCCAAGGGGCAATTTTCGTTTCATTCAAGCCTTTCTTCATCCGAGCCGAAACGCGAGCAGGGGACAAAGCAGCATATTCAAGTTCTTTGGTGGACATGTTTTTCGTAGGGAAACTGGGCTCGAAGAGTGCATGATCCTCGCAAACGCGATGTAGGGCAGTTAACCAGACTGTCCGTTGTTGTGTAGACAGATATAGGAGTTTGGAGGTCTAGAGTGTTGCGCTCAGATTGCTGGTTAGGCTATTCGAGATTCGAGAAAGTTCACCATTCTGAGCGAGATGATATCGCGGGGCTCAAGAAAGCTTTGAACCAGAATATGCAATTCCAAAGGCAGAAGATGCATGTTCGCTTTGAGTCGTTGCAAACCAGTCGGCGCTGAGAGATGATCAAATATCATAAGTACCAAGTTTGAGCACACGCACTGCCTTACAGTGCTTTGCATTGCCATTTGCACACCGAAATCGCGAAAATTAT